TGGCAGTTGTGTTCAGTTGTCATGTAGGTTGATTCCTGCTCCCAGTCCCAAACAGAATGCTGTGCCATGCCAAATGAACATTGTCTTCAAAGGATTTTAATTAGACCTGTGTGGATATAGCGTTCTCAGGGACCAGGTGGTGAAATTCACACATGTGGTCATATGCAGGTTAGGGATTTTAACTTTTCATCTGAAACTTTGTGAAAAAACAGAAGAGATGAAAAGGAGGTGTTGCATTATTTCTGAGGTTTAAATAAAAAAAAGGGCAAAGGACATTAGTGTTTTTTTTAACCTTATTACTCAGAAAACTCAGTGAGAACAAGGATGCTAGAGGTGAAAGTATTTGGATCATTGAGAAAAACAAGTGAAACCACAGGAGAATACAGAAACTAAGAGTTATAACAGAAATATCTTCGAGCCCTAAAGGAACTTTCGATTAGGGTAAACTTTGGCGCCCTCTGTGGCCAAAGCAGTCTTTCTTCATCTTGTCCTCTAAATGCAAAAATATCATCCTGCTGACTTTTGACTGCCAAATGTCTCATGAAATGTGGCTGTTTCTATGAAAAATGTAAAATTGAAATTAAAATGGCTGACATCTCCCCTCTCCCATCACTTTCAGGGATTAGAAAATGCCTGAATTTCAGTCTAGGTCAATAACATAAAGAAATTCCTCACAGGAGATATAACTGACAAAGCTAAAGGGCACAGAGCACTTGTGAGTACACTTTTCATGTAGTACAGGACTCAAGAGGACATTCAGTTTGTAATAGTACGTCTTTTGTTATCTATCTACAGAAAAAGAACAAGAAAACACCTCATCCACTTTAAGTAGATACAACAGTCACGGGGTCATATGACAGCTGGCTCAGAGCAGAGGCTTGAGCACAGGCCTCATAGTCTATGCCACATTAATTCATACGTATCCCTTCTGGATATGGCAGCCGTCACAGTCATTTAAGAGAGATTTATCTCTGTCCTTCTCATGGGATGTCCCATGACATTTCCATTTGTCACATGACAGCAAATCACCCGGGCCAGCGCCTGGGCAGTGACGTTTCCATTTTCTGGTGCCCGAAACATTGCCTGATACATGGTGTCATCTAAATGTATGTTGATATTGACAGTGAGACAAGGAGAGATATAGAAATTTGGTACAACAACCAACGAAGTAAAGCCAAATAAGATGGGGGGGGGGGGTTAGTATTTTTTTTCTTTCTTTTACTTTTTAGACCAAAAAAGCCTCAATTTTTTTACAGGGGTGCATTAAAATATAATTATTTCAGTCTACATCTGAAACGCTTAATTTTAGCTGCTGTCTCTTGAAGGTATCCCCCCGAAAACAAGCCTACTTTCTTCTGATTGGCCACCTCTCTGGAGGCTTTTCAGAAGCAGGCAGAGGGCATAGCTCTTAGTTTTGACCCCACTCCCTCTATTGTGGTCTGTATATACTATATATATTTATATAAACAGTATATAATGTCTATGGGTTCTCTGGTGGACAGAAGCTGATATGGGAGAGTGACGTTTTAATGAAGGGACTGGCCAAAATGACTGAATAAATCTGTTCACAATAATTTTATAAATCTAACTTAAAGGGATATTCCGGCATAAAATTAAGTTAGGGTCAAACACACCGTAACACCGAGTTAGACACCCTGTTGAGAGATGAATGTTGCCGACCACTTGCTTCTCTAGTTATACCAACTTTAGTAATGACCAAAGATAGCAAGCCATAGCACTAGCCACCAAATATCTTTTTAGCTTTGCCTCATTACTTTATCATATCCTTGAAGTAATAGTCACCATATTTATCATTTTCAACTGCAGACGCAGTAGTTCTTCTGCCTTAGCATCTCGGTCTGATTGCATTTCCATGAGGAAATAATCATAAATGTTCTTCCTTGAGCTGCGTCCCCCCCGCTGCAGACGATGGACTCGCCCAGAGGTCTCCGTGCAAACAAGTGGCTGCTGGAAGAGAGTGGGTGAGTTGTGTTTGGTCTAAAGAAATTAGGCGAAGTTGAATATTCATCTCTCAACAGGGTGTCTTACTCAGTGTTACAGTGTTTTTGACCCCAACTTAATTTTATGCCGGAATATCCCGTTAAGAAACCTAGCTGATAGCTGTTATCTTACAGTATATTGAGGAACAATTCATAAACTGGTCAGAAAGTGAAAAAACAACTGGTCACTTAAAAACGTACCTGTTACTCACTATATGACAAAATATACAGAGTTAGTACTATTATTTACAGAACACAGTGTTTTTTTGTTCTTTTTAAACTTTGATATATCCTGATTTACATCACCTTCTTGCTGCTCTTTTAAAAAATTTGTTTATTTTGTTTATTCATTAGCAAGCGAACATTAGAATTTCCATGTAACAATTTTGTGGGAAGACGTTTCTAACTTTAGTGGTTTATTAATCTCAAATGAGTCAACACTCTAAATCGGTTAAGCCAGTTCATCCTCACACTCGATCACAGGGTTATTTGTTTGGCTTTGGGGAAACAACTGCTGCCAGTTGTGTGTCAGCCAGGCTCAGGCCTCATCAGCATTTGGCACATTTCTAAAGCATTTGGTGTGGTCTCCACCAACAACCAAACTTTTCTTCTAAGGAGGATCCGTCAGTTTAAGAGGATGGTTAGATATGCCCCGATAAGCGACCATAGAACCGTTGAGGCAGAGCAGGAAGCAAGAAAATATGAAAAGGATGCAAATAAGTGAAGGAATAGACAGCTGGACATGTAGGGACAGCCTTCTTTGAAAGGATGATTCCAAACCCACTCCATCAAAGCCAGATGAAACCGATATTAACATGCAGGCAGGTAGACAGAGGCAGCCAAGTGGATACTGAGTAACACAGACCGGCGCTCCACCCTGATGTCCCTGTGTTGTCTATGGGTATTCATTAGCCCCTTAACTCACCGATCAAACATTTACATTCCTTTCGCTCCCTTTAGAAGCCCCTTTAGGAGCTTTACAGACATGTCCATTTGTCTTTTTCACTGTCAGGAACTGTGTGTTCTCTCCAGTTCATATGATTCTCAGGATAGATGGAAATCAGCTTATCCTGTGTTCATTATATAAACTCCTCCCCATCATTAGGGGTGAAAATAGTTAAGTCAAGAATACAGCCACCAGAGCATGAAATTAAGAAGAGCAATAGGACTGCAGTGAGGCATCAAGCTGCTTCATAACCAGAATAACCACATATCAGCTTGTTAGCGGCCAGTAAATAGTCAGTAGCAGAGGCTGGAGAAGCAATAGGCTGTTGTGAGTCGAGCACCCGCACTGAAATTTCATCAGGTGTTATTAGGCAGTATGCCCCTAAGGCAGTCTCACATCGAGTGGCTCTCCTGGCTGTGGGCTCTCATAGGTCAGGCTTCATAATTAGAGCTGAATCTCTGCTTCACAGCCACAGACAAAGAGTTAATGGAGATTAATCACAGTGTCACTGCTGCTGGAACTGAAAGAAAGACCATTTAGCTCTAAAAGAGCTTTAGTCTTTCTGCTAAGGGGGACTGCTGTTGAGTAGATAAGCCATAGCCATCAGGGACGTGAGACTGGAAAGGACTGAGTTTACACATCTCCCCTTGTGGGTTAAGAGATACTTAAATGAATAGCTGTGACTGCAGAGAAGGGTCTGTAGAGAGGGCCTGACGACAGGGTCCAGGATTTGGAGCTTAAGCAGGACTCTGCTTCAGGTTATTATCTCATGTTGGTCAGTGATCTTATTCAAGACTCTGGAGTTTTTTTTTAACTTTTATGCCTTTGTAGTCTCCACCTTGGTAACCTTCAAATTGACAGATTAAAACCCCCAAATTGGGGTTTTGGAGCCACAAACAAACCTTTGTTAAGAAAACTGTGATTTAATGAGCAATTATTCAAACGTAGACAGAAACTTATTTTGCATAAATAGACTATCCCATAACATGGGGAAGTAGCCATTAGGGGCTGTCAACATGTATGTAGAGTCCATGTGTCATGATTAACTGCATTTAGCAGAACAGATTTAAGTGTGTTGAAATTAGTGTATGAATACCTGAATACTTTTTTTTTTCAATTCAGAATGAGCCTTTATATCTACATAATCAGCAGGTTTCCTGTCACAGAGGCTGCAGTCTTGCACCACCATGTTACTACTGGAGCACAGAATGGACAAACTAGCAATATTTGTGTTTTTGTTGTATGGAGTGGCCGCGTGAAATGTGTCGGTTGGAGGAGGATAGTAGTTGCGCAAAAGGGAATTTGATTCAGCAGATATTTTTGATGGTAAAAACTTTTCAAATTGTAAATCATAATTATCAAACACCATAGGAGCCTTTTGCTCACTGCTCAATCTAGATTACACTAAATATTCCCATTTCCTCATGCTGTACTCTCAGATAGTACACCTTCCACAATGGGAGAAAGGAGGCTAAAGCCCATGAACATCAATATCTATACCTTATCTGTTCATGTTTACCAATGAACCTGGTAGGTCATGGGTTGAGCTTTATATGAAACCCAGGATGAACTGTCCGCCTCAAAAATTACATTTGCCGTAGGCGAAATTCTCCCCCATACTTGAAACACAAAATCTAATTTTAGGTCACCAGCTGGTTTGATGCAGTTAGTTTTTTTTTTCTTTCGTGCTGTGACTGTATCAAACCTGGAAGGTTAAGAGCAACAATGAAAAAAAATTTAAAGCCAAGGTCAACATAGACTACTTTACAGAGCTTCAGCCTGTTTTAAACAACAAAGATGGGGATATCCACTGCTAAGTTGTTGGGGCCAATCCTTTACTGTAAGCTGCAGAAGTTAAGATGATATGGGAATACTGTTTTTAAATTATTTTTAAGTTTAAAAGAAGTCACAGTCTTTTTATCTATAGGGGCAACATCTGTGTTTTACAGACTAGCTAGTTGAGGGGAAACTAAGTCACATGGTGACAAAGGGGAGAGAGAGGGTGTTAAGGAATAAGACACAGGAGCCAGAACGCAGAGATTCTGAGGCCAATAAAAAAAGAAATGAACGTGTAGGAGGAGAGTGGAAATTGGAAAGAAGTGATAAGGCGTATAAAAGACGTATTTCTTTGTGTGTGTAGTGTAGGTGTGATTTGTGTGTTTGAGTGGAGGGTGGGGGCTGTGTGAAAAGAGGGGAGAAATGCAGCTCAAACGAGTGGGTGAATGGTTGGGGCAGGGATGGAGAGAGAGAGAGGGAGAGTATGAGGAGGGGGGTGCACAGAGTCTCAGTGGGGAGATGAATACAGTTGTGGAGGGAGACGGAGCAAGATGCACACACAGTAAAACAGGAAAGAGAAGCCCACACACCAGAACCTAGTGATAGAGGGTACTGGTTCAGCGATAGATGGAAGACACACTGGGATAAAATCATCAATAACCGAGGAGGGAGAACAATCTCAGCCACTCACAACATCTGGGCGCAGAGAGGCAGGAGTGTGGGGGAGGAAACAAAGGACGAGTGGAAAGAGGAGAGGAGTGACCAGAGGTGGGAAAAGAAAAGCTGAAGACTAAAACAGGTAGGAGAAAGCGCATGATGAGAGCATGCTGCAAAAAAATAAAAATAAAAGAAAGAACTGATTTTTAATGTAGGAAAAAAAAAGGCATGAAAGAAATTTTGACCATGAAAATGTGAACTTGATTTATCTTTGAATATGCATGCAGTGACAGCACTTCAAGTATTTAATTCTTTAGGGGAGAAGACGGGGTAAAGGGATGAGAAAAAGTAAGGGGATAAACTAATTCAACTGATCAATTCTGAAGCATGTCCGAGCTCCAATTCTGCCAAAATTAAAGCTAAATATAATGTAAATATATGGCATGAATTAATCATCATCTGCCACAATGTGTGGAAAAACAAGCAGGACCTCAAATGTCTGTGGCACTTAAATTCTAATTTATTGGTCCTCAGACAGGAAAATCAACAGTGTTCATATGCATCATTTATGCTTACAGAGCTGTGTGAATAATACATTGCATATTTAATGGACATGTGCATTGACACGCTTTACAAAGAAGCTGCATCCATATAGTTTTTGTAAATAATGCTTTGGGGAATACTGGGACTACAAACACGTGCATGTGTGACAGAAATTAAAAATGGAAGTAGGCTGAAGTCAATTACTGACAGGCTGGCTGATCTGCAGGAGGATAAAACAGGAGAGAAAGGAGGAGTAACAAGTAGTGTGGACAACAGGGGAATCTTTGATGAGTTCGAGACAGGGCTTGGGTGTAAGACAGGCTTATTGAATAAACCATGAAGTAGAGAGGGGACATAAATCAGCAGGTGACAGGCTATAAAACACACCTGTGTGCAAAAAAACAAGCGTTTAAATGTGTAGGTGCAGACATGCAGTCTTATCTGGACTCTTTCTTGTCCTGCTCTGTGTTCTTAAGTGTTTGAGAGTGAAAAAAATGGAGCGCATGCTTATGTATTCATGGAACTGGCAGGATCGATAGACTTATCTGCTGCATTTTGCAAGTTTGAGAGCAGTGAGGAAGCTCAGTTTTATAACATCAAAGAAGAGAGGGAAGGGCTGCTGAGCTGCACATTTCCCCCGAGGTGTATGATCACATCCGTGTGGGCGCTGCCACCTAATGGAGAAACTGTGTTAGCCTATTAATTGTGAATGTGCAGGAAGGATGTATTAGGACTTTTTTCATGTTTTTTTATTTGCCACATCTCTCTGAGTACAGCTCCCATCCCCTGCCTGCAGACCCCACCATGTCCATCCACTTACAGACGCTCCTGGTTCTCTGTTGGACCTTCACGTCAGGGTGAGAACCAGCCTAAGGGGAAAACACAAGTTCAGGGTTGACAACATGAGCTTATATTGACGTCTGTATTGATTGTTCTACTTCCCTTCTCTGTGCTCATTTCTTTTCATCTCTCTTCATTGTCACCAGAGCTTGTATGTATTCGAACCCACACTGGGGGGAGTGGAACGACTCCCAGCTTCTGCCAACCATTCAAAAGCTGATGAAAGGATATAACCGCTACCTTAGACCTAACTTCAATGGTAAAACCGTGATTAATAAGTGATTGTTTTAACATTAAATGTTTAATTAGGACTTATCTTGGGTGTTCCTTGCTTTGAGAATGACTTTTATCTAAATCTTCCCCAGAGGGTCCTGTGGAGATTGGAATGAGTCTTGATATTGCCAGTATTGATGCCATCTCTGAAATCAATATGGTACACTACTCTTCTCTCTTTTTTTCAGTGTAAAAGATAAGCAGAGTGTGAAATCAGGGCCTTATCTTCTTTTACATGATATTCCAGGACTACACTGCTACCATCTTCCTACGCCAGCGGTGGCGGGATTCCCGACTTGTGTTTCCTGGAAATGAGAGTGTCAGCGTTGATGGGCGCCTGGTGTCACTGCTCTGGATCCCTGACACCTTCATCCCGGATTCAAAGCGCTCCTTCCTGCATGATGTCACAGTTGAAAACCGCCTCATTCGCATCTTCAGCAATGGGACTGTCCTCTACGCTCTTCGGTATATTCCGTTTCTTAAGCTTTAGTGCTGACTTGACATTTGCTGGCATTTGATTCTCCTGCGTGCAGAAGATTAAGAGAGCTCTTGTGTGGAAATGTAGAGAAAGAGAGCAAGAAGGTGATGGATGTAAGAGAAAGGAAAGGACGTGTTAATCTAAATTTTTTTTTTATGTTTTAAGCTGTTTTCTTCTGTTGTCCTGCTAATTAATCATAAAATAGCCTTGAGAGCTCCTAAAACATGGAAAAAGGTCATGATGTATCATCACATAGTCATTTAACTTTTGAGAATGCAACTGTCTTATTGTCCATATTGTGTCAGTAAAGATTGACAGATTCCCCTGTGGCTACACGACAAAAATCCGTTTGACATTTAATCTGTCATGTCACACTGATAGGAATCTGGACAGATTAATTTGTGGACAGAAAGGGCAGAGCTGTGCTTAATTTTCCTCTTTTTTCCTTTTCCGTGAAGCTTGTTTGTCCTACCGTTTGTCTGATTTAATGAGGCTGTGCATTGTTTTAACAGTAACATTGCAAAGTAGACCTATGTTATCACTGCTATTGTTTGTCAAACTAAAGTCTACCATGTTTCTTGTCTCTTTCTCTGCATATTTTTTTGCTGTAGCTCTGCACAAATACAACATAATGATGTCCTAAGAGATATTTAATTCAATCACAGTATGAATAATACATAGCTGACACATCAAGTACAAAAATCATCTGATGCTGACACCTCAGATTTTAGTTCTGGTTGCTTTGATTGTTACTCAGAGGGAGAGTTTTTTTTTGTGTTCATTAGTTATTTATCACATAGTCTCACATCAAAGAAGCGACTGAGATTGAAGTAGAGATGTTTCGAAGGTTTCTAATGATCTTGCTGTGAATACATCACAGCATCACCGCTACAATCGCCTGCAACATGGACCTGACCAAGTACCCCATGGACAGACAGGTGTGCACCCTGCAGCTGGAGAGCTGTGAGTACCTGTGAGCTCCACCCAACACATCCATCAAATGTGTTAAAGGACATAGATCACCATCTTTCATCATCACCATCATCACCATTTTCATCATCAGCATCAATGTAGTGAGTATGAATCTAATGATGTTATCCTCGGCAGGTTCGATTCATCACACCTTGATTATAAAACCTTGATGTGTGTGTTTGTGTCTGATCAGGGGGCTATAACCTGCAGGATGTGGTGTTTTATTGGACCAGAGGGAATGATTCAGTAAAAGGTCTGGACACACTGCGGCTCGCTCAGTACAGTGTAGAGAGCTATTATACAACAGTGTCAGAAGCGGTGTACGAAACAGGTAAAATAAGATACAATTCAAATACAACAACAGTCAATGTCTCGATTTTACTGTATGAGAAGCTGGGTCTGTTTTTTGCTTCCTCTCACAGGACAATACCCCAAGCTGGTGTTGCATTTTGCACTACGCAGGAACGTGCTGTTCTTTATCCTGGAGACATATGTTCCCTCCATTCTGCTGGTGGTTCTTTCCTGGGTCTCTTTCTGGATCAGCCAGTCCTCCGTCCCTGCAAGGACCTGCATCGGTCAGCATCACATCCCTTACTGCATCTAACTATTGAATTATATAGATGCTATATAATTCTTTTATGTAAAACCCACTATCTGAATCTGAGATTCATTATTGTTTTGACATCCATATATTTGTAGCACTCCTTAAAAGTCTGGTGTCATTTCACACTACTGCCATAAGGAGGAGTGACCATACTCAGACACTATTAAACATTTGTTCAACAGATTGTGCCAGCTCTGTACTTCCCAGAGAGGTGAATCTATAACAAAAAATGTGTCTGTCATCAGAGAAACTGCAAAATCTTATTGCACTGTGATACTAATTTTGCAACTAGTTTTGGCTTTCCTCAAAACAAAGATCTACTATACGGAAAAAATGAACAATTGGGTCTAAAGGACTATCTAACAATGAGTGAGGCATTTAAGGAAATAATAGGATGAATTTTCAGACTGTGGACTTATTTGGAAAAGTGAGTTAACAAATAAAGAGTGAGGAAGAGTACGTTTTGCATCTTGTTGCATTACAAATGTTCCTCTGTTTGTAGCCAATGTAGCTCCCCCTACTGGCACATCGGAAAAAGAATCACATTTTATTCCTGGGTAATGTTTTAACTTCAGGCTGGTGCAGAAGTGCAACAACTGCAGCTCCTTGAGTGTCCACCTCTGGCTAGCTCCAAAACTTCCAAATGTCAAAGCAGAACTATTTGTTAAGGCTACTATAAAGAGTTTTTTGGATTTGTTATGAAAAAGGCTAAATTGAACAGTGATGTTGCTCTCTGAAGTTGAAAAAGTAAATTCAATCATAAAAAACAAGACTGACAATTACCATATTGTAAATTTTGAATGCCTGAAGCTGCTGTGAGAGGGCAGGCACGCTGGTGAAAAAGCGATTGATGAATTTCACAGTAAAAAAAAGAAGAGAAAAAACAGAAGGAGGATTTAGAGAAGGCTCAACAACAATAAGAGGAAAATCACTTTGTCAACTGGGGGGTTCCAAAACCATCTGACACATGGAGTTACTCACAGGACCTTTAACAGTCTGATGCAAATAAGGGTTTTGGTCTATAGAGCTCTGTTTGTAATGATTTTAAATAACTCATTTGTTTTGGTATTGATCAGGATAAGGGTTGTCCGTAATTTGGCATTATTAAAGGTGAGGCAAGTTTGACTGACAGGTGTGCAAACTGAAACTTGGACCCAGGATTAAATGTTGAATTGATTGCCACAGCCTTTTTCTCAGTTAACTGGTAGTTTGCTGGAGTCAGTTTCTCCAGTATGGTGTCTTTAGAGTGGGTGACACCACTGAGACTGTCTTTGTTTTAAAATCTCTTTGGTCTTTCTTTAAACACAAAAAAACAAACCCTTATCTTTGTTCCTTTTGCTACTCCTGCAGTCTAACGACAACCAATTTCAGCTGCAAACACAGCAGCTGACAACTCAGCAATGCTTTATAACTCTCATTGTTTTGTGAAAATCTATAAATATGTCATCACTTGAGCACTGGTCCAACTTCCATTTTGACCTTTATGTTTTTAACTGCAACACGTCGACCAGGTTATAAATGGACGACCAGGTAATGGAGGGCTGAGATAATAAGGGTCTAGCCTCACACGTATTGACGTTTTTACTTGCAATCGATGTGTGGATTGAAATTCAGCCCACATCTGTTATGTATTTTTCAGGAGTGACAACAGTCCTGACAATGACCACACTGATGATGGGCGCCCGTACTTCCCTTCCTAACGCTAACTGCTTCATCAAGGCGATAGATGTTTACCTGGGGATCTGCTTCACCTTTATCTTTGGGGCTCTGCTGGAGTACGCCTGTGCCCACTTCTACACCATGCAGAACCACACCATAGAGGAACTACACAGGGTAAGGAAATGTTCACTTTTAAAAGTCATTTTTTCATCACAAGTATCCCAAAACTATTGTTTGTCTTTTCTGCTATCAGGAGCTTCTGAAGGAGTTACACGAATCCAGTGGGAATGGCTCCATCCCCATCGTCACCTCCACCCAACCAAAACAGTCTGTGGAGGTGGATTCGACTGTAGAGGAGCCCACTGAGCAGTCAGCCAACAGTGACACTAAAAATAATGAAGGGTTAAAAGACAAGACTCCAGACCAGGGCTGCACCCTATCATCAGTAAAGGGCGCATCACGTAGAGCCGCATCTGTCTTCACGGTGGAAAATCCACACAACATTGATCGTCACGCCCGCACAGTTTTCCCCACAGCATTTCTGTTTGTCAATATCCTCTACTGGCTTTACTATCTCTTCCTCTGAGCCCTGGTTTCTCACTGCTGTGTTGTTTATTTTGCCATCCTGAAGCTGCTCTACCTCCTCCGTTGAGACCCAAAACCAGTCACCACTGCCTGGATCTGAACCGAACAAACAATCATATACTATCACATGTATAAACTTAAAGACAGGGCTACAAAGTGATGAAAAGCAGTTCAATTAAAAAGTCTTTTCTTTGGATCACACCGTCATAAAAGCTATTGTTAATAATAGATGCAACTGCTACTTTCATATAAGCATGTTAAACAATGAAACAAAGCCGTTATCTGTTTATTTATGAATGATTTCATGAAAAGGAAGTTTTAAACAAGTCTGCCTAAGCTGCATCACATTATACTGTGCTGCATTACAATGCCTTCATTAACTGACTTATGTACGTTTTTTTCATACATTGTTTTCATGAATTCATAATTATTTCACAACATAAAATGTGAAATTAAAAGAATAAATCAATGACTATGAATGTGTTGAATTTCAATGGGGAAGAAATCTATTATAAATGATGTGAGGTTCAACGCTTGAGAACAAAACATCTTTATTTTCCCTCATCCAGGTAGGAGAACAGTAAAGTGCAAAAGTCAACCACTGGTTCTGCATAAAACTTATTAAAAAGACATGTAGAGGAGATTGTCTCGCACAGAAAAACATTGATTGTTGTTGTTGAATAGCACCACTTTGTTAGTTACTTAATCACCTCTAATGGGAGAGTTAACTGGTTTTGATTTTGTGCCAAAGGACTTTGCTGAGACCAAATAATTCCGCAGATGTTCTTGCTGTGTAGCAAAGCGCAGAAGAGCTCCATGGCACGTACACTTAAGTGTGGCAGAGTCATGGTGAGAAGTGAAACAGTATGAAGGTACAAAAGTATAAGACATACATAACAGTAGTCATGGCTCACTATATACAAGCAGGAAAACATCTTTAAGAAAGGCACACTGTGGCTCACTGCTTAAACCTCTCATTATCTTGCATCCCATCTTCACAATTAACCCTTTTTTTTTAAATGCAACACATCCTTTTTTCCATCGCACTTCCATTACAAAACTGTTTCTTTGCATCCAATATCACCTTTCTGCATACTTTTCTATTACAAACTATTACTCCTCTTTTTCTGTGTGCCACATTTCAACCTGTGTCACCAAAGACACTTAATACAATACAAAGACAGAGACAGTAAGCTGTTGCATTCCTCACATTTGGAGTATCCTTTTCTCGGTGGACAAAGGAGTAAATATTCATGGATGTGTACTCCCACCTTGTGGCCAATTTAATTCATTACAGTTTGTTTTCTCTAAGCTTTAGGATGACAGTGAGGTTATCCGCATGGTGTCCAAAAAGTCGGCTTCTGATGTACATTCATTGATTTTTTTTATCAGTCCTTCTGTGATAATACTCTTAGGTTTCTTTCTTAGACTCCCACTCCTGCATGGAAAGAAAAGGAGAAATATATAAAAAGTATTGTTGTTAAATAAATGCACAATGTTTTAGCTGTGAAATATGGATAGATACTCATGCTGTTTTGAGAAGCTGAACAGAGATATCTGTCCACAAAGACAGGAAAACATATTATTTAGTTACCTTTGCTTTCTGCATGACGGTTCCAGTGGAAGAGGCATAAACAGAGGGAGGTCTTCTTCGCATCTCTGAGGCACAGTTTACCGGTAAAGACTCACTGTAGATATTCTGTTTCTTTTTGCAAGAGCCCTAAACAAAGAAACTCAAGTTAGTAAAGAGTGTAAATGCCAACAGGTGTAAACCTGTTTTAACTTTAAGAAACATACATACTTTAACAGGTGGTTTGGTCTCAACAGGAGCACCCAGAACTCCACCAGCCTGGCTCTTTTTGAGGTTTTCTTGGACTTGGGTTAGACGCAGCTCCAGGTCCACTCTGTCTGCCTCTTTGGCCTTGCAGGCTTCTTCAAGCTCAGAGACACGCTTGTTTAGAGAGGGTTTTCTTCTCTCTGCTCCACAGAAACACAAAAACACAAACAGAGCAACACAAACAGACAAAAAAGTAGATTTAGAGTACTTACAAACTCCTTTAGATCAGGTATAAAAAGTGATTTCTCTGTAAACAATGTACAGGTACCTAATACTGTACTAACTAAGATGCTTTTAAGTACTTTTAACTTGCTTCAATACTTATTTATTGCAGCTTTAAATATGTGTCAAACATCACTTTAAAGATAACATTTAGTCCTCAGAGTTCAATCTACATAGAGACCCATAATTAAAAACCATAAATTACATTTTAACAATATGGCACATCCACAAACATCAGCAAAGACCATCCGGATTCCTTATGAGCGCTTTTGCCCGTAGTTAAATCTGTCATTGATACTTTTTTACTTAAAATCTATCTTAATACTTGCTCCATGCAACTTGAAACTACAGGAAATTAATAAGATTTAGAGGAAATTTTCACAGACATGTCTTTTGATTAAATAATAGAAGCAATTAGATGTTTTATTTATCCCTCTAGGGAAGTTCTGTTCTCACATGGCCCTCTAATCACGGAGATCACAGAGCAGGGTCAGACTCAAAGCAGGGATGCACTTGATATATAAGCCTTGTGGTTAATATGCAGACATGTAACATCTAATGGGTAAGTAATAACTCAGACAACAAACTGAAATATCCTCTCAGGATACGACGTGTGTATTTGTCTCCCAGTGGGATGTAAAGCACATTCAGTAAATGTGTGTTAACTTTGAGACGGTAACACCCAGAGTTTGTGCAGCATCTTCAGTCCTGCTGTGCTTTGCTTTTTCTCACCAGAGGCCGTCTTCAGCTCTTCCTTCCGCTCTCTCTTCTCCTTTCGCAGGGTCACCAGCGCATGTCGAATCCCATCTCTCTCTCTTTCCAGCTCCTCTTTCTCTTTCAGGTAACGCTTGGCGTCTTCTTCAGCTCGTGTTTTCCCATACCGTCCATACTGGTTGGCATCTGGGTGGAGATGTCAGAGGAGAGCAAAGGTTAGGGGTCAGATGTTTGAGGGTTATGGGAAGAAGATAGCAAATCTCATGGCAGTATTTCACTCTGGTTTTTATAGCATCATGTCCCATAAGGGAGGAGTATGATCAATTCTTTAAAACTCACATTAAACAGTTAATAAATACATCCTGTGACATGATTTCAACCAAAGAGTTTGTACCAAACAGTGATACAGTGATAAATAAAAGATTAACACACACTCCTGCAGAGTTTGAGGTCAGGAGGCAAGACAGCGGATCTAATGCAAGTGTCCAATAAATCTCAGGTTACATCCTGAAGCTCTCAACCCAGGAAAGCGCTGCTGCTTTGATGTGCCAGAACTTCTCAGTGATGGCCTGTGAAACAGCTCTGAGGAGAGGCAGCCGACCAAACCAATATCACTTTCCTAAACTCAGGGCACTCATCTCATCTATTTGTACATCAGGGGCCAACTGATCGGAGGGGAAGTGATGAGAGAAGACACTGAGAAAAAAGTGAGGAAACGAGGAGAGAAGAGAGGAAAAGGAAACACTGAGCTGGATAAACGCTCATGTTTTATGATCAGTGTAAGGGTGCCATCTGTGTTTTCTAATTCACCTCAAGGGGCATCATTTTGAAAAGACATAAAAGACATAAAAGTGAGTATACAGGAAAAAAGCAACCGTAAAGATTAAGTTCATCTTTAAACTTCAGCTTTCTTGTAAGTTGTCCATGATTTCTACAGATGTTATTGAAAATGTCTTCAATGTTTCAGCAATGGAGATAAAATCCAACAAATTTCTGTCGTTACAAGTTACAGTTTGCTGCAAGCTGAATGTTTCAAAGTTTCCTGTTTAATAAAACAAAAACATTACCTTGCTTTTGACTTCCTAATCACCCGATACGGTTTAATACTTTATACTGACTGGTTAATTTTTGAATAGCTAGAAAAACAGCAGGGAGAGCAAGAAATCAGAAACAATTCTTCAGAAAACTGACTGATATACTTACTTGAACCTGTTCTCTTGAGCGAAACTAGAGGTTTGATCCTGTCGGAGTCACTGCTGGAGAAACTTGAGCGCCGCTTCCCTTGATTCCCACACTGCTGTCTGTGGTTCTCCCCTGACTGTTTGTGAGGGGGAGGGCATGACAGATTGACAGATGTGGTAGGATGTAAAAAAAAGAATGAGGACAGAGAGAAAAATGAATTTGTATACCAGCAAAGAATTTAAGTAACCTTCAGATTTATTGGTCTGAGACCACTGACGTCTGTATGTTTTCAACATATGAGGTGAGAGGTTTGCGTTTAAGTGCATGTCAGAGGGGTTAAGAGAGGTGTTTACTGGCTGTAAAACCACCATGACCTCTTGCCTTCCTGTCACCAGTTGATTGCTTTTTCTTTTTCGCCTTCCTCTCCCCTCCACTCACGCCCACACACTGCTTTTTTTCTGTCCTACAAAAAGCCATCATTGATAGCCATGTAACAGAGCACTGTCTGTCCGCTGACTGATATGGGGTGTCATATTTCGTCTGTGACAGTACCAAACAGCTGCACACACACAGACATGCAGCTTCTAATCTTGTCACATCAAAGTTAAGCATCAGACATGAGGTTTTACTGAACAAAGACTACCTGTCTGTGAGTCTGAGCACACGAGTCTCACCTCAATGTCTTCATTGGGGACCTCATCGTATGTTGCAGAGGATGTGACCCACCTAGGATCAGAGAAAAAGAGGGAAAAACTCTGTGAGGTCCTAGCATCATTACACTGGTCAGTGGCCTCACCCTGACCTTGTTGAAATCTCTCAACTCCTCCCTCTCGGTTTCACTCACAGGAAGGAATGCCTTGCAGCGTCGCGGATGTTAGCAATGGTATCCACGTCAACATAGTCGTAATGCAGTGACTCTGGGTCTGTAGTTGAGCCTGTCTCTGCCAAAAGGACGCCGAGCCATTTTCCAAGTTCTGCAGAGCTGCTAGCCTAAAAAAATAGGAGTATGTATATAAAATCCTATCATTTAAATATACAGTTTTTAGGCATCTAGTGGGCAGCTAAACTTATTTAGATAAGTTATAAAAAATATTCTGCGGCACAAATACTGTGCAAAATATTTACTTCATGGTCGTTATTGGTGTATGTGGCCAGCTGATTGCTGTATTTTATTTGTTTGTATCATTATGGGGACAGTTGAACCTGTTAAGCAACGTTCTCGAATAAGTTTCCGTCAGGACTGTGTAGTGTATTACATTTTACTATATGGCATTTTATAGTGTTGTTCTAAACCAAACCATGCTGTGCTGAACTATGACCTGTAACACTGTATCATATCAGATCATATTGTGTCACAGTGGTTGTATGGTACTGTAGCTACTCTATAGTATCAAAGCTATCACATTTAATGGTATTGTACAATACTGTATCATATGATTTTATATTATGGGGTATCATCGTCATTGGACTGTACCACAGTAATTGTGTGGTAATGTAGCAATCATATTGAATTGTATTATAGCACATCATTTCGCATCATACTGTTGTATCATGTATTATACCATAGGTATAAAATTGTATAATAGTGTATCTTATTATATCGTATCATATTTTATCATACCATATCATAACCAATCCCTTCGTTTTATACTTTAGGGTATTGTTGTTATTGTAGCTACTATATGGTATTGTAGCAATCATATAGAATAATATCATATTGTGCCTTTGTATCATATTGTACTGTGCTGTATCATAAAATTTAGTGTTCTATTGTAGCCGTTGTATTGTATTGTAGCTATTGTATTGAATCATATCATGTCATTCTGTATTATGCTGTATCACATTGTATCATAGAGTATTGCCTTGTATCATATTGTATTGTTTTGTAGTATCATGTTGTATTATATTATATTATTATATTCAACTGCATCATGCAATATTGTATCATAATGTGTTACACTATACAGTGAGATGAACTATGATACAATATTGTATCATTTGTATTAAATGTTTGCGTTGTATCATTTGTTGCCACTAACATATCCTGCAGAAATGAATCCCTCTAAACTTTCATTTAAACTGTGTTAATGTCTAACCATCAAATTCAAAAATGTCTTTTGTACCTCCAGAGCAGCCACCTCTGTGCTGTTCCTTAAAATTCTGAAGGCAAAGGGGTGTTTGGGCCCCAGCCCCGGGACCACCTCGCAGCCTTGCAGTGGGAGTGAAGGCAGGGAGGTCCGCGGGTCTCCCTTTTCATTGTAAAAGTGAAGAGAGCCTCTGCACACACAACACCACTGCTCCCTCCACACCTGATTCACCAGCACAGACAGGTAGCCTGCATGGAGATGAGTGAAAGAAAAATTAGGTGCCTGCAAATTTAAAGACACAAAGAGTGAGGTTGATGGTGAAATATGGTCCAACCTTGTCGAGGATCGTTGAAAGATGACCGGGGATCTCCTGGACGGGGAGACTTTTTCTTGGAGAAGCTGATGATACGTGTTATTTTACGGCCCGCTGCAAGAGCCCCCCGTTTGACTTTGCCTGGAACAAAAAATTGAAAATAAAAAAGACAAATTATGTTCGGCCTGTTAAAACAGCAATTCACACTTAGTTTTCATTGAGATAGCTCAGTTTTCAAGTTTAGTCTTGAACTCTGGAGTGCCCACTGAAATGGCTTTTTTCTGTGACAGGTTAAAAAGCCTGTTTATCAACTCTGGCAAAATCTAATCTGTTCATCATTATAACTGAAGAAGTTATATTTTGTAAAGCAGTTAAATGTCCTAACTTTATGACCCTGTAACACAGAAGTGCCTTGAAACTCCCAAAATATGGCTGCCATTAAAACCCATTGAGCAAAGTTTCATTCATGCCAAACAAACACAGATTGTATTATTTTGTGGTTTGCGTCAAACTCCTACAACAGACAGATGTTTTAAATTGTCAAGTGACAATGTAGGGGGTGAACATAGTAAAAATCTTTCTTTTCTCTATTATTCATACGATCACACACTAATATAGCAGTAATCAATCGGAGATGGTATCACTTCCACAGATGCAGATTACAGACAGCTAGAGGCATATGCTGGCTGCTGTATTGATTTGAGACTGTGTGTCTTTATCTCACCGTTTTCTCTGCAGTTTTCTCCAGTCGACACACCCACGCTGTCTGAATCTGATGTGTTCCTCTCTGCAGATAATCTCTGAGGGAGAATAAACACAGGTTAAGACTCATTGTCTCCCTGTAGAATTTAACTGTAGCCAAGCTCTCTCCACTTACTGTATGTCCTACAAACTACGAGTACTTAAATTTCATTTTATTCCTCTCAGGTGCAACACAGACCTGAATTCATGAAATAATGACAGAACGACGTAACCCTCTGGTATTTTCTCTCATAAACTTCCCTCTCTCATCACCTGGTGCTTTCATTGATGAGAGAGTCTGGTAGGTTTATGTTCTGACAGGTTGGTAAGCTTGTAAGTGGATGTGTCTGTCCCAACACTGACTCACTACCACTGGTGTCATTTGAGTCTTACCATCCAATTATGATTCAGAGCTCATCTTTGTTCTTCAAGCTAAATACAGGTATCACTATGAACTAAACAATTGGTAAGGAAAATTGATGCTGACAACTCAATTACTGCTTTTCCTCACCTCATCCGTGGGTGTTAATTATGTTTTAGAGTAAGACAAAAAAGCAACCTGACAGCAACGTGCCAAAACAAACATCCTCTCCTCTGTACTTACCTTGTCAAGGTCAGTTTTTCTTTGAATGACAGGAGAGGCAGATTCCTCAGTCCCAGTGCTGTGGCCGCTCACTTCTTTGACAACCTGCAGGAATATTTAACATATCATTCCTCTGATGTTTTCACACTGTCAAAACCAAAACTAAAGCCCTCAGTGTCAAAAACTGTCTGCGTTGTTCAGGGATGCAGTGTCCTCACTCTGTTCACTTATATCAGCATAAGTCAGTACACCCCCTGTTAAAAGTAATGTATTTCTCAATATCTAGATGAGCAAAAGTACAATTTCCAAAGTTTTGACAAAGCTGAGTTTAACATAACATTTTATTTTCCATAAGATGAAAATAAGGGTGATACGGTTTGCTCCCAGAACTTTGATTGGGGTGTACTCATTTTTGCATCCTGATTTTAAATTGAAAAAAATACTTCCTTGTATGAAATTTAAAAAATCTTGTTCGCAATCAATGGCTTTCATTTGGGGGAGTATTATGTTATATAGTCTGACATAGAAAATGTTGATTTTGAAAAGAAACTAAAGGTTTTCTGACAACTCTGAAGGGGTGTACTCATTTATGCTGAGCACTGTACCCTTTCTGCATGTAACTTGGCATTTACTAATCGCAGTAGCTGACAAATCTATTGCTTTTCATTAATTTAATGATCGTCAGCTAGTCAGGCCCATGCTGCAGTTGACTGTAAGGTTCTTGCTTTTGCAAATAAGAAGGCACATTACATATAAAAGAACAAAAGAGCGAAGTGAAAGCCCTACTTATATTTCTAATCATTCAGTCTTTTAACCTTGTCTCACTTATATTTTGCCATTATTATGTTAGTTATACAACAGTTTATTTACAACCCAAGAGCTATTTGTGTTTTAAAAGAAGATTGAATTTGTGCTCCCTCAAAGATAATGAAATGAAGGCTTGTATCATGCGCGCCATTGTCTTTATATTAAGATTAATTTTGGTTCTTGGGCAAAATTCCTAATGGGGGGATTAATTTATTACAACAAATGCAACAACACTGAAAGAAAAAAATGGAACCAGCTTTATAGCTAAACTGTTATTTTTTTTTCATGTGTAATTGGTATGAGCTCTGATTTTCTTAATTACTACATCTCTGAAAACGAAGCTGTAATCCTGTATGTCACTTTACCCTCAGCCATCTGTGGGCCTGCTCTTTGCTTTGCACTGCCAGCACCAGTGCGTCTCCATTTGGTAAGGTGAAGCGGAGTTCATGGTGCTTTCTCTTGCTGTCTTTGGGTGCATAGACCACGGTGCACTGGGGCAGCAGCAGGTCAACATAGGGGCATGCATCCTTAGAGCTCTTGTAGCACTGCAGAGAGAGGATAGTTGAGTATACGGCAGCTGTGTTTTAATGCTGAATGCATGTGTTTTTTTTTCTTTCTTTCCTGAAGACTCGATCGGCTCCTCACCTGTAGTCTGTTTTCCCGTATGACAGTGAGCTGCTTCGCCCATTGACCGAAACGTTTCTTGCGCAGCAGGAAGGCGCAGATGCGACAGTCTCTGGCAGGAGGCATAGAGCTCTCATCAGAGGGCCACTGATGAGTCAGTCGGACACCAGAGCTCCTCTCCTCTTCGTCTTCCTCATAGGACTCGTAGGAGCTGCTCAGAGCATCTGAGTCATTGTCTGCAGGAGAAATTACAGGAGAGATATATGCAATCTGCTGTCTGTAAACAAAGACATCTCTCCATTACAGCTTCTGCACTGAGCTCACATGAGTTTTTGCGGTGTGAGTTAATGCAGGTAGTTGGATAGTTGTTCTCAGCATCTTCATATCCGTCCTCAATGGAATTTGGAGGGCTTGGCCTTACAGCTGAAATGAAAAGAAAACCTAATTGGACTCGACAGGATATTCCATTAAAGTGTATACTTTAATGCAACTTGCACTTTGTAATTATGTTTGGAAAAATGCCGCATGCCGTGTTTATATACTTTAAGTGCTAAGTACTGGCCTCAAGTTTTTTTTAAAGCAAAGTGGCATTAAGGGCACTGAGTTCATCACAGTGGGAAGATGCTGACCTCGTGTGATGATGTATTCGGGCATCTTGCCAGGGCTGAGCGGCACTGCCTCCTCATAGTACTCCTCGGGAGGAGGCGTTGTGGGCAGAGGTGGGGGGGAGTCAGCTGAGTGAGAGGCTGGGGAGTCTGTGCAGTTCTCCTGATGGAGACATACAAACACACAGATCAGGTTTCCTCCATAAACATAAAAGATTTTAATTCACAGTCTGAGAACTACATCATCAAAGAGACACAGAATTAAACCCTTATAATAATATCCATAAATTAGACACTTGGGCTCTGGGCGGGCCCTGAATCTTAACTCTCTAACAGCTTGTAGAGTGATGAGCATGTGTGCACGGGAAACCCCCACAACATGCAATACAATCTCTGTTTGCTTTGCTTTTTTTGAGAGAGGTCAAATACTCCTCTGGAAAGTTGGATTTGGAAAAAAAAACGTGCTGAAATGACGGACTGCATCGTCTAAAAGATGGATGAATTCACATACATAAAACAACAAACATCCTTCAAACACTGTTAACCTACTTTCAAGATATTTAAATCAAACTCACTTGTAAAGAATATTACTATAAATGTCATGGATTCACTTGCCTGTTTGAAAGTGTCCATTTGCAGGTTTTTGTCTTCTTTAAGATCATCTGTGACATCTTTAAGATCCCCTATCTCGCAGTCTAAGAGAAAACGACATACTTTTATTCACTATTAGTGTACATTCAGACTATTCGCATGTCATATGAAGACAGGATTTCATTTTGAAACCTTAAACTGAGGTCCAAACTCACCGAATGTTTCAAAGAGAGACTCCACAAAGCTGGTGCCATTTCTGTATACTGATGAGTTCATATAGATGTAGTCTGTTCCTGTAACTATAGACAAACAAACACACACACACACACTAATGACTGGTAAGGTTCATAATTGTACCTAATGATAAGTGTGTACATATTCATAGGGTGTAAAAGTCTCTCCAAAGAGTCTGTCTTCTCTCTTTTCACTGACCAGTCGGCTGTATCTGCTGCAGGAGGTTCCACACGCAGGTCTTCTTCTCTTGCGTGGACGAGCTGAGGTTCTCCTGGTCCAGCATCTTTAGCAGTACGCCAAGCTCATTCACCAACACCTCCATCGCTGCACAGGGGAGAACAAAAGGTCAGTAGGGCAGGGGCTTTGTATATCAGCAAAAAGGGCAAAGGTCAGACTGAGAAGTCCAAACAAACCAAGAAGTGGATGTCAGAAAACGAAAGACAGGGAAAACCTCTCTGACGCTTCACTTCCCAGTTTGTATATATCAGTCTGTCACCTTATCACAGCTGCTGCTCACCCCCTCTCTCCTCAGCCAGACAGACTAAACAACAACAGATACAGTCTCAGGAAACAGGTTTACTCATTAAACCAGATGAAAAGTGAAAACAGAGATAGCAGCTCTTTTACAGAATAAAAACAGCCTCACTCTGTCATCAGAAAGCAGTTTAGTCTCTCCGCAGCAGCTCTGAGATGTTGCTGGCTCACACTGAACCTCACACAAACCCAAATTTCAATCATCCGTCACTCCTGTTTCTAAGAAAGGTCAATTAACCGGTCTGCAGAGATGTTGGCAGAAATATGAAACCCCGACAAGAACAATCAAAGGACTACTTAACAGAGGCCAGAGGAGGCCAAATCCATCAGCGCTCAGAGGGACCTGATCTTTATCTAACAGTCAGGAGATTTCAGTCATGGATTCACAAAAGCCAGAGCTGGCTCAGACAGACCAACCTTCTGCAACACACACTTTTCACATGGGTTTCTAACGCCGTGTGGCTTAAAGGGATATATGCTTCACATCTCATGTTGATCTGGGAGGTGGGACCACTCCACTCCCTGTTTTCAGAGCAGAAATTAAATAAACCGTCTCAATCCTGCAGCTGCTGGACCCTCTGAGAACAGGTCTACAACCTGCTGCTGTGTTTGGATTCTTCTGTTACTGACAAAAGCAGCTTTCACCAATCCTCTGTTATTTCATTAAGCTTTTGTTTTTACTCTCTCTGTCTGTATTGTTGCATCCTAGCGGGCTTTCTCTGTCTCAATAATCCTTAAACCCACTGAAATCTCTGACAACTGGCTGAGTCACTGCTGGCACACTTGTCTCCCTTTCCTCCACTTCACACTCCCACCCCTTCTCTCTCTTTCTCTCTCTCTCACCCTGCTTTCACAGTCCAGCCACATTAGACCTGCTGAACCATGCATCTTGCAAGAGGTCAGCCGCGGGACAGCCTAGCTGAGCAGAGAAGTCTTTGTTCTGTTGGCGGTCGTATGGTAACAAGACCTGTTGCTGAATAAACACAAAATGTGCACATGAAGATATGCATAAAAATGTAAGGGTATGCCAGCCTGTTTATTCAGTGACCCAGCTGCCAAAGCGACACACAGAATAACCTGTTGTGTTTGTGTGCAGGTTTGATGAGTGTGTTTACTCTCGAATGTATCACTCCGACACACAATCTTGCGCTGACAAGCAGAAAATCTTGATGTATCTGCTGTTCGTGATGTGAGTTCTTCATTTCTGACTGCTCCCACTCCTTAAAGACAGACATACTTTCCTGAGGTGGGTCTTCCTATGGGCTTAACAATGCCCAGCCAAGGCTACAGTAAAGAGCAACAACAGCTTCACTAGGTGTGTGTGTGTTTGCCTGAGTCTGTGTATCCACTCTGTCTTCTTTACTACTGCAGTTTCCGTCTATTGTAACAAAAGCGCACTCAGAGAAGAGCACATGAGGATTTTATTCACGGACAGACTTGGAATGTGTCCTCATTAAGATCCGATTCACCCCGGGGGGCAGATGAGGAAGAGGAGGTCATGGATGGAGAGGAAACTCATGAGAGAGGGAAGTGTTGCTGCGTCTCTCTGCCAGAGGTTCCAGCTGTTTAGAATCTGGCTCGAGCTCACGCTGGGCTTCCCCTAATCGAGGGAAAGATAGAAATTCATCCACAGTGTGACTCATTCACAGAGTGGAGAGAAAGTCGAATTTAAACCAGTCAGCATTTAATCAAATATAAGACAGAAATAAAGGCGTTACTTTTAAGGATTTGGCGTCAAACACTCCTAAACTATTACACTATTTCACTTGGACCAGCTTTCTTAAGATCTGATTATCCAATTTGACGATTACAGCGTTATTCAACTCGTGCCAAAATGAGCAAAGAGGAATTACTAAATAGTTTTTGGCATGTGAGGCATGTAAGACCACCCTAAAGTCTCCAGTCATGCCCTCATAATCAACCCCACACTACTTACACTTTGCGAGCAGCACATGATCCTTTAAATCTCTGCCCCAACTGTTAACCTGTGTGTGTTGTTTTTATTGTTTTTATTCATTGGCTTTTAACCCTCCATGAGACTCCGCTCCTGTTTTAGTGTTTTATGGTTTGTTCTTAGTTATTTGTTTCTATGTTTTTAAATTAGTTTTTAAAAACATTGAAGCTATATTTTATTATTAATTCTGCTTTTATTTTTTTTTTATCCATTGTTTTAATTGTTTCTTGATTGTTTTTTATCTTGTTGTTTTTGTCCTGTTATGTACAGCACTTTGTACAGCTGTGGTTGTTTTAAAGTGCTCTACAAATAAAGTTGAGTTGAGTTGAGTTGAGTTGGTGTGAGTTTGAAGAGTCTTTGATGTCTTTAAATACCAGATAAAACTGTTTTTTTAAGCCTAGCACCTGCGGGTAATGACACGGAAGCTGAAATACTGCTTGGAAACAATTCGGATATGGTTTGATTTTAGCAAAACGAAAACAAAATAGAGATGTTTGCAGCTTGAGAAGAATAAAAGTAGCTTATTTCAGCCAAAATTAACCATTTACCTGAAACTTTTCAGTTGAAACTTCATGATAGAGCAGAAAATATGTGTGGGCAGTGCGCCATGCCTGCAGGAATGTGCAACACTTTCAAACCTTTACCTCTTCACACCAATCTGACAATTGCTGTTAAACACAAGACACATTCCTCACCTTGTTAATAGTGCCAGACTCTGCAGAGTGTTTGTGTGCATTGTGTAGCTACTGCAGCAATGAGGGTACTTTAACAGTGTAGACACAGACTTTTAAAAGAAGCTTGCATTAGTAGACTTTCTGAGGGAGTGAAAGAGGAGGGGGGGGAATAGAGGTGGGTGAATAATGTCAGCGAGTTGAGCACCTGTGCTAACATGTCCAACAAACCTTGATACGATGAATAGTGTGACCTCGATTGGATGCTCTGTTTTTTTTTCTTCCACTCCCTCTTTTCACATCTATCTTAAAATAATCCACAGTGTTTTGACAAAAAAGTCACAATTCAATAAGTCTGCACTGATTTGTTTCACAATAATGTTGCAGAAAGGTGTTCCAGTTAATCACACACACATTCACAGAGAGTCTCTGGTGGCTCCAATAAAACAGAGTTTCACAATGAGTCTGGGTGGCAAAAATGTGGATTTCTCAACAGTTTAGCTTATTTCAACAAGCAGCTGTGATTGTACCGGTGTTGTAAATATCACATGTAACATTAAGTCTTCTGTATCAGCTCAAAGTTTCCATATGTTGACATGTCATTCAAGATCTCAACATCGTTCTAGTTTTAAAACTCCCTCCATCCTTTCACCGCTTACCTTCAACAGCAGTGGATGACAGTCCCACCATTTTCCAGAGCTGAGAAGACGACAAACTGGTTCATTCACAAACCATCAGAAACTAAAGACAGTGAAAAAGCCTCCTGTGTGCTCCGTCCTGTGAAGTCTTTGTAGTGGAGGTGAGCTGAAGTCTGCCTCCTGCTGCACTCACACTCCCCTTACCTCTCCTTTCCTCCTTCTGATCTGTTATCTCCCAACACCTCCTCCTGCACTCCAGCTCCCCTCCTTTCTTTTCCTTTAGGAAGGAGGGGGGGTAGTGCCGCTCTGTTTGCATGTGTGTGTGTGTGTTTGTGTGTGTGTGTGCCTCTAGTGCAGCCCCCTCTGCTGTAATCCCAAGGATCATATAGCACCTGGGAAAGGCTTGCTGTGTAAACACACGCATGTCGACTAATAGCTTACTCACATTCTTTATTCTTTCACATTCTTTCCCTCAACACATGATTAACCTTTAACTAGATCCACATAGGGGCTGCTGTGCACAACATACCAGTGAACCCTTCAACACCCATGATACAGTAAGGTATTGTTCTTCTACTTTACATGAGAGCATCTTCATCACTCTATGATACAAATAAAGAAGCTAATTTAACCACTTTTCTTTCTGTTGCTGTACATCTTTATGAAAATTTGTAGTGAAAGATATAATGGGGGTTAGGTAAAGGTTATAAACTAGAGGTGGAGGCAAGTTGAGACTTTTCAGAGATGCACGTGGATGACTCGTTGCCTTGAGGCGAACTCATGTGCCCCGACAGGATGCAACACGCTGCTTTCAATCACAGGGGCACCAACGCTGCACTAACAGACCCTCGAGCACTCAGAGAGCACTACACAACCTTATCCACAACAATGCTGCAACTCACACACACAGACAAAACAAGAGTAGCCTTTTACTGTATATCAGATGAAGAATTTACACACCGTCAGCTGGCTGGAGGACAGCCTGATGCACAAGACCGTGCTGGTGACCACATTGAAAAAAAAAAAAACAGTAGGCCTTTCGCAGTGGCACATTTAAACAGTTCTTATGACCCAGTTTTAAAAACACGTGAGTTAAGGAGACAGATCAGGGTTTAAACCGACACAAACATTACAGAAATCCTGTTTTATATCTTTATTTCAAAATGGTTATCTGTGTCAAGCGCAATATACCCCCCCAAAAAATAAGGTGTTGTGAATTTGTACCCACCCTGTCATGCAAATACCACAAACCTCTGGTTTAAAAAGAGAACAACATGAGGATAACGAAAAAGCCAAACTCAGGACTTCAACGTGGTCTATAAACACAGTGGGAATGCCAAGGTGACTGCACCCTTTTAGATATACCATAAAACAACACGGATGACATCAAGCTATGAGCCAAAGTTGCCAGGTCTTGCAAGAAAAGTAAGTAACCAGGTCCAAACAAGCTCTAAGAACTTATCTGGCTTAAAAGCGTAAACCAGCAATTCACCTGTCTTTTTATTTTCTACATTTTCCTATTAAGTATTTAATGAGGTCTGTGTGATGCACATGACTTTAACACTTACAAAATTTACAAGTACATTTAACTCATATCCATCTGCAGGTTGGAGCTACTCTTATCTCTCTCTCTCCCTTTTGCTGTTTTCTGTATTCCAACCACATGTCATTGTCAGCCATGTAATAAACGCTGCAGTCCATGAATTCACCTGGGAAAAGGAAAACCTTTTGTTACGGATTCTGTAACACGACAAGTCTAACCCTTTCTTGAAGGAAACTATTGGAGAAACAGGGAGCAAGGGGGAGCTCAAACAAGCAACGACACAAACCAAAAAAATGAAACCTGTGACTGATGATGTTTTTTAAAGAAAAAAGAAAGTCCAAAGTGGTGCTCCCATTTGTCATTTCTTCGATTGAAGACTATTACAAAATTCTTCCTCGCTGTGACAAATACCACAGACACATCCTTCCAGGTTAGTCATGGCTTCTCAAACCACTCCTTGCTGTGACTAAATGTGACCTCTGACCTCTCTGTGAAGCTGTAAACTCACACAGGAGCATAGATGCCACAGGAGGGTTGGGAAGGTACAAGTTTCTTCACATTAAAACTGGTCCGGTTCTCATGTAAAACAGACTTTAAGTCCAGCAGACTGGCAAACTAGTCCACCATGCAAAAAAACACAGTAGAAACCACAGAGATAAAGTCCTGTTAGACAAAGCTGCTGTGAGAAACACAAATGCATGTACCATCTGTGTCTCCACAAGAGATCAGAATCTAATGAAAACTGCTGGGTTTCCTTGGAAGTCGCCCCTTCCTTATTGTCTTTGGACATGCTGGATATACAGCCATTACCCAACCTGATCGGACATGAAAGAGCACTGCAGGTTGAAGACTTTGAGGTGTCCAGAAAACAGTATGGGAGTTTTTCTTTGTCTCATCACAAAGACCACATGAACAATATGACCCAGTTACTTGTGAAAGAAAAAGAAAAACAGTTTTTCATGTGTGAGAAAAGACAAAATCTTATCTCATGTCAAGTGAGTCATTGGAGAGGTTTTCAGTTGAGAGACAGCAGGGTTTGAATGTTATCTTCATGCCAGAGGAGGGTTATCAAAATACCACCATGCAACTGTCTTTCATGCCTGGAAGTTTGAAGAAAACAGCTGATTCATAACATTTTAGAGCAGATAAAATCCTCTGAAGTCACATCTGTATTTCTAGATAGATCACAGGGGTGTGTGTAACCAAAGCACACCAACAAATGTGAGGTAAACCCCATGACCAGATGTGCTTGGTTTTTTTTTAATTGCATTAGGAGCCGTGCCAACAATGACTTCTCTCACCAGCCTGTGTGCCCTATCATGATGAAATCTCCTCCCACTCTACTCCTTAGATTCCAGGCATTTCCCAAGTCTGACGGCTCTCCTCTCCTCGACACTAAACATGCCTGGGCAGTCATCTCCACTGCCCATGATAAGTGAACTGAGACAGTGCTGGTCTGTTGGGAAATGATACAAATTAGTATAATGACTGCAACTATGACCGAGCTGTCAAAGATGTACATCTACTACTGAACCCTGAGGGGATTTCCTGAAGCTTTTGTAAACATACTTGTATGTACTGCAGATACAACAACTTTATGTGCTATGTTAGAAGGGTCAACTATAGTGACTTCAGTAGCATCCACTAAGCTTTACAATTCTTATCAGCAACACGGTGCATCTATATGGTGCATTTTTACTGCTTTCCAAAATGTTGTTATACGGTACTTCACCCCTCTCATTGGTATTATTTCTAAGCACAGCAGCCTGCAACTTAAAGCTGCATGCTATCTCCACAACACCAAAGATCTATAGACCAAGGAATAACAAAATAAAAGAAAAAAAATGGATATTTTCAGAAACTTGTCATTCAAACTTAGTGGCCAACCAAGGTAGATGATCTGCAATGGCCCTGGTGATCTTCTTTGGTAGAAACGTGCTGCATATGTTCAGACAATGCAAATCTAAAAACACATGCAACAGTCCAGAATGAACCCAATATCAGAAAAATGCTGCAAATCCATAAAGTAAAGGTGATGCAAAAAGCCTTGCTTAAATAGCAAACATGCTGCAAAAACACAAATGATTTAAAGCTTTTTTAAACAGTTAAAAACACACAAAACCAGAAGAAAACTGCAAACATGAAAACTGCAAATCAGGAATTTCAACAGAAGTGCCCCAAGCAAATTTCAGTTTCATAGGTTTCATTCATTTTAAACTGGAGCTTATTTTTGACATTGCAGCACGTTTTTCCCAAATGAAGATTATATGGGCTCCTGCAGGTTTTTTTTCCCATACCTGCAACTGTATATACATGCATCTTACAGTGGGGACTAACTTCATTTGAAGCAGAGGGCTGGCCAAGCGCAGTCAGAGGACAGTGTGTTACTATCACTTAAGCATATGTAAGGGTACTGCAGCTCTTCAAGCGTAACCATAGCAAGGTCAATATTTACAAATGAGTTGAGCAGTGAAGACTTTGAAGCAGAGAAACTTTAAAACCTATGGTGCACATTCCCGACTTTTACCTACTGTGCACAAAGAAAAGCTTACTCAGCCTTCTTGAAGGAAATGTTGAGAGCTGACAAGACAAAGACCAGAAAATGTCCATGTTTACCTAAAAATAAGTCAAAGTAAGACACAACCTGATTCTGTTTATCAGAATCTCCTAAATGTGCAAATGAGAAACAACTGACTAGCAAGTTTGTCAGAATGACCTTAATTGTCAGAGTTGCATTAATAGCTTGTTTCCACTGCCCAAAATAAACACTTAAAGTAGGTTACCAGCTACTTAATCTAGGTTATTATTACTGGCTCTGTGCCTGTCAAACACACAGGAAGGACATTAACGTTAATTTCCCATATTCATTTGACTGTCTGGGAAATTTTATGAGATACCCCAGGGAAGCAAGAAATTGAAGAACATTGGAAAACACATCAGAAACCAACCCTGGGAACCCGACTGATGTGTGAAGTAATGTTTTATTTCTTCTGGAGGTAGCGTCTGCTTCACCTCACTTCGAGGGAGATTTCCATCTGACCTAATTCAGAAAGCACAAACCCCAATCATTTATCTGGTTCTAGCCTTTTTTTGGCACAATTAAATTACGTTGACATTTTCGTAAACACACAAACTAGCTTTGACTATCCACCACTGTGTCATGATTAGTAAAACCGGATAGGGTCATAAAGTCTAAGCTGCAGGGGGAGAAACCCAAAATCCAGACAGTTACTGGCATGACAGCACTAAATTAAAGTTCTCATAGTCAGACTCGCATACCTAAATAATGCAGCCGGGGATAGATCTGTACCGTCATGTATACAGACCTGACTATGCATCTAAACCTACTGACTGGTAAACTTGGCGAGTGTACAAGGAAGAGGGGAAGATCAGTACAGTGCAGCACAGATTACAAGAGAGAACTTTTTTTGTGAGGAAAGCACAGTACTTGAAAAAAGTGAGAAGAGGCTGAGCCCTCGGAAAATAACACATCACTTTGTCTAAATGGCATATGTATACATGTGGGTTATTTCATGACATGCATCTGTATCAGCCAAGACGACTTGGTTGATTATCAGAGCCAGCTACCAAGATAGCCTTGTAAGCTCTGTTGTTTTATGTTTTGGGGCTTTGTTTGGTTGTAAAATGGGTTTTTGGTTGACAACTCCCACCTATTATCAAAACTGATATACACTAATATTGACACTGATTTGATGGTATCCTGACCCCCTTGACAGAGCCAGCGGCTGGGAAAAAGCCTGTCATATGTCAAATCTACAGAGATGAAGCTAAAATCGTCAAAGCTGCAGTCAAAGAGCATGCTGTCTCTGATAACCTTGCACTTGAAGACCCTGTGAGATTGATTCTGATCATAATCTGCATGCTGCCAACGAAACACTCTTCCTGTCCTACATTTGTTAATGGGCTCACGACCGTATTGGGATGCCTCCTATGGAGATGGACTTCCTCCCCTCACTGATGACATCACCTATCACCTCCGGCCTTCTGTTTCCTCTTCCTGTCAGCTGAGCCTCTCCTGCTTTTACTGTACTGTCTCTGGTGACCCTAATCTCAATACCCTGTCTAGATCCTACGCTAGATAGTATTCAATACGCCAACCTCAATGATTGTATTTCAAAGATGTGACAACATAATAGAGCTCCTAATTATGGCATAATAACAAACCTTTTTTTAGCCGCTGCAGGTGTCCCCTTGAGACAGAGAACTTCTTTCTCATGGCTCTGACATGTTCATTAGTTATGAGGGTGGGTGTTTTAGACAAACATGGAACAATCAGAGAGCACACTGTAAACATGCCAACGTTTGGCAGCAGGTGAGAGCGACATGTGGAAAAACTTATTTGGTTTGAAAGAGTCATAAAGGTGCACTAATTAAGACCAGATAGAGGGAAAAAACCTGTCCTCCCCGCTGTTTTTATTGTGCACTGGGAGATGCTTCAGGTTATCATAAAACACAGCAACTACCCCAACACACACACACACACACACACACACACACACACACACACACACACACACACACACACACACACACACACACACACACACACACACACACACACACACCATGATACTCACAGACCTCCACACTATACAGTAAATACAAAGAGATGGAAGTAGACACTTTATCTATTTATTCATATGTGGAGCAGGTCTTATTCTGTTCAAGTTGTTTCCTCTCACAATGGTTTGTTACCACTTTTACAAACAGAACGAGTCTCTAATGGTTAGACCTAAACTCAAACCTCAAGCACCTGAAGCACACACTCCAAAGCTTCAGAAGAACTCAGGACTTTCCACCAGGTGTTTTTGAAGGCATGTGGGTGGGCAACAGCTCCCTCTCCCCTTCCAAACACAAAAGAGATGTTTCTTACTCAGCTGTCCTTCCAGGCTTCCTAACAGCTGGAGATACTTGCAGTTTAACCTTGTTTTGGCATATACTGTACCACCGTAAGCATCATTATGAACAAAATCAGAAGTATAGTTGTACACTACTTACCTCTAGAGGCACACTGAGATTTCCCCTGCTTATTCTATCACTTATGAAGTGTTTATAACTATTTTTGCACACATTTTAAGTCATTGTTTTGCCTAATTATGCAAAACTTGTAGCCTTGCAGCTTAAATATGAATGCAACATTAAAAAAAGTAATCATTACTAGTGCTTGCTGAGCTTTTGGAGCAGTGTTAAGTTTATTTACACTTAAATCCTTTTAGTATTAGTCAGAGTTTTGTCATTTTTACTCATAATAGTTTTTGTCAACAAACAGCCAAAACATTTTGATCTAGTTTTAACGTCATCATATTTTAGACGTTATTGTCAGCCAAAATTTGTGTCCCTAAATTTAGAATCAGGATGGTACTGGTGTTTGAATCAGTAGTGTTTATTCTCTTAACACTTTAACCGTAGCTGGATGATTAAGTTCAGAAACTCCCACAATGCATTGCTGATGTGCAGTCCCTGCTGATCTACTAAGGTGAAATAGATCATCCTTACAGTCTTTCCATGGCTGTACAATGGCATACAATTGCTGTATTTGTCCTCCTCTTTGAGTGCTGTGAGGTTTGGGGATCAATTTAGCTTGTTACAGGAACACGCTGCTCATACTTTTGGGGGGTGGATTAGATCCACATCTGGGACATTTGGATGAATTTTAGATGAAAACAAAATATATTCTCTTAAGTTTCTGTTATCAGTTGTGTATTTTAGCTTGTCCCGTCTTGTCTTGGTCATGTAAAAAATGGCACTGACTTCATTTTTATCCAAGGTAACACTGTTCTGATGGCAGCTACAGGTGGACACTGAAGGATCTGCAGTTTTTAGCATTTACTCTGTGTTTTACACTACTAGCTGTTTGGTTTCCTGTTTTGTTTGTGTTGACTACAAGCATGGTAGATTTGACAAGATAAAGAGAGAATGGAGGATGACAGGACAGATGATCCTGGTATCAGTTGTTCTTTAAAGGAGAAAAAGATTGACACAAAAAGAAAAAAAAAACAGTATTAAAATTGTTCTTCAGTGAGGACAAATCTCTGTCTTTGGTGCACTACAGACTGGACATATTAGCTGTTGCTTATAAGAGATCTTTCTTGCCAAAACTGCTTAAAGGCAGAGGGAGAAACAGTAGATGGGAAATGAGCAGCAGTGCTTTACTAACCTGACCTGCAACTGGAGCCTTTGACTCTCTCACTGCTGAGATAGCAGCTTCCTGCTATCACCACTGCTTCCCAGATTACTCAGCTGCAGTGAAGCCTTTGTTGGCAGTGTGTGTGTGTGTGTGTGTGTGTGTGTGTGTGTGTGTGTGTGTGTGTGTGTGTGTGTGTGTGTGTGTGTGTGTGTGCCCCTGAACTTCAAAGCTTCAGTGTTCATTGCTGCCCTTCAAAAGCCGGTTAATACTTAAACAGGTGAGTGGGAGTGCACCAACCCATAATTCTTCCCCTCCGTCACCATGGAAACGTCTCTACTGCTTAAGAGGCCTAATGACTTTGAGTAGATTTCTCCCTCTGAGACGAGCTCATTAAAGTGGCCTAAATAGAGGGACCATGGAGCCCTGTTCGAAATGACCCTACATTTGTTTGAGACAATGACGGCGGGAATATGTTACTCTCTGTCACAATGACAGCAAAGGGGGGAATTTAATCAAAACCTAAAGATGAAGGATTTTTTTTACTGGCCACCTCACTGTTTACTCTGTGTCTGTATCCATGGTGCCCAGCTGACTGCATACAGGAAATATGTTACTTCTATTGTCCTCAAGAACGTTTTGTGTTTGTAGCACAAAAGGTCAAATTGGTATCTTATCTAAGACAAACTGAATTGTGAGATTATTTGACAATACCAAGTATATTAAAATGAACAAGCAAAATTATATAAAGTGATGAGATTTCTTTAGATGTCTGATTGTCTGGCCAGGTGGCAGCGGTCACATCTGGGTATTAGTCATTGTGGAGCTGGGTCAGAGATCACAGAACTGACCATGATTTAGGGCCTGTCTCTCATCTGCCAAACCTCCTTCCTGTCGTTCTCACTCTTCATCTTGTGCTCTCTGATTTATTCAGGTCTGAGATGGCACAGAGGGCTTGACTCAGCCTGCTCTCAGACAAAGGCTCCACAGTGCAGTCAATATTATTCAGATCCCCTATCTGCCCTGAGTCCTATGAGATCACCACAATGCTATGTCTGCCTCACAGAAAAGTATTCACACACTGAGAAAGATGCTATTCTGCAAGTAGAAGCTCTGCTTTACTGATGCTGCACAGGCAAGGGTAATATACACAAAAACACACACACACACAGACAAAAAATGGGGAAAAAGGAGCTGCTTTGTCTCCATTTGGGATTTTTTGTGTTAATGAGATTTTGACCGGGGCAGAGCACTGTCAGAAAACTAGGACACTCTCTCAGTGGCTTCTTGCTGTTGTCTGAGTCTCTCCATTACAGGGCGGGATATAAATTCTTTATGAAGATGATTTGAGTTGCCTTAAAATCATCCTAACATTCACTCTATCATATCAGGCTGTTTTTTGTGGGTATGGGTGTGTGTGAAATGCAACATGAATAGAATCATCAGTATGAACACAGCATAATATATATACAAGGTGTTGACCAATATTGGTTTTTCAGGGGCCAATTGTTAAAAGAATAGAATAGAATATTCCTTTATTGATCCCTCATGGGGGAAATTTTTTTGTCACAGCAGCATCACAGACAAAGTTAGTGCAAAAATGCAGTTATAAAAATAAAGATCGTAATATTAAGAACTTAAATAAATGTAATAATTAAGAAAAAATTTAGGAAGGGGAGGAAGGGAGAAGAAAAATAAAACTATATACAATATACACAATTTAGATGCCAGTAAAAAGTGGTGGTGTGAGTTCAGTTTTATTACAGTTTGTTGTAAAGTCTTATTGCAGAAGGGAGGAATGATCTGCGGTAGCGCTCCGTCCTGCAGGGTGGGAGTCTCAGTCTGCTGCTGAAGGAGCTGCTTAAAGCCCCCACAGTCTGGTGCAGTGGGTGAGAGGGATTGTCCATGATGGATACAAGCTTTGCCAACATCCTCCTCTCACCCACCTCCTCCAGGGAGTCTAAAGAACAGTCCAGGACAGAACTGGCCCTCCTGACCAGTCTGCTCAGTCTCTTCCTGTCCCTCTCAGTGCTCCCTGCCCCCCAGCAGACCACTGCATAGAAAAGTGCAGATGCTACCACAGAGTCATAGAAAGTCCTGAGCAGAGTCCTACACACTCCAAAGGACCTCAGTCTCCTCAGCAGGTGGAGACCACTTTGGCCCTTCTTGTACAGAGCATCTGTGTTTGTTGACCAGTCCAGTTTATTGTTGAGGTGGACACTCAGGAATCTGTAGGACTCCACCATCTCGATGTCAAGACCCTGGATGTTCACTGGAACAGTCTGAGGTGTCCTCCTCCTGCGGAAATACAACCATCCCCTTTGTCTTACTGGCGTTGAGCTGGAGGTGGTTTGTGCCACACCAGTTGACAAAGTCACTGATGACAGTCTTGTATTCCCGCTCATCCCCTGACGATACACATCCGACGATGGCTGGGTTTGGTGTTTGCATACAGTAAGTCCAAAGTTTTATTGTCTCTTGTTGGGCATTCCACAAACTGGCTGAAGGTAGGGAGAGTGGAGGAGAGCGATGATGATCAGAGATGATGATCAGAGACTGAGGGTGTGATGTTTGTAGCTTGGACACTTCACTGTGGAGGAGTTCACAGGCTGCAGCAGCATCAGCCGAGAGGGGGATGTAAACAGTTAACGCGATGACGTGCGAAAACTCCCTCGGCAGGTAATATGGCCACAAACTCACAGCCAGCAGCTCAATGTCCTTAGAGCAGAGCTGCTCTTTAACACTGACGTGCCCACCATTACACCATCTCTCATTCACATACACCGCTATCCCGCCTCCTTTCTTCTTACCACTCTCCCTCGTGCAAATCCGTCCAAAGTTACGAGCAGGTCCGGAGTAAGTTCGTTTAGCCATGACTCATGAGGCTGCACTCCCGTTACTCCGACTGCAGCTGAGTCAGCGCTGTGAGCTCTTCCATCTTGTTGGGGAGAGACCTCATGTTTCCCATGATGATGGACAGGACAGTTGGCTTAAAACATCTCCACTTTGCCCGATGCTGAACTCCAGCTCTGCATCCTCTTCTTCTCCTGCGGAGCTTGGCGGGGATGTCGGGTTTCTCCCACGAAGGTGGCCGGGCTTGGTGCAGCGCCAATAGCTGTTCACGGCTGTAAACAATAGAGCCGCTGAACAGGCCACCAGAGGCGGACTTAAAAACTCCAAAAATTAGAAGAAAAACAAAGTGCTACAGTCATGAAATGCACATCCATGATTGGAATATGCAAAACACAACACTGCTAATTAAAAAGAAAGACAAATAAGGTGCAAAAAACAACAATACAAAAGGCAAAAACGTAAACACTGCGAGGAGCTGCTGTGACATTACTGCCACTCTCAGGGCGCTCAGTCGCTCTGGGCGCTCTTGTGACTTTCTGTATTTGCCTTGATGATTTTCAAAGCTGTCTGCTGTGAAGCTGGGGGCAGAACCATGATTTAAGGCTGACATTTTCAGGTATTTTTGATGTTGAGCACTGCCTGTTATTAGAGAGATATTCAGAAACCCCCAGCATTGGGTAAATTCCACTGTGATACACTAATATGTGCCACAACTTTGCTGTGCTCCTAGATAAAGATCGTAACGTTTGAAAAGGAAATACTATAAAACAAGCATGATAAACATGTTGTAACTATGTTGGTCCATTCATTGAAATTCCACTGAAGGCTTTAAACACTCAACTTAAGTAATGGTGGCTTTCATTATATCATCTCTTCCAAGGAACAAAAGAAGAAAAACAAGTCTATACAAAACAAAATATGCCCTGTATTTTCCAAGCCAAACTCCAGTCTTGCAAAGCTCCAGTGATGAGTTTTAAAAGCACCTCACACACACATACGTTCACCTGCAAAGTTAAATTGAGCTTTATTTAGAGCTCAATTTGGGGACTAAACTACACAACTGTCCTTGTCCTAGGTAAGAATCATTGACAGAAGCATGCCTGCCTCCACTAAGGTAGGTGGCAACATGCCCTCTTACAGCTTGTTACCATCTGGTTGTCAGATAGTAGATTACACATCAAAACAGCCTGCAAAACATGTTAGCAGGAGACGTACAGGATCTACGTCAAATGATGTCACTTTTACAGCTCTGGACTGTTTGTTAGGAAAGCTTAGTCATGTTCATGTTCTTAATTCATTTGTTGAGGTTTTGCTTAAAAACCTGCTTCTAACAAGGCATCCATGCTATTCAACTTCTGGCTAATAGCCCAGTGTGTTAGTGTGCTAACTCTGTGCAGAACACTAAGGCCAGTTTCAGTTTGATTGAGCTGTATTCATGACGGAGAAAATCCATCACCAACTGTATTATCAAGGTATGCCAACTATGAGAAGTTTGATTTGGTGAGATTTCACTTGGACCGATGCAGAAACATGATTCCTAAAAAGTTTAGTTTTAGTAGGACAAAGACGAATAAAACATATTTTAACTGCATGTAAACGCACTAAAAACTGATCAAAGGGCTCAAATGCATCGCTTTGACTACTGGGGTTGCTGAGTCCACACAAACCAAAAGTTCTTCACAGGAGTTCTAAAGGAAAGGTCTTTTCACACCGGGACTGTTTTTTACGTGCGATTATTTCGAACGTCAATATTTTTTTTTCAAACCAGTATCCTGTCAATACAAGCGTTCACATCAGCGACGTTGTCCCGTCCTGCTATCTTGCGGAATTTATTTTTTCGGATCATGGTCGATTTTTCTAAAGTTTCGCATACTGTGTGTCCACTGACCAATCAGATTGTGTGTTGTTGCGACATCAGATTCACCGGTAAATCCAACATGGCAGACCGGCTGATTGTTTACGTGTCGGAGAACAGAGTGCTTTTTGATAAAAATCACAAATAATACAAAGATAATGACCTGAAGGACAACTTGTGGAGAGTCATAGTGTCGGATCTCTCATATGACAATGGTTTGTGTGCTTTAACAGTTTGCTAAATGTCTTTATTTTAACTTTCATCTGTGCTAAGTAACTTAAGCTCATAAGTTAACCTGTCCAGATACAACATACCGTATGTATTTTCACTGTCTCAAACTCAGTCGCGTTGCTGTCACAGCACCATTAGGTCTTGGTTGTTACCTTACGTTTATGAATTATAGTTTAATGTGCTTATCTGCTACTGGCCCCGACTCGGTACATGCTATCATGACAGACAGTCATCTTAACACTAGTGTCTAATCAGAACTGAAAACAGTCAGTCTGGTGTTGTGTTGTGTCAGTCGCAAAATCGCATCGAGCTCGATGTGTATAATCAGGCGCGTCAAAATTCTCCTCCGAATATTTCGTAATTTTGTGTTCTATATATGCGTCGGCCCCAGTGTGTAAGAACCTTAACTCTAGCCAAACACACAACCAACACTGTCATTATATATTATTCATTGTATCCAATGATCCAGACTCTGTGAAGTGTCAAACCTACGTTTAACCCTACTGGCAAGAATTCTCACACCCTTACATTAACATGATTCATATTTTGGAGCTTCTCTGTGGTTCCCATTGAGTAGTGACACTAATAACAGGTTGTGCATGTCTTTTCTATCTAAAACTCATAATATCTGCCAAGTCTCTCTCCAATAAATCTGAAATTTCCCTCCGAGTACCTGTCTGCATGCACACCCCAGGCACAGTCACGTTTTACCCTCAACAGCAGAAGTAGAAAACATATTTGAAGGTGTCTGTTCACACTCTAGTCCTCTGTTGCAACGCTGTGCAGGATATCTCCATGGAAACCCTATACAAACAGCTGGGCAGAGAATGACCATCGCCTATACACAATGTGCACGCCCACACATGCAATGACACCAAAATACACTGCACATATCTCAGCCATATGAATCATTGTAATCTCCCTTCAACTCACAAGGGTTAAACAGGGGAATTCCACTTCTTATAGGGCTGCTCCACAATCATGAATGATTTACAGTTCATGCACGATGGAGCATACATACATATATATTTAACATACTGTGTATGTGTGTCAGCATGTCTGTAGACTATCTTAAGGTCAAAAAACATATCAAGTCTAGCAGAGCAAATAAAAGCAGGGGACTTATGAACCTTTCATGCATAAATAACGATCATACGGAGGGGCGATCCCCTCGTCTTATAGCTCATATTTTCATAGCTGGTGTTCCATCTGGTTGGAACAACACTGCATTTATGATGCAGTGAAGAGATAAAGTGCTTCAATGAAAACAGCTTTGTTACTTAAATCTTAAATTAATATATCATATTTTGATGTTAAAGTGAAGGTGAACATTTACATTTGTAGCCAAAGTGATAACTTAGAACTATGAAAGTGGAATTGACACCACCCTGAACCACAGGATGAGCTTTTATGGCCGTGAAACTCCTGTTTCCTCATCTGAAACTACTTCCAACTGTGGGCCCAAAACCAGGACAATGAAAGCTCTGCATTTTGGTTGCATGAGCTAAAGTATGACAGAAAAGCTTGGGAAATAAAATGCTGACACAGGCATATTCCAGTAAAAACTGTAAAAACCTCAAACTCTACTTTTGGTTCATGAAAATGTGAATTGCATGATACCAAAGCTGCCAAAACAGAGAACAGTCATACTTTTTAATATCTAGTGCATTTATTTGAAAATAAAAACCATCAAAAGTACCAATGTTTAAGAAAAAGCCAGATCTACAATCATGTTTTCCACCCAAAGCTGCAAGAAAATGTGAAAATATTGTTGGACAGCGTGAACACTGCCACTGATAAAAGTTCTCTGTTTGGTGACAATTTAGAGCATGCACTGTTTGCAGAGTTGTTGTTAAAGCATAAAATTCCTAAACATGGGTGTCCAGGGTTTAACTCCCAGTTTTCGCTAGTTTCGAATCAAAGTTTTATGTTTACAATGCTAACAAACCCACACCATACTGTGTGCATGATGAGAAATAAGGCACTAATACATGCACAGTGAGGTCGCTGACCACTGGCTAGATGACGAAAGCAAACCGCATTTCAAATGTGCTCTCTCACCCGGCTAACCCATACCCACTGAGGCCATGTTTTAATTAAACTTGTAACAACTTCAATCCTTGTTAGTAGGACTCTGAAGGACCTCATCCACAAGGATCAAAATCCAGATTTCACAGCAAGTTTTAACCCAAAAGCACCAGAAATACTTATGCAAATAAATCTGAGGGGGAAATGAATGAAGGGACGGCACACAGGCTCTTTTCATTCATTTCTAAGTGGAATGTGGATATTTGGAAAACCAGCTCATTCGAGGTAAGACACAGATGGTGTAAACGTTTCAGCTCTGGGCCTACTGTTCAATTTATTCATCAACTCCGAGCTGATCACTGTTTTGTCTACAAGTTCCTCTATGTAATGAAAAAAATGACCTGACAATGGCTACAATTCATTTTATCAGCTGGGCAAGATTACAGACAATCCCACCATTCTGCTCCATCTCTGTGGGGACAGCCTCTCCCCTCTCACACCCACCTGATGCTCTGCTTCTCACAGTGGAAACTAAAAACTTTATTACACTGCTGCTCCAGCTGGCTTGAGTTTTGCATATTCAGAAGCTTTCAGCATTCATGCTCATACCTGCCTCTTCATCAATCTGACTGAACAGGATATCTGAACTTAAATAACTCCACATGGTTGTATTCAACAACAACTGACAGTAATCTAAGAGTCAACTAGATCAACCGATCTCTCTCTGCAGGCCAAACTCCCACAGCAGTCTTCTTCTTGAGACGTCTCGCTCACGTCAACAAGCGCAAATGTAAACATATCTTACAGATTTGCAGGTTGTGAGTTGTATAGTACATAATCCGGCAATTTTTGTCATTTCACAGCTCCCAAAATAGAGGGAATGGATAATAAAAATGCGGAGAGACATAGGACCCTTTTTTGAGTAAAATTGTGTTTTGGCAACTCATAAGCTAACACTGGATAGGAGGTCTGGAGTAAAAACAAAGTGCAACATCAACATCTACAAGGAGAAGTCATCATATCTAAATCTTTCAAACTTAAAATTAAAGTAAACATAGGGCTTAATGTCCCTCGACATTTTTACCATCCAGTGTCAATAACACAATTTACCTGAACCAAAGATCCTATTGACAATGTTTTAGCTTCAGCACCTGACTATACAGATGGTTACCATGGTAAGGTCTGTTCAAAGTCATTACAAATTATTTCTGTGCATTTTTGAGACTAGATGATAGGTTTTTTTATTTTTTTTATTTTCAAAAAGAGATTAAAATTATTAAAAAAGAAAACTTGAGGAAGCTAATTAGGGGATTCAAACAGAAGGGTGCTCCTCATGGATCAGTACTTGTCACCATGTGTTTTCTGTTATGTTGTTTACACTCACAAAGCTCAGAGGGAAAGTCAATCTGTGTGTTTGTGTGTGACTGATTAAAGTGTCAGGTGAGGATTTCTCCCATCCTGAAGAGACCTTGAGACACTTCCTTCTTTAGATACTCTGTGTACACGCCACACATGCTTTTAGCATTCACATATCCACATACTGACAGGGTGAGGAAGGATTTAAGGACGGACTGAATGGATTGGGAAGTAAGGACTGACATTTTTGGCTTAAAAGGTCTATTTCTTGCGGGTTTAACAGCTGATAAAAGACAACACGTGTGCAGTTTGTCCCCTTTTCAGTCAAGCTAAAGTTTCCATTAAAGCTATAATCACTGTCACATGTTTACCTGCCTGACAGCTGGCAGCAAGGATGTGAAACTCTCTCTGAGCACTAACAGGATAACTAATGTACAGTCAGATATGCTCTAATCCAAGATCATAACTTTACACTATAAATGCTGAGTTGTGTCACACTATGTTCTGGTAATGCTGTTATTTCTGACATCATACAAAGCCCACACGGGGATGAAATGTGTTTGTTTTCAATTACAATGTGGAAAACTGCAGTACCATGCAGGGGGCAGCTGCACCCCTCCTAGAGAAAAACACACAGGCAGAAACACATGCTGTACTTCCACTTATTTAAGTATAAAAGCAGTGTGTTTCAATGGAGCACACAAGCTCTCTGCTCAGTGGTGTCCAGTATCAAACAATGGCAGCCTGATCCAGATATTTAACTTGACCAAGGATGAGTCAGATTTGCTTTCTGTAAAAACAAGCCAACTTTAGATGAGAAGCTGGTTTTCTGCCTGTCAAAGCAGCTGGGGGGAGACTTAAGCAATCTTATTTATTTTTAAAGAGCTCTGCCATTGTGTCCTCTCAGATGAACATCAGGAGGAAGGAGGAGAGTTCTTCACCAACTGTCTGTGCTTGTAAAAGTCACATACAAGGAATATACATGCAGAGAATTTTACTGCAGCAAACTGAGAGCAACTTGGGGCAGTATATATATATATAAAAAAAAACATTTAGGCCAAAGATGTTGCCAGTAAAACTTCCATATCCCCCCTAGTGAAACCAGTCAAATGTGAATGCTAAGTTATTCAAGGAAATCGCACACAGTTGTTGTAAGAGTTTTGCAACTGCTCTGCTGATTAATTTACACATAAAAACAACACATGCATATGACAATACACCTCACCAAGCCACACAAGGGTGCACTCAACTCTGTATCAATGTTTTTGCCTCCCTTGTGTTTAAAGCTTACAGAGTGACTTACATTTAGTGCCTTTTGTGTCCATCCCGCAGGCGATGCTGTCCATGTGAGAGCTGCAGGTCTTCAATGTGGGGCCATGAGTGAGTGTGTGAAGGCGTGTGGGGCCTCCGCTGACAGTTACTGTCGCTACATTACATTTCTGCAGGTCTGGAGGTCCGGGCAGGCCGCTTCTCTGCTGGGTCCTAGCGTCTGCCGGTGTCATGTGGTATTTATTATACAGGGGCGTACCCACATTTTTTGAAACTAGAGCGGCCCAACTAAGACACTGACTTATATGAGGAAGATATATAGTATGGATAGTATTTCAAAGTAGTCAAATTACGTGTAATCTTGCAGTTATTATTTAAAGATAAATACAATTTTTGTATCATTGAATTCTACTACGCTTCAACTGATGAATCAAAACAAGCTTTGCGGCGTGTTTTAAACACTGACAAAATTTGTGTCACATTAAGCAACCTGTTGTGACACCTACTATCAGCTGTGTCCTCCAGCTAGACTGTGCATTAGGTATGAACCTCAACTAGCCCTGCAGCTACCATCATTTTTGTGCTATTCAGTGTCATTATGCTCTGCTACTTTCTCTTCCAAACAAACCTCAGTGAGTGTAAATAAAGTTTAGCTGGGGAAAATGAGCTCATGTAACTTACAAATTGTCTCACTGGGGCCCCCAAGAGGCCTGGAGTACTTCCATTGTCATGTCTTGATAGTTTGTCAGAAAACCTTTTTTTTCCCATTTGAAGAACATTTCTGCCATTGAATTTGCATCCTTTCTAAATTAACAGTAATGTGATATTTTCAATGAGACTTGTTTGTTTGAGCCATCCCAGATTAGCTGACTATGTTGACTACTGTACTTCTGACTTGGACAAGGTTATCAAACATTGATAAATCAGGATTTCTGGGTGGTACCATGGGGTGGCCAACCGAAATTCAAGAGGGGCCCAAGCCATGGGAGTCTCCTGGTTTAATGCGATTTTGACATCCTGTCTTTTTGAGTGACATATCATGGCACATCTCTCAAGTCTGTAGGTGGAGTTAGCCAAATGCCCGGTGTGAGCCCTGCAGCCAGTTAGCTTAGCCTAGCAAAATCAAACTTGATCGAATTACCTCAGGTAATAATATGACTCATGCAATAACATAATTTTTAAAAAATGATGCAATAACTTTTGCCGTTTGCCAAAGCACTCTCAATAAGTTGTCAGGCAATCAACTCAGACCAAGATAAAGCAACATTGTGCAAAAATGTGCTACCAGGAAAAATAACGCAAAGACTGTGGTCTCACTTTGAGCTGTAAAAATGCTTTAAAAAAACACTTAAACAGGCTTTTACCAAACCCCAAGCCACACATATAAAATGTGCTATACCATTTAACAAGTCTGAGTGATTCAAAAGGTGTTTTTTCTTTACGGAAACATTTTAACAGTGTAAAAAATAAATATGAGACTGAACTTATTTCAAGTTTTATTTTAGTGACAAAATCAAAAATAACAGTATTCAAAAGAAGTCTTCAACAACCCTGGATCTTGGTCAGTGTGTTAAATAACTTGCAGAACATTTCATTGTGAGTGAATATAATCTCTGAAGCTACAAAACTATTGGGTTATCATCAAAGAATTTAAATAAAAGTGAACGCAATAAATTTACGGATGACTGAAGTCCATATCTTAAAACATTTAGTTGTCATTCTATTGCAATGAGCTGGAAAATATGGAGCTGGAGGACTTATTTGTGTTTCTTTAATCTATTTCATCTACTGAATTGCACATTCTTCGAGGTAACCCTACAGCTGCACAGTGAACTGTAATCTAATAGTGACCTTAACATATTTACCCAGAACATTACATGGAGGTGATCTGCTAATTCTGTTCATTTGCATCCTCACTTTGGTTTTTTTACTCGCACACAAATCAATAAAGGTCACGCATACAACTGAAAAAGCCATGCCCACTTCAAATTGTCTCTTGTTTCATTATGCATTGATTGGTGTAAACCAGAGGGACCCAGTAATCTACTATGTGAAAGAGCAAAAACAGGTAAACAAAGCCCAACCTTATAAACCAAAGCGAAATGATGCTGTATGCTCATTTACCCATTCTTCCCATCTAACCATTCACACCAGTAAAGTGTCATAAATTATATACTGTAACTACATTCTACTCATTCAGATTGCTGGTGCTGCACACTCATAACTAAGAGAGCATAACAAATAAGGCAAAGCCAAAAATCTCCTCTTAATGGTTTAGTACTGTGGCTCTGGTCACACACGTCCCATTATGTGGCCTTATAGGGGCATAGACATACTGTCCTCCATACTACCTGCTTAAGAAAAGCACAGCACCGCCGTCTCTATTGCTTACACGTCGCTTAAGCACACAGTCACAATTGCACCTGCAACTATGTGACAGTTTATCAGTCCATAATATCTGTGCATAATGTCTCTGCAGCCTCAGGAATCCACACCGGGGTGACCAGGATTTGGTTCGTCATTAAAGGAGATAAAGAACAGGTTCTCAGCCATGGCAGTGAAACTCTTCCCTCTTACAGTCAGTAAAGTCTCTTGCTCTTGATATGGCAGTATTTAACAGTTGTCCATATGTCACTAAAACAGACGGGCCTGTTTTTTCAACTCGTTTCTCTTCCACAGGGCTAGCCGGTCAAAATCCTCTACGGTCATACCGAACACTTGGACAAACTCCTCTGGGGACAAGTGACGCTGAGGACACAAAGACAAGAAAGAGAGAGAAAAAGAGGAGAGATCAAGCATCACACATGGTGTTTTGTAGGATGGTGCAGCATTCCCCGAATAAAACACTCAAACTTATGCCTCGTCCTCTGATCATAAAACATACAGAAACCAAAATTAAACAGTTTTTCTTAAATATTATATATAAAGATAAGTTAGAGACAACTTTTCAGTTCTATGTGGATGTGATTCAGTTCAAAAAGAAGGCATCTTAGCAGCAACTTCTCCCCCTACACATTCAACCCCAAGCCTCATTTATATCTACATGTACCTCCAGTCTGGCTCTGTCTACATCTTTGGGCAGCCTGTTGCGACCTCTAGTGGTGACAATGAGCGCTTCATATGGATACACCTGAAAAGAAGGTGGGGCGCTTTATTAAAGCACATTCACTTCGTTACAGAAACAATGGGATTATTCACACCAACCTTCTCGCATGTGATAAATAATTCAGGTGATTATTTTAAAATCTTACCGTGTACTCCGCTGGGGGGGAACAAAAAAGAAAATTAAATCAGTACAGAGGTAAAAACACTGAATAAATTGCTTCAATCTAATAAGGGCTGTGTGTGTTAAATCCATACTTAATTACCTCTGCTTCCCCAGTTGACCTCGCTGCTACTGTCGTACTGGTACTGGTAGCAATCAGCACTCTGGGGCTGCAGGTGTAGAGAGAGACAGTAACTTAGACATTATCAGGTCCTGTTAAAAGCCTGGAACCTGATTTGCACTAAAGAGCCTTGAAAATACGTAATTCTTGAGTCTTGAAGTGCAAATATGTTTATTAATTACAGCAGATTATGTATTTTGAGTTGTAATCTCACCCTCTGAATACCATTGCGTCCATATCCAGGCAGTGAGGATGACTTACATACAAAATCTGAAAAAAAAGAGAGAGGTTTGAGCACTTGTTGGTCAACGTTTTTTTCAGTATACAGTCATTTTTATTAAGTTAGGAGTTTTGCAACCAATAACAACTTATTGCCAGAAGATGGCGCCAAACACCAACAAAAAAACAAAGTTCCAGCTCCAATGAAAACCCCACTTATAATGTTAAATAAAAATAACAGCCATCAAATAAACTGGACTCAACTGTAAAATAAGGGGGTCAGCACTGAACCTGGATAATTTGAGAGTATGTATTAATCATGAAACTCACCACTATCAGCACTGTATTGAGATCTGGGAGCTGCAAAATAAGCACAATATTATTCAATTGCATGTTATTAATTTTGAAAACCAAATATGCCACAGTGCTTTTAATCTGGTCTGCTTTGAATTTTGATTAAACTCCTAGAAAAGCATTCAGGGAGAATCACAGCAGAGATGTGACAGCCATCTGTCTTGTTAGAGGCGTAACGAGACACTGAAAAGGAGTGAGTTGGGAGCCCATCAAGCCCTGGGAAGCCCACAAAACATCAAAGGGGCAAGAAGGCAGAAAGAGGCCAGGCAGGACTGGTTAGAGGAAGAAAAGAGAGGGGGAATTAAAAAAAAATAAAAACAAAATACAAAGACACGCTGAAGGATTCAACATCCAATCACACCACACAGCTTGGTTCATACAAGCTGATTTTGCTTTTCAACCACAGCCAACAGAGTTGTGTTGAGTTTTGTCCCCTCCCATCAGAGAAACAGCTTTAATGAGAGATCTTACTGCTCATAAATAAACCAGGATATGGGACACCAGCTGTGTGAGCAAGAGAACGAGATAGATACACAGAGATAGATGGATGGAAAGACAGAGGCATGGAGAGTTAACAGTGTAGGGAAAAGGGAGGGTTATTAGGAGACAGAGAAGGAGAGAGGATGCAGATTGAAATGGAAGATTGTAAAAGAGATGGAGTGATGAGTAGAGGAAATAACTGGATCATAATGAAGACAGCCTAGTGTGTAAAAGTAATGCATGACAAGTGAAACATCGTTGACAGCTTCAGATCCAGTTTTATCACATTTGGCATGTCTGCACATCCAGTTTAGATTCAGTGTGATCAGATATGCCCCAGCACTGACAGGCCACATCTGCTGCTTTACGGGCCTATGACCGGTTCTGCTGCAGCTGCTGAGCTATCTTAGCATCTTTACATCTCAATAAACTGCCTCGCCTGCAGCAGCCGTGACCTTTCCTGACCTGCATCCACAACCTCTCTGCCCTTTCCCTAAACCCAGATGACAGCAGATATTGAGGCCAATAAATAACCAACATATGATTGCACTGGGAGCAAAAATGTCTGCTGGTGTGCTATTAGAATAATAGACGAAGAGGGAGATTGCATAGGGGGCAGGGAGGTTTCTTACAGCCGTTGACGGTGTTGTTGTACGCTGTGGTGCCATAGCCTGTAGTGTTGAGTGTTTCTTTGCTCCCACTACGAGAATTCCTTGTGCTGCCCCAGGGGTCGTTGTCATAGGAACCAGATCTGGCTTTCATCTCTTCCTTTAGGATCATCCTCCCGATGCCACTCCCAATCTGAGCGGGAGTGAGGAGAGAGGCAGAAGGGAGTGGGTCGTGAGGGAAAACTGATAATTGAATGTACAGTGATAGCAAGACAGAGGAGCAAACAAATAAATACAAAGGCGGGCGGAGTGAAGCACCACACCATGAGAAGTGCTTTATTTATGGTTGTTTCTATGTAAGTAGCTGTATTCAACCAGATGTTGAAGGAGGGTGGAAAGAAAAATAATGAAGCTCTTACTCTTTGAAGACCGTGACTCCAACTCTCTTCATCCCCTCCTGTCGAGAAGCGTCGTCTCTGCACTCGATAAGCTGGGAGAAAAAACAGATAAAAGAGATTCCCATGTATGAATATAGATCTTAGACTTGAGAGATCTTAGAGTAACAGAGTGTGTGAATAAATATGACAACACAGAGTTACAAAATATTCCATACCTCTACAAGTGGGTGCGTGAATATGTATGAAAACTTAAAAATGCAGAAATACTGTATGTTTACATCGTTTTCAGAGTTTGGTCGAGCTATAAAGTTGAGAAACATGTCTCACTTTGCAGATTCTCCATCTAAACTTGCTAAAATGAGTTTGTTTCTTACCTCTGGGGGAGCTGGTGTATGGATAGTAGTCAGACTCTGACTGGGAGTATGGCTCAGGAGAGTAGGTGGACAGTCTGGAGGATCTGAGGATGTCCTCACTGGTCCGGCTTTTGGTTGCTGCGTCCACATGAATGTCTGTGAAATAAGGGATTGTTAGGAGGCAACCAAAGTGACTAAGAAATTCAGAAAAAATGAACCTCTTAACTCTTTTTTGCGGACAACTGGGTGAGAAGATGAATATTACTCTTGACACCTAACCCCTGCTGTTTCAGGCAACATAAATTTCATCACAGGAACCGTCAATCAGTTCATTTCAATCTGTTTCATAACCAGGTACTAACTCCTCACAGGAGCTTCAAGTATATGCTTAATATAAAGCTCCAGCTCGGATTCATTTGGCTCTTCTTAGCCTTGTGTGAAGGGAGGAAAAAGAGGGCTAGTCTGTTCCTTTCGTAAGGGAAAAAAGAAGCACACCAGCACCCCTGGGCTAACTGATAAACATGTTGTACCAGGTTTATTCAATACATAAAAACATGGAGTGTAACATAACAAGTTGTTTATTTAACAGGAGGCTTTTTGCCAGCTTTTTAATCACTGGAAACAGACTTCCTGGAGTCTTGATTAGCTATGCAGGTTACTTCATGGTGTCAGTTCAATTAAATTCATTTCCAACAAATTTATTAAGCCCTCTGGGTGTAATTGGCTCAGAGCAGACTGTACACAAAGATACAAATAAACAGCAATGTTTCGAAAACAATGGATTCATTATAATTAGGACTAAAATCTTATATAAACATGATTATTAAAAAAGCTAAATAATAGATAGAATACGGAGAGATATAAAAGGATCGGCTTTACAGCAGGATAAGAGGATCAGTTTTGGTAAAAGGATAAACAGTCTCATAATAAAAACAGGGAGTTTTTAGTAATCTGCTGGCAGAGAAAGAATGACTTCAAGAAGGGATTAGTTTCACAAAGAGGTAAAACACAACAATGCTCGAATGGGAACATGACCAGAAGAAACCTTGAGGAGAATCTGCTGATTCAAGCAATTTTTTGTTTTTTAACCACAATTTTACAGCCAATTAAAAAAAAATGTTCTTTGGACTGTTTTAGTTTTTTTACTGTGAGGTTGTGAACAAAACATATAGAAGTCTCTACGCTGATAATTTTGCATGGCTGAAACAAACACATCTAAATTGTTAAATTTTTTACTTCACAAGAGATAATCCGCTAATATTTATATCTCTGGACGGTGTGAAGCTAACATTTTCGTCCCATACCTACAGTTTTCATGCCAGGCTAGGTTTAACTTTTGACTCTTCAAAAAAACTGAGTCTTTCAGGTATATGTGAATGGAGCTATTTCTCAACTGTCATCAGTAACTTCCTGTTGTTTCTGTGTGAATCATAGACTCTATATACTATGGACAACTTGGTTCCGCCTCCCGCCTGTATACGGGTTTTGAGCCAAAAAGCTCTCGGTAGTTCCGGGATTTTTCTTCATTTCCTGAAACCAGCGCTGCACAGTAGTGATGTGCGCATTCGGGTGCGCAGTCGCTGAAAGTCGCTGTGATGATGCTCGGCTAAAACAGCATACCCCCGGGAGAGCTACGCAATCCCTGAACACCCATAGGCTGTATCAGGTGTCAATCATAGAAAACATGAACCCCCTAATAACTTTTAAAAACGGAGCTTCACAGAAAAAAGAGGACTTGAGCACAAACCAGTCTTACAATAACTACATGTCAACATCACAACCAGGGGGGAGAAAATATTATGTTCTGTGTAATAAATTTGTCCAAGTTTGTCCACAGCTCCATATGCTTTGAGGGCGGAGGCGGGATTTATGACCTATACTGCAGCCCGTCAACAGAGGGTGCTGTTCTCGGAGTGGCTTCACCCAGCGAGGAGGCAGACTCTGTCCATTCTATATACAGTCTATGGTGTGAATCATTGAGTTTATACATGAACTGAAGGGATATACAGATTGTAGCTTAAAGAGCTTTAACAGTGCTGGTTGGCAGATTTTGGGACAATTTTAAGTAGCCAAACTAACTTCCCCCGCTTGCTTCAAGTATTTATGCTAAGCTAAGATACTTCCTTCTGGCTCCAGCTTTGTGTTGAAAAGACAGCTTTCAGATTTGAATCTTCTGCAGCGCTTGGCAAGACTAATACGCATATTTACCAAACTATCCCCATTTGACACAGCACTGCAGTGTGCTCTGGAGGAAACTGTGTTAATAAATATCACAAAGATGAACAGTGAGAGAGTACATTCACACTATGGAGTCACCATATATACCATTCCTGTCAGAGGAGATCAATATTTCAGCTAACAGCATGAAAATAAGCAGCATCAAAGTGAGTTCAGTTACTGCTCAGCCCCAGGCGTGCAGTGGCTTCATGAGTGGTGTAAGGCGATGATATTGATGCCACTCTGCACTAAAGCACACTCAATGGGAGTCAATGGGGGTGACACGCAGCGTAATGTCAGATAGATCGCGCCTCACTCGGTTAGCCATTAGCCATGCCAGCGCCAATCCATGATCCATCGAATTCCTATATACATGATACATGACTCCAGTGGCTGACATTCTCATCTTTAGGACTCATACTTTTACTAGCCTGACGACAGGGCGGGCCACTACACACTGACTCACACTCATTTAGAGAAAAAAAAATAGACTGCAGATTGGAATTTCTGCATGAACACACATAATTGACATTGAGTGATCAACACAGGAAGAGGGGCTCATACTCTACACATGCACAAGTGACAAATAACACATATATACTAACAATGAGTGAAATAAGGAGAGGAGGGAAGTACTCACAGAGGCATCATCAGCAGGTAAAGTGGAGCAGAAGGCGAAGGGAAGTGAATTAAGTGATTGGATTAGACAAGAAAGAGGTGAAAAGAAAAGGGAAACATTATTGTGACGTCCTCGAGGGATATGTGACAACGTGCGAGATTTGCTACCCATACAGAGCGCGAGGACACAGGAAACAAGGGGTCTCATACAGCCTACGCTCTGCACAGGTAGCAGACTCACTGAATAGTACATAACAGGCCTTTTATGTGCACAGCAACACGACTTCACATGTGGCTTTGGATTTACATCAATCCTGTTTAATGCTGAAACAAGGGGAAATGATAATCAATAGCTGTTGAGACAGACATAAAGAACGAGAAGGATCAATGTGAGTGATGTTGAAGTGTACGCTGAATGTCAGTGTAGGTACACAGAAAAGTCAAAGGCTTTTTAATTAGCCACAAAAAATTCAAGTACTTCAATCTGTAGGAGTTAAAATGCATTTTTCTGGAACAGCCAGTTATGCACTAACTATAAGCTAAATGAGACATATACTGTATGTAGAGAATAGGGATGTCCCGATCTGAGTGTTATTGAACTGAGCCAATCATCTCATCAATAAGGACCAATCATTCATGTCAACTGTTGTACAATTTGCATGCAGAACTTGTGTGCAACCTAGAGAAAGCAACCTTGTGTCTACGGTGTTGAAATACTTCAGAGTAGTGAGCAAAAACAGTCCACTTGAGTTCAGTACTACCAATTTGATAGGACATCTAAAGACTTAAAAAACTGTGGAAATGGCTGCTACAGACTCTGAATTTCAAAAGGAAGGATAGATAACCTCAAGAGAGTGAAAAAGGCTGCATAGGTTAAATCCTTTGAAGCGTCTTGATACAAGGTATGTCCTGGTGTTCTGACACTACTTCTGGGACATTGTCTCACTGGACCTGCTCTGCAAAGTTCCGTGACTAAATAACTTATATATATATATATATGCAAGTTTATTGTACTAAATTAAATAAAATGTAAGTAATTTTTAAATGTAAAAAGCTTGCAGCCCAATATCTTGGCAAATACAAGTACTTCACTCATACTTAAGATAAAATATCTGGATCTGTGGCCTAAAAAGCTGATCGGGACATCCCTGATAAAAGGCTCAGAGCATCTAAACAAAGCGTCTCACAGTTAACTCCACAAGTGAAAACACACAACACAGAGGGACATGCAGGACAACATCAAAGATAAACTATCCTCCATCAAGAGATCTTCAGTCTTGTGACTCTCAGCTGAGAGGCCTTTTTCCAGCCTGATTTGACAAGGGGATAGTGCATCTTTTTCTTATGAGTGTTTGTACTGGAGCACGCTATATCCAGATGGCTGAAGTGCATCTAAGTTTAACCACTTGTAAAAAAAAAAAAAAAAAAAGGCAAAAATAGCATCTTGTGTTAATGACACTGCTGTGCTGTTTAACTGAACACCATAAATCAACACAATTAAAAATCAGACTTCCCCTCTCACATACTCACTCTGTTTTTACCAAAAGACAAGCACACAGCTGTCTCCAGATTCAAACAATTATAGTGGCATCTCTTTAAATCACACTGACTGCTGGGCTGAGGGAAATAAAACACACCTCCTGATAAAATATAAATTTTAGTTATAAGACAGTTTTCTACTGTGTTCTGTTTGGCCCAGTGAATAGTGTGTCCTTTGAGTCCCATAAACTCAACACTAGTTACACATGAGCACCCAGCACTTCATTCAAGGTCTATGCCAGCCCTATTTACAGACAAGAACCAGCCGTGCTCCTGGAGCTGCACTCAGGAGCAAAAGTGTGTGCTTGTGGCTAACATATAACCTTTTTTCTTTTTGCTTTCAGCTGCTAACTATTGCATTTGGGAGCGAGTTATACAAGTCTCCTAAACGCATCTCACAGCACAGACTGAACCTCTTCCATTTATCTTGTTCTGCTATTGATGGCTTCAATTTCAACGATAATTGGAACATCAATACGACCAAATCACAAGGGGCCGGAGTGAAACATCAATAGGTTAGTAAAAAAAAACATCTACGTTGGGTACTTGAGCACAGCATGACTAAACTGACAAGAGGACAGGCAGACTAAGGCGGGGCTAACTGCACTGTACCCGCTCTTGAATAGATGGGAGGCTTCCTGTAGATGTTGGGGTCCCCTGTGGCTGAGGAGAGAAGAGGAGATGGAGAAGTGAAACATGGAGGAGAGGAAGTGAGTCTGCTGGGGGGTTACAGAAAAGGAGAGGGTGGAGTTTGGAAAGACGCTTTAAATGCAATATAAGGGGAAGAATATGCCAGAGCAATCATGTGTGGTATGAAAATACGATTTAGCCACATTTTCCCACCCCCTCATTCCCAGGACACTGGAAATGACCTTTCTAAATGATCAGCGTTAGTGAGTAATGGCCAGTGAAATCCTCCCCCTGGAGTAAAGAAATCTGTGTGATAATGAGAAGAGCAATGAGGAGATGAGGAGTCCTACCTGGTACATGAAAATGTTTAGGGGGCTGGTTTGTGGTGGGTGTGCTTGACCGCCCCTCTTGGCCGTAATAAGGTGAACTCCTGCCACTCTCAGAGCCTGCAGCCAGCCACAGCCAATCACAGCAGAGGGAACATGAGCATGAAGGAAGGCTTCAAGGCAAGTGTCATCCATGCAGATGAAAACAGTCTTTCAAATAACTAAGCACTGGTTAACTTTTCCACTTGTGTGATGACAAAGAGTGAATCCGTCTTTTTACAACATCAGTTTCAGTGTCAGTGCACATGTGTAAGAGTTAATGTGATGAATGCAGCACTTGAGACCAACGCAGAGCAACTTTTTTTTCTGCCCTGAAATGATGATGCGGTCAAATTTGCATCGCTGCTGTTTTTCTGAGATGTGTTAGTCCACAAATAAATAAAAACAGTGATGGCAAATGGAAATGACAAGCAGTTTGATCAGTCTTAAAGGAACAGGTTGGCATTTTGGGAAATATAATTTTGCTCACTTGTTTTTTTTTTCTTTTTTTTTTGCTGAGCCCAAAGTGACAAGCAAATAGAACATACTGACACAAAAAGCATTTTCTAGAGGGTAAGGGAGGCGTGAGCAAAGTCTAGTGAGGTGTGTGTGAAAATGTCTACATAGCACTTTCTTTAATAAAAATTGAAAAAACAGGCTGATGAAATTGCCTGGATCCCGAGGAGAATAAAAAAAGACACAGCAACTGCGTTGAGGCTCATATCCATAGTGCTGCAGGTAAAACTATACCTCTATTTGTTTAGGGTGTAAATGTTAGCGTAAGCACTACATACAGTATGTAGTTAGCCAATATAATAATAAACATGCTTGTGCAATCATAAACTATTGTTTCAGTGATGCTTACAATACAAAGTGAAAATAGTGATGCTCTTGGAGAGAAATTTATAGCATTAAACACATTTGGTGAGACTAACCTCAGGCTTATATTAATGCACATTAATTTACAATAAATGCTTATTATAAATCAGCCTCACAAATCTTTAATTTGTAAGAAAACCAAATTATAAAAAAGACTTCTTTGAGGCTGGTGTCAAATTTAGTTGGACTTTTAAACTCTGTGCAGAGCCGGGCTAGTTAATTATGGCAAATTAGGGCTAATCTAATTTAACAGCAGTATCTTTAAACCAAACAAATCCGTATTAAAGGAGCATCAGTCTCCTTATTTAACCACAGCACAAGAGCAAATACGCATATTCCCCAAAATGCTGAATCGTTCCTTTAAATTACTAACTTGTGAAAAAATAATTTAGTGAATTAGGAAAAATAATCCAGATACCAGACAAGTGGTTCAACTTTGTTTTAAGTGAGTTTCATCTTGAGAACAGCATGAATTCTGTTTAATGGACTGATGTCAAACTGGGTAATAAGCAGAAAACTGAGAGCTAACACCATCTGACTCACCAGGGTAGACATAGTGCTGCGGAGAACGAGGCATGATGGGTGACATGCCTTGACGACTATATGTGGGTGAGTCAATAAAACTTGGACTGGAGCATCGCCTCTGCTTCATGTCCAGGCTGTCATAGTCCTGAAAAGATGAAGCAGACAAGGTCTAGGTGAAAGGGGAACAAAGGGCAATGAGGAGACTAGTAGTTCAGTAACAGGCCAAGATGACAACTGTTGACATGTTTGAACTTGTGATAAAAGCTCTGCTGGTGAGGCTGGAGGGGGGGGGCACATACCTGAGAATAGGGGGAGAGTGTCCCAAGTGACTGGAGAACCAGAAGAAAAGAAAAAGGATCATGAATGAAGAACACCACAAACCATTTTTACATTATGTATTCACAGAGCTGCAAAAAAGGAAGAACAGTCTTTTAAATTCAGTCTCTTGGTATGTTGATATTTCCCTTCTGGCGCCAAAATCACAACTTTAATTAAAGTCGGTATAAAAAATACACATATAAAGAATTCATTGAACTTGCTGTCTTGCTGTAAGATAAATGTTTATCTCAACCGTCAAACTCATGTTTGTGCTCATCTTTCTATCAAGCCCTCTAAACAGCAGAGGAGTACTGCACCACAGACTTCAGACCAGGTTTCTGTTAGTCTGATGCAGCTTTCTGCACCCTCAAGATAGCAACACACCACCTGTGCCTCTGACCACACAGGATTCAAGGATCAACACACTCATGGGAGTCAACACGGCTGTAAGTTTGTTTGCTTTAGATGCAAACAAACGGACTGGGCTTGACAACGACAACTGTGCATGGTGGAAAATGGCGCTGACACCTGTGCTGCTCACCACAGCTTTCGGAAGTAAATGTAAAATAGTGCACCTTTGTAGTCTGTATTATCAATGTGCAAATCAAAGCAAGAAGATGCTGAAGTTGTTGTTTTACAGAGTTTTAAAGATTCTTTAAGTTGCTTGTGTTAGAGAGTTTTGATTGAAAAGTTGTTTTTCCGAAACAATTGTACAGCAAAATGCCACCGAGCCAGTCACCTGCTGCCTCTCTCCAGTGTGTTGATGGAGTCTTTTTGGATTAAAGCTGATATGAGCCGGCCGTCAATCATCAACCCCCTCAGAGCGTTTCATGCATTCAAATTTAGAACAGTAAAAATATCAGACTTGTTGCAGATGGTCTTATTTGCTTTTATAGGTCACAGAGAAGCATCAGTACCAGTTTAAGGTTGTTTCTCGACCATTTTAAAACTCCTCACTGTGCCTTTAATATGCTGAACTTTCTCTTTATGTTTAAAGCAGTTATAAGACACTTACCTGAAACTTGTGGCCACCGAGCAGCAGCGACTTCAAATTAATCACTAAAGCTCAACATTATCAACAAAATTTCACAAAAATTCACCAGCTGAAAATTTAGATTTTTTCAAAAGGTGAAGTGTGTAGTAAATAGCGGCATTTAGCGGGAGCAGACTTGGTAGCGAGGGAGTATTTCAAATTGTACTATCAGTATGGATAAATATTTCAATTTCTAAGCACTGCACCTTTAATAAAAATTAAATCATCAATTATTCTTTACAGTGAATTAAATGCTCTTGTAACACTGCTTCTCCTGAAAGTCTAAAATCCATGCAAAATGTTTCCTCTCAAAGTAGATGAATGTTGAGGTGAAACCTGCAAGTCTGGCCTGTTTGTGTGTAGCAGCAGTAGTAGTACCTCCCCATAGCTGTAAGTGTCTAGCCTGTCATCAGAGGTGTATCTGTGGTAGGGCTGGTATGAGGAAGATATGAGGTCTGGCTGCTGGACCTCGTATATGGCCTTGACCTTTGGCAGGGCAGCTAGGTCCTTATAATTTAGGAACTCATTCTTCACTCTGGCCTGGAAAGAGGACACAAAGACACACCCACCAAAGACAACAGCAACAAGACCCAACATCAAACACATGGACGATGCACAGGAACAAAGCAGAATGAAAACTCCACCAGCAGAAGAGAGAGAAAGAGCTGATGATGCACACTCTAGTCTGCACATGCATGCGCGAGCTCATCAGAAGTACACATGTAAGCTGCACAACCTGACAGCTGCGTAAGTTGTTGACCTTCAGGGGCACAGCGTGTGTGAGAAAGTAAGCAGAGGAGCAAGAAAAAAAGAGAGAGAGAGAGGAGACGGTATGGACGAGAAGCTTGCTTACACTGCATTTCTCCCTCATCCATCACCTTAAACAGAAAGGTCATTGATTATGAGACGAGAGCAGAGCGGGGCAGGGCTGAGCAGGGAGAGCGGTGACTCCTGCAAGCATGCAGACAACCCTTGACATGCTAATACAGCCGGCATGCAGCAACATTCAGTAGACTGCAAAGTGGCATGGTTGGATACGGTTGCAGATCAGACTAACACATTTGTTTTTTTAACAAGAGAGCACAATGTGTGAAACCTTCAAGTTCCCATAACTCTTTGCATTTCATTGTATATGTTGGATTTTTAAGTCCAAACCAGCCAGCTATGATTTAGTGGTTTGCACATCACAGCATTTCTAAGAAGTTGTTGACTTAAACTGAAATAACGTGGGTTAAAGACTGAGGCTACCTTTTATTATATTTTCAAATTAAATGCACCCAGATCTGTTAAAGTAAAAAACTGCCTTTACAACCATTGCTTTATAATTTAAAAGAATAGCTCATGGTTGGAGAATAGCAGCCATGAGGGAGAACTGTGGAAGTGAAAGGCCCAGGGCACAAACCCTGAAGGAAGATCATCCTTCAGTCAGTGTGCACTCGGCTGGTGTGAAGATTATGGTTTTTTTTTCCTTTTACTTTGGGCGCTTTATGTGCTTTGATTTCTTAAAGATTTCTTTCCTTTTCTTGAGGACAGTGTTTAGCCTTCAAGTGATTAAGAATTCAATGATTTGTGAGCTCATGTCTAAACAAGGCTGCTTTTACACATGAGCCTCACTACTACCAAATTCCTTAACTTTTCTGATGCGTAACATGTGTGAACACAAACGGCTGTAGTTGTTAGCCCTGACCTTATGCCGACCTCTTAGCTCCAGGGTACGTCCAGATGAGCTGATGTGTAGACGCAGCAGGTTATAGTCTGGTGCAGTACAGCAAGCAAGTGGGCGGAGTGCTGATGTACACTGCAGTTGTCCAGAACAGCATGTTGCTCTGATATTACCTGCAGTAAACCTTGATCTGGCTTGCAATTCAACAGCCAATTGGACCCTTGGGTACTACATGCAGGAAGCTCGTTGGCTGGGTGACAGGTCTGGTATAGCATGATTTTTATTTAAGTATGTATGTTAACAGATCAGACTTACACCGCTCACTCTACTGTGTAAGATGTGAGCATCTCTTATGTCTAATCCACCAGCTTTGCACTGATCTCAGCTAAAATATGCAGGAAATAATGAGCTGGGGGCTTTATTGGTTCCATATCAACTATATTTACATCAAAAGCATGAAAAATAAAGAATAAATGCACTTCTGAAAACTTTTCGATGCAAAAGCCAAACAAGAGGTTGCAGAAAATATATAATCTCATCTCTGGGCCCCTCTTACTGCTCAGCTGTTGTCCAAGTTGAGCATCTTTTTTGTTTTGACAAGATTGTTGTTCCCTACAAATCTGCGGCAACTGTGTGATGCCATCATGTCAATATGGACCAAGCTCTCTGAGGAATGCTTCCAGCACCTTGTTGAATCTATGCCACGAATAATTGAGGCAGTTATCATAAGGTTAAGGGGGCAAGCAGATGGCCAAGTGGGTTAGCACACCCAACGAATGGGGACAGCGGGTTTGACCCTGCATGTCCTCCCCCTCTCTATCTCCCCATACGTCCAACCTATTCTATCAACACACTGCAGTCTGTCGAGCTCTTACCTTTAGGGTTGATAGCTGCTAGCTGCTAACAGTTCAAGTTTAACCCACATTTCTTCAGTTTTAGTTGCAAATCTTGATTTAAAATTTTCCCCCGTAAATATTTTCTGTAATGTGTTTTGAAAGCAATGTTTCGCATGACAGATGATGACAGAGGAAAGGACACAGACAGGTGAACAGGCCAGGGGAGTGAGCAGCCTCTCTGGTCGGTGCTAAATCATTCAGGCTTTAGGGTGGTGCTTGTGTTTCTGGAGCAGTGCTTGTGCTTTTAGGGTAAGTTTGGTGATGGTTGCAGCCTAAAGTGACAAAAAGCTTTTAAGTTACGGTTTACTTACACATATAACTCTACTGGGAGAGCCTATGGAGGAGCCGGGAGGCGAGATGGAGGCCTCTGACAGGCGTCTGTGCTGTGAGACACAAACAAAGGAAACAAGCAGAGGGGAGGATTCACAGTGATGAAATTGCAGATTTTCTCATTTTCTTTGAGTGTTTTCATTTCAACTCCATCTCACCCTGAGTCTCCTCTCTGCCCTCGCTGCCTGCTTGCATAATGGGTGCCACACCTCACATCCTGAGGAAGAGTCAGAGAAGACAGAGTGGGTGTTCCCACATGCCATGCATTCATCTACACGGGCTTGCACTTTGTAGTTTTGTAGATGCGTTCATGTATGTGTGTGAGAGTGATTGTGAGAGGATGTATTTGCACTGAGCTCTCACCTGTCAGGTACATCTCCTCGCCCTCTTTGAACATCAGGTTACAGCGGGAGCATCTCGCGCAGGTCGGATGGTAGTGTTTCCCTCCGGCCTGTGTGAAGAGAAGAAGATGAAGAGGTGTGACTGAACATAAATTATCATCACAAACAGCTTCACACAGTGTGGGCTAATCTACAAATTGTAACCCCACCTTGGGGAGGTCATTACTCCATATGCTTTCTACTGTATATCACCTGACCAGCAATGGCCTCAGAGTGTATTGAGAAATGACTCCATAGCCTGTAGTTGCTTCATCAACCAACAGCAATCACAACATCATCTATTCTTCCTTACAATAATTAGAGCAAAGATCCCTGTAGGACAGTCTACAGGGGAGTGTGTGGGTCTGCATGAGTCGAGGTGGTCATGTAAGTGAAGTACACACTAGTGGGACATATGTCCTTGGACATTCACAGCGCCCCGAGGGATCACATCCAAACACAGGAGGTGCAGGTGAGACAGACACGTGAGATGATGCAGTATGATGTCACTGTGTCCATTAATTCAGCCGGCTCGCAGCCCTGATGTGTCTCACACGCCACCCTGCATGGCTGAGGTGTGGCTCCGGCCTGTCACCTCGGCCTTCCTGACATACCATTAGAGAATTTCTATTTATAGCTGCATGTCTGTGTTTCACCTGAACACTCCCAGCATCTGTGTGTTAGTGCCATTTTAAGCCTCTCTGACATACTTGGCTTTTTTTAAAAACTCATATTTTTACATGTAGAAAATGCAGATCGCATGTCTGCCAGAGAACAGAAAACGTCTTAATTGTACCTACGCTGGGTTTTAGCAATCCAGTCTCTGCCTGTCTGTCTCAGGTTACTCTGGAAGGAAAGCCAGCCGGAGGACGCAGCCTCTGAGTCTTGTGCTTTCCAAGCAGCAGAGCGTTTACCGTCTGGGTTCCTGAGGTATCAGCTGAACAGCTGCTGTTACCGTTTCTAATGAGGCCCCCCATTCTCTCTGGTGGCATTAATAGGCTGCTATATTTATTGGTGAACTCAGACGCCAAGGAAGAACGGAAGGAGGGGGAAAAAAGTGAAACTCAAGAAAGGAGATTTTATGATCCCTTTCTTCCGCTTCCTGTTTTTTTTTTTTTTTTTTATGTCTTGCCTTCTCTGTCTACTCTGAAACTTCTCATAAAAAAAAAAACAACCTTGGCTGTGGAAATGTGGACTGAAGCAGAGCTGAGAAATAAGCCTCATCATCATGTTGTGTTTTTATAGTGTGAGAAAAAAATTATGATTAAGACATCAAGCAACTCAAATGATGAATTGATAGTTTGGCACATTAGAAAAATGGTTCTTCAATGACATACGCCCTTTGAAACGCTTTTTCTGCCAAGTCCTCCATGAATTTTTTTCTGTTAAAAGAAATAACCCAGACTGAGAGTTAAACATTAATTATATACCATCGACGTAAACAGCAACCTTTTTACTGAAAATCACTTTGTTATGTTTCTTTGTGGGCCAATTTCTTCCTGCACAAATGCAATTTTTAAAGAATCTGAACGTTCTTGCAGATATTGTCTCTATTCTATAAAATGGCATTTAAATGTTTGACTGAACTTATTATGGTCTTATTATTTGGGGCTGCCTATTCCAAAAGTCTCTTAAATTACCATTTAAAAAACTCCTTTTTCCACCATCTAGTTCTCTTAGGAGGAGCCCCTGGGGTACCAGTGACCAGAGGTGTTTCACACATTTTTGATCAGGGTGGGCTGGCCCATCTGAGGCACCGATACATACAGGAGTGGCATTAATATCTATGAACAAATGACATTTATTAACTATATCTGTCTCCAGTTTTTCTATCAACTTCCACTACTTCTATTAAAGTATGATACACATGTCATATACCTGTAAACTATGAGGCTACATATGGATTTTCTGAGCTCATTTATTTCAGCACACAAAGACACTTTTTGTCCAAAGCTTGAAAAATGCAACGAACTTGGTGACAGTACAGCAACATAATCTAAAGTGTATATACGTTAGTAAGAAATTGTGTAGCAATATTGAAAGAAATCTTATTTTTTTAACCTATTATAAGGGAGGATCAGAGCAGATAGTTTTTTCCTTCTCCTGTTCAAATACAACAATCTCTGAAAAGTCAAATAGCCAGGCATATTTCAGATTTTCAGGCAGTAGCTGGGATGCTATCTCTCCAGACATGCCCCTAATAGTTACCCTGTTTAAGAAGTAAAGCACTGTGAAGTATCACCCTGGTGAAAGTCATCTTCACATACATGAACATCTTATTAAACCAGCAGAGTGATGAATCCACAAGGTGGTTCAGTCAGCTGGCAAGTTTCTCCTGCACCATCAGCCAGTATGACTGATCAGGTGGTTTCTGTGCTGTCTGTGTTTACTGTCACATGGACTCAGAAATGATTCATGTAAAAAGACAATTTATCAAGAGAAGATTCTCTTTAAAAATGATGGACTTCAAAGTAAGCTAGGTCCAGCTGTAGAGCTACATTTTATTATACTAGAAAGTTGAAACAACCAGAATTAACATATATTGATGTCTAACTGATGTGTTATTGATGTCTGAAACCAGACCTAAGTTAAATAAACTACTAAAACTAGACTCCTGATAGAGCACACCTTATGCATACTTTTTGAAAATCAGCTGCCAATTAACCCAGCTGAATTGCACTGACAGCTTTATCGTGTAATCCTTTTCGAATTAAATTTGTATGATTCTAAGTTGGCAGGATTTGCATTCCTGTATCTGACTCAGTCAACTCAGCTGCCTGCTGCATCTTTAGGAGTCAAACATTATGATATCAAAACATGACAGGAGCCAAAATGTGACAGGAGAGACGAATGATTGTCACGAGTACGAGACACACAGATACTGAGAGAAAGAGACAAAAGAGGGTGAAGGAGAGAGAGAGAGAGAGAGAGAGAGAAAGAGAAAGAGAGAGAGAGAGAGAGAGAGAGAGAGAGTGTGTGAGAGAGAGAGAGAGAGAGATACAGAGAGAGAGAGGGAGAGAGAGAGAGAGAGAGAGAGAGAGCTTCACATATAAAGTCTGACATGTCCCCATGTCTATAAATAGCCCAGAGAGGCTGATAGGCAGGAACAAAGCACTTTACACCAGCCATTCTGACAGGCAAAGGAGCAAAGGGACAACACGGCCTCATGCATGTGTGTGCAGAAGAGGGTGTGTGTGTGTGTGTGTGTGTGTGTGTTTGTGTGTGTGTGTGTGTGCATGTTGACAAAGTTCTTCCACATCTGCTCCCTCTCCTCAGGTCTCTACAGAAAACACACTCCTGAGACTCCTCCAAAAACATTTCATTAACATCTGCACTTTATCACTTTCATTCTTTGTAACCCTACTCTCCTCATCTTTTCCCCTCCACTTCTTTGGTACACCCATTTTCTTCTGCCTGAGCTCCCTCTCCTCCTCTGCTCCCCTCTCTTAAATGTTTACTCCTCCTTTCTCTTCAGCATAAGATCATGCAAAGAACAAAATGTGCTTTTCTATCACTGCCGAATTCGCTTTCTGTCTCTCCTTCCTCCGTCTTTTCCCTCCTCTCTTTACCCTCTGATCTTTTTATAACTCCCTCTCCCTCTCAACTCCTTACTCGTTGTTATGATTCAATCTTGCTTTTTTATCCTCTTGTCAGTGTTTCCTGCTCAGCTGCGCTTTGGAGGAAAAAGTGAAAAAGTAAATATGCACCAATGTGCGATCAGGCTTACACGCCGCAGCTGAATTTGTTTTGGTGTTAGCTACGCAGGACAAACATTTTTTATCACGCTGTAATCTTAAGTCGCTCTCTCCCCGAAGCACAGCAGAGCTTATAGGGAGGCAATGATAAAATGCTACTGCTTAGTCCTGATAGCTCTGATTACACTCAGTTAGTGCAGTCAACTCCTAATTCAGATGCCTGTACTGCTGCAGAATTATGTGCTGCTAAATCTCCATTAACTCCTTTCTGTATCTCGTCTGGCTCTCACCTCCAGAACTCTTCCGCTGATGTATCTGCTGCAGGTCTCACATTTCACCCCATACTGTGCGTGGTAATCTGCCTCACAGTATGGCACTCCATCCCTGTAAAACAGAGAAAGAAGCTAAACCGCCGCAGGGTTAGAGACACATGGCTATTTACACGAGTTTTAGGAGATCGGATACCCCTCTGCTTTGACATGTTGTGTTAGAGTTCACACACTCACTTGCTGATGTACTCTCCGGTGAGGACCATGTTGCAGGTCCGACATCTGAAGCAGCTGACGTGCCACTGTTTCTCCAACGCCAGGAGAGACTGCCCCTGCTTGATTTCAGCTCCACATCCAGCACAGTCTGAAGGAAAGAAGAATAGAAGAGAATGAAATAAAGGGAAAGTAAAGAAGGTAGACAAAAAGAGGAAGTGTAGAGAAAGAATGAGAGGCAGAACAAGACAAAGTGAGATGAGGTTTTGCTGTACATGTCTGAAATCCTCCTGAGTGTAGATTCTCCCCCTGTGGCACAGCCACCACCTTAATCAATAGCTGCACTAATGCGGGATATTGCAGTGCTGTGAGGCTTGTTCTCTCAACTGTAAGCACTGTTAAACATGATTGAATGCAGGCAGGAAGCAAGTCCCTCTGTAACAGCTTCAGGGCTAAAACAGTTGCATAAAATCCCCCCCTCACATGAGGCATGTATGAATCTCTGCCTGTCTGTTTCTCTCTCACAAACACAAGCACATGCCGTACACAAGCAGACAGTGAATTCCACTTCCTTCACTCACACGCCCCAACAGGCGTTATTGACCAGCACTAAGAAGCAGGATGGCACAGAGGCTTCAAATGATGCATGGCAGCTGAGAGTCAGAACGCTGCAAAAAGGTCAGCGCTCCATTTGTTTTCATTTAGAGGATGTTTGGCTGAGCTTAACCTTTTCTGACCTGGTCTGCTGCCCCTGAGAGGAGCCTGCAGACACAAGGGACGACTTCACTCAGCCCTGTCAGCCAAGACAAACTGTTTTTTGTAGGGGTTTTTTGCTGTAAAGAAAAAAACTGCAGTGTATTGAACCGGGTTTCTGCAGTCTAAATAAATCTTGACTGTCATTCTGTGGTGATAGTGCTGAGCCTGTAGAGCAAAGAGCCTAGCCCCAGACTGTTGCAGCACACAGCTGATTTTCCTCTGAGTCATGATACAGTTCCCATTTTAGCAACCAAAGAGAAACAGCATGAGTCTATCTGAAGAAAATGTAACAGAGTTTGTGACAAGAAAGGCGTGGTTGTGGAAACATTGAATAACAAAGTCACTTCTGCAGGGAGTTTTCATTTCAGGTAATTTAGAAAACGGACTTCATTTTAATCAGCTGTCAAGAGCACAATATTATTTTACACTGAGTCACTCAGGGCAAATAATGGTGTACAAAATGTTGGTCTTTATAGCGTATTAATCAAGAAACTCAGATTTTTTTAAGCTTAATATAATGATGAAGATCATGATGAGCTTCTCTTTCCATTCAGTATGAAGCTGGAGTTAGCTTAGCCTAGTATCAAGACTGTAAATACAGGTGGACAGCTAGACCCTCACTGATGGTGACTTAATTCACTCAACAGTACCTTTAAAATTTATGTTATGAAAAAACCTTATTTGGGGTGACCATACATCTTCTTTTACTCAGACATGTCCTCTCTTTTGGGGGCTGTCCGGGTTTAGCCGGCTTTGTCTGGGGAAGTTTATAAAATCCTTCAAATGTCTATGGTTTTGTGTTTAAGTTTCGAGTTTGTGTTATGTGGACTTACTGAGTTAGAAGCGCGTAAAAGACACTCGATCCGACCCAATAACTTTTAAAAAATTAACTTTGTGCAACTCTGTGACTCTGTCCTGCATAGTTGTGTTTTTTTTGAGAATACAGAATATGATCACCCATCCTTATTTGCTTCATTTGGAAGCAAAGTTACTATAATTTTTGCATCAAGCTAATAATCATGCGAAGCCATGTTCTTATCCTATCTTGGCATATCAATCCAATAAGAATGCGGTGCCCTTTCTCCAGAGAGAGGACATTTAACTCAAAACTTGTCAGAAGTTGTAAAAGTATATTCATTAGAGTAGAGGCTTGGCCAAACGCCAGCTGATAATACTTTCCCCAATGTCGCTCAGAGCCTCCTCTCTGCCTTTTCCCCCAAAAGTAATCACTTTTTACTGTCTGGGTATAAAAATAAGTCTGCCTTCAGAGCATATTTGCATTGATACCGATAAAAATGATGTCAGAACAGTCCGTAAAAGCAAGTGCATAACATTTAGTGTTTGCACTCTGTGTGTCGTCTCATAGACTGCCTCCTCATAAGACAAAGTGATGAACATGTACCTGGGGAGCTGTTTGGGTTTTATCCTCCTGAATGGAGTGATCTTGGGAGGACAGTTACTCACTGCCTCTGCAGCATCTGTTATTACTGGAGAGGCTGTGAGCAGCAGACTCCTGTCTGTGCGACACACTTAACAAATGATTCACTATCAATCACTATCACTCAAAAAAGTAGGCCCAGGCTAATCACACAGGACAATCAGGTAATGTGTCTTTCTATGTGGTGCATTTGTGAAAGATGGGTATGCTCATGCTGGAGTATGTTACCAGATGCGCAATAAAGAGATAAAATCATCTATTCTCTGCATGCTGACAGTAATGAATGAATTATGCGCCTGTTTGTGTTGCGTAATCCTCTGCTGGCGGATCAGCACGACAGGTTGGATCACTGATTTGACAGACACTTGATTGGCTAAATGAGCTTAATAGGCTTCATGGAGATGTCACAACAGTCTTGAAGAACTGTAGAGGGTGGCGGCCTTAAAAGGATCAGACGGGGTGAGGGAGACGGCGGACTTACGGCTGGGCCCGTGGATCTTGATGGGTTCATTTGGCTTGACGAGTGTATGAGAGCAGTGCTGGCACACGCAGTCCTTTCCACTGAACGTCACTCTGTCTCCGATGGGGAAGGGTTTACTGAGGAGGAAATAAATAACAGACAGAAGGACAGAGGGAGTCAGAAAACAAGCGTACAATAGGAGATTACTATGCCTGCAGTCATCCTGTGTTTACATCACATCCAAGTGTACACAAGGTAATAACAAATGGGTACTGGCAGAAACATGATTAGGTGACAGACAGGCTATAATCCTGCTGACACAGACTAAATACAGTCTGACATCTTCTGTGAACCTGAGAGTGAGTTTCCAAGCAGTTGTTGCTGAGGGTTAATAGGATGTTGTTTGTTTCAGAGCACCTGGCTGCTCTTTGATTAAAGAGCCGATAATGTGACGCTGCCACAGGCTTCTGCAAAGCAAACTGGCTCCCTCATTGAGGATGAAAACTTATTAGTGAGACTGTGTGGAGTGCATACTGATCCTATGAGCCACTTTCTCTTCCAGTCAGTACACCCATTCACTCTGCCTTAGTTAACTTCAACCTCAGAGCTGTTGTCACCATGTCAGAGGTTTCATGTAGATTAAAAAGAATAAATTCACACCAACTTTAGCAGCAGCTTCAGAGGAGAAAACTGAAGAAAAAAGCACTGATGTTTAAATAAATGCTTAAAACTAGCAATGAAAGTGCCAATCTCAATGAAGGCTGTAGCACCCTTGATGAATATGATGATAATGAAAAAATTGGTACATTACAGGTTGAGTTCAAATCAGTGAGATGAAAAGGATTAATTATTGCATACTTTTTTTAAGAGCTGCGGAGTTAGCTTTTGGCCTCCATTGTTTGTCGTCAATAAATCTCTTGGGTCTGTAGTTGGTTAGAGGCATACAGATCTGGCAAAGGTGGGTAAGAGTTGTGATTTATATGATTTATACTAAGTACGATATCACACTAAATGTGTAGTATGTTCTGAATTGATAGTATACAGATTTGTGTATGTAAGAAATGTATGAGAACAACAAGAACTGTACGAGACAAAAGCTCATTAGTGATATTTAACTACCTGAAAATGTACGGTGGCCTCCTAAACTACACAATAATGGAGCCCACCAGTCAGCAACACACAACAATTGATCAGACAAACTGTTAATCAATAATCATCAGTGCTGCTTCTTTATTAATTTCTATTGAGGACATTTATTTCAAAAAGGATTACTGAACTCTCTAACCACTGTTTAATTCAGTTTTCTCTGATGCTGTTATCTTCACTTTCCCTGACTTCACTGCAGAAACACAGCACTGTGAGATCAGTCTACACCAAGCTGGGGGGAATGTTGTGATGTGTCAGACATGGACGACTCAGCCCTAAAAGCAGCAGTAGAGCTATTTGGGAGCTGAAAGAGCCAGTTCCAGCTGAGTCAGATGATATGGATCACTAAAAAGAGCCTAAATTCCAAACTCTGGGTGCTTTTACGCTGAGGTTATTAACCTGAGGAAAAGGACCTGAACCCGCTTCTCCTACACCGTAAGATGGATAAGAGACAACCTGTGCAAGTGAACCAAAAATGTGTTATCTAATTCACAAAGCTCAGGCAAAGGGTTGAATTCTCCACAAAAACGCACATCAGAGTGATTCTTTAATTCATTCATTTTTTCACCTTAACAAGCTGCTTTTGTTTTGCTCACTTGATATGAATTATGAAACTTGTGTCACATTTATAAAGAACTGACTTCACATGAAACAGGTCAGGACTGTCCATCTTAATGTAACTCATCATATATATGGATGGAATAAAGCACTATCAGGGTGAAAGCTCACTGCAAAGCTCTGTGCAGTAGGGAAGAGATGCTTGCAGTTCAAAGAGCTGCTAAACCTTATGGGCAATTTTTACACTTGAATATTACTAGTGCATTTCCTTTGTGAAATAGACCTTGAGAGGGAGCAGAGAGCGAGGGCAGAGGATGCTAAATTCTTGGTGCTACAACAGCTGCAAGCCTGCCTTTGTGAATAAGGCCTTGAGTATCTGAAAAGCTTCCTGTATTTTAATGTCAAGAACAAGAACTGCGTTTGTCTATTTAGATACTTTTTTGAAATACTCATTCAAACTTCGAAATAAATTTTATGGTGTTTTTTCAGGGTGAATTCTCTACTAAGAAAAATATATTTTAGTGACTTTAACAGCAGAAAAACACAAAGTTAAAAAAAGGGATTAGACTAGGGTGACCATACGTCCTCTTTTACCCTGACATGTCCTCTTTTACCCAGACATGACCTTTTTTGGGGGGGCTGTCTGGCCTGTCTTGTCCGGGGGAGTTAATAAAATCCTTCAAATGTCCATGGTTTTGTATAGAAGTTTTGAGTTTGTGTCGCATGGACTTACTGAGTTAGAAGCACGTTAAAAAACACTTGACCCGACTTGAAAAACTCTCAAAATTTACTATGTGCGACTCCGTGACTCCATCCCACAAGAACAAATGTGCAGTAATCTGTATATTTATGACATAGTTATTCATTATCTGACCTTTATTCAAGTCCTCAAAAAAAGAAATCATTAACTGAGCAATGACTGTAGGTTGAGCATGTTGCTACATCTCGAATGGCCACTTTTGGCTCCAAAAAAACAGTATGGCAACAATCCCAGTGTCCCAAATATGAGGCTCCCAGAACAGCAGTCCACAAACCCACGGTGTCTACTGCTTTATATGCTGTCTGTGTTTGACACTCATGCTGACAGGCTGGGCACAAGACAGCAGACAGCTTCCAAATTAAATTATATCATATTGCCATCGTTTTGTCTCTTCTCTCTTCAGTAGTATTTTTTCAAAGAGTCGGATTGATTTTTATGACTGAGGAGGATGTGAGAGTGAATGGGAAGCTAAAAGGCTTAGGGAAGGCTGTTTAAAGAGACATAGACGGCAGTAATCCGTTTACTCCCCCACCGAGGCCTGGAGCCGGAGCCAAGACCCAGAGGGAGGCTAGAGTCTCCAGCAGAGCTCACAGTCAGCACACAGGAGTGCAGAGCATCCATGTACACTCTCAGATGCATCAACCTAAGCAGAAGAGATGTTTGTACTTTTTATTCACACAACTGTGGAGGTTGTGAGCCTTGGAAAGTGAGCTTCTGGGGGGGGCTGGGAGAACGTGTAGGAAAACTTGTAGGAGAACTTTGCAAGTGTATCTGCCTGGATGCGTGTGAATGCGGAGGGAAGCAGCACAGACAGTATTCTAGGTTTGTCCCTTTGTGCTTTTATATTATTTAAAGGAGACTAAGTCAATCAATAAAACAGAAAGGACAGATAAGTGTGCAAGAAAAATGAGCCAGCAAAGACATTTCACCTTTTCAATTATGCAAACTACGGTTTATATCAAAACACAGTAAATACTAAAAATAAAACATAGAAAACCAGAGAGGTTTCATTTAACAAGTGGAGCTTGTTTATGAGGTTTGTATCTGTGTCCACTTGCAGGCATGACGAGATAAATCTTTCACATGTATAACCAAAGCTTCTCCAGAATATGGCACATTTTAAGCACAGGAAATGCTGTAGACGAGTACGTTAGTTTGACCTTGTCTTTACCTGTGTGTTGCTCTCTCTTCCCTTAAGACACTCTTGCCTTGTCAGCCTTTCTCAGCCCTTTAAAAATTTAGCTATGTTTACATATTTAATGCATGTTTTTTTTTCCTCCTCTTTTTTTTTTTGGTAAAAAACTGGCCACAGAAGTGAAAGCTATTTCAGGCTTTAGTGGTGCGCCCTCAGGCTTTGATCACCGCTGTTCCTTCTTTTTTAAATCCGCCTTGGAAAGTTGCAATCTGCCTTCATTAGGATGACAAGAGAAAGACAGACAATGATGAAGACGTGAAGAAGGATGATGTGATGCGAATGATGATTAAGAGAGGAAAGGAGGATGATGACGGTAATGATAATGATGAGAGGAAGAAGACAGAGGAGGAGGAGGAGAGGGGGGTGGAGGAGATAGACAGGAGGAGAGGAATAGAGGAGGTAAAAGAAAAGACTGTAAGCAATGTGACAGAGGGCAGACGGAGCAGGAGAGAAGAGATTCACCCTTCGGCTTCTTGCTGTCTCTTCTGGTTGACTCCTCATACACTGTCACACATACACAAATACACACACAAATACACACACACACATCCCTATCACTGCCAGGACTGCTCCACTGGCTGTCTCCGGCCAGTTGGTGTTGTTTTAGTTTTTTTTTTGCCCCTCGGCTGCTCGGTCTGACAGCGGGTTTATCAGCCACATAACAAAATAGACAAACACGACTCTCTTCCATGAGGAAACATACGCTCTCGTTTAAACCTAATATCAAGTCAAAAAAGATCAAATAAAAAGGGAGTAGGAAGAGAAGAGGAAAACGAAGATGTTTGCTCCTGAAAACACAGCACAAAAGCCAAAGAGGAGACAAAAATGGTGAAATAAAAGAGATAAGGGAGCTAACAGGGGATGCTGACGCTCAATTCAGTCAGGAGGAGCTTAACATTAAAAGTGATGGCGGTCAGGAGAGAGATGGCCTACTTTTACAAAAACCAAAGAGAATGAAACACCGGGTCAGCTTTCTTTTGGATTCGTGCCTCGACTGAGGAAAACGACAGGCTGCTTGAACCTTAATCAGACATTTATTGACATTCAGGGGCTCTGAAAATACTGACTCATGGGCTGTAGATCTGTCGTTACTACACCCACTTTTCAGGAATGAATCACCTTTTTGAATTTCTTATTTTGAAGACTTAACTTTTGCAGCATCATTTCAAAGGGACTGTGTGTTCATGGGGCAAAAATCAGTGACTCATTGCAAAGAAAGAAATCATTTGTGCCTCCCATTCAGTCATGAGACTCCACTGTTGATTGCTGTTTTTGCATTCTCTCATTTAAAAGGCTATTTTTTCATAGTTTTCTTTTCACAGACCTCTTTTAATGCTGAATTGAAACTTTTGTGCGTCTTCAAAAATTAACACAGATTAAGATGGTTAGAGTCATACATGACATTTTCCAAACTATTAAATACAGACAAACACAAAGGAGATATCATCCACATGTAGCTCCTCTCACTTCAGCAAAGCTTCTCAGTCATTTGGTCGGACGTTCAGTATTATGTGCCAGTTCACTTTTCAAAACCCTGTTTCCAGCAGGTTGCTCTTCCCAGCAAAAATCTCTGGTAAGCTCATGCTTGTCCAGCTGCCAAGCTCCAAACAGTTCATGACAAAGTTCAAGACTAGCAGGTGAACATGGTGGAGTTTTTGGTAGCTGAGGAGTTTTCTTTAGAAGTTGGTGTTGAACCAAAGTCATGCTGAACAGAGAGTCACTACTGTGGCAAACATATTGATCTTCTAGTCGTGCCATCAAATCATGACTCATGAGCAGAGAAACTTGGTACTCAGGGAAGATGATCAAGTTTAACTTATGCAGAATAATTAGCAATACCTTTAACGGTTTGTAATGTTGTAGATTAAAAAAATAAATAAACAGACGATACAAGATAATGATTTACACTGGGGAGTAAAAAGAGGCTTAAGAGCCACACATAATCCATCAGGGTCAGTTGGGGCCCTAAGCAAAGCTCAGGATGTTCCCATGCAACTAAGTTCCTGATATAGAAATTTATTGGCTTTTTAAAGTTATATTTTTGGGAATGTTTGCCTTTATTTGGTTTGGGCTGCTAAAGCGAAACAGGGGATAAGAGTAGAAGGAGACATGCAAGGGTCTTGGTCAGGCATCAAACCAGCGACTGCCACAACAAGGACTATAGTTTTAAATGGAGGGCTTCGACCCCTACATGTGAGTAGGCCATTTGGGTCCCTACATAAAAATGATAACTCTGACTAACAGACTTAAGGTAAGAAAATCTGCCGAGACACTCTCAGGGTAAATGATGTCAAATTGGTTTGCAGAGTTTGAATAATGCCAGTAGAGCTAGCACCACCAGCCTTCCACTTTACAGGTTGACATACACATGCCTGGACTGGTTGTGCACTGCTCTGGTCGAGTAGCCATACACCATTTTAACCAAACACAACCTAGATTTAACTTAATTTAAAAATGTTCAGACCAAAACACTGCTGACTGGGCTGCACAAGATGTCATCTACCATTTTTGTTTGTTTACATCCAAGTGGAGAGCTATAGTATTACAGTGTCAGCTCCAGCTAGTGGTTGGTGGCTGCGCTATAGCTTTGACACAACATACTGCAGGGATTTCTGGAATAAAATAATAAAATGAACGTAGTAATTTTGGTGCTGACTAGTGAGGGCGACAGTGTTTCATTGTCCAGTTGACTAAAGCACAAAGTCCTTGCTTGATTTTGTACTTAATTTTAACGTTTAATCTCAAATACAATAATGTTACTGCTACAGTCTTTGACACTCAGTGCTGAAATGTCACACAATAAGGATTGAATGTATGCGTTTGTGTGCTCATATTTACCAGCAAACACTGCAGACAAAGCACTTGGGGTGGTACGTGCGTCCCAGAGCAGAGACCACCTCTCCTGTGATGAACGTGTCACAGCGGTCACAGCGTGTCCCGTACAGACGCTGATAGTCTGCTGTACAGATGTATTCACCCTTCTTCTGGAAGAAGCCGGATCGTGCCAGATCACAGTTACACACTGAGAAAAGGACAAGAGACAAGTTGTGAGAGACCTGGACACACAAGCAGAACTTCATGTAGTACAACTTGCAGACTGCATTTGCCACATTTTGGTCTCAATTCTCTAAAATAATACTGTGGTTTCTATTTTCTGACATTATTGCTAAAATGAAATCAAATAACAAGCGAGCCAGAAAGGACTGCTTTTCTGTTTCGCTCTGTTTGGGTTTTTTTCCGGTCTATTATATCTGTTTATGTGTGCACATGTGCTTGTTTGTGTGTATGTGTGAGTGTATGTCTTCACGCATGACTGCTAAGGAAGTTATTCAGCTCCAGACAGTGGTAAGCCAATTTGTTTTGATGGGAATATAATGATATAATCAGAGGAAAAGTCATTCTGTGCTCAACAATGTGAAAACGGAGACCAAAAAAAAACACACCGCAAGTTCCCAGCATCATCAGAAAATCGACAACAGACTTATTAAATACCAATGGAAAAGAGACGGAAATCATTTGCTGTGTATGCACAAGGTGAATGCTCAGATTTTGTGTCGGTGTGTGTCAGATTGTTCTGCACAGACAATCTGTGCAACAGCACTGTGCAATGTAACCAGGAGAATTCCAGTGGGTGTAACAGTATAGCTAGGAGGTGTTTTCACAGATCAGCAGTCAGTGTGGTTGCTGGTCTCTGGTTTCTCCCAGACTTTGTGGTTTACCAAAAGGAAGAGATGACAGCTATTGTAGCTGGAAAATATTCTGTGACCTATAACAAACACATGGCTTTTGAAGGCTGCAGTTTACCAAACCTTTTTTTTTTAAGTCTACTTTAAGAAACTTACAATGTTACAATGTCATTTAGCAGCATTCTATCCAAAGCGGCATACAAAAGAAACGTCAGAATTTCTTAAAGAGATATTTAAAGTAATTAATGATCATTTCTTTATCATTTCCTTGAAGTAATAATCATCATATTAATCATTTTGCACTGCAGACACGGTAGTTCTTCTGCCTTAGCGTCTCGGTTTTGATTTTATTTCCATGAAGAAATATCATAAATGTTCTTCCTTGAGCTGCGTTACCCCACTGCAGTCGATGATGGACTGGTCGAGGTCTTGCAACAAACAAGCAGCTGCTGGAAGAGAGTAGGTGAGTTGTGTTTAGCCTCTTTGCTAAAGAAATCCGGCAAAGTGAAAAAGATATTTGGTGGCTAGTACTATGGCTGGGACCCTATATGTACTGTTGATGAAGTTAGGTGCTGTTCTGAGCATTATTTGTGGCTACAGAGTGGCGTTTTGGTTGAGGTTTGCGCGTGGAGACGTAGACCGCTGTGTATTGCTATTGTGCAGTTGTTACTTATGTTAGTAGAAGAAGAAGTAGAGGCAAGCGGGTCATAGTGTGTTTGACCCTAAATTAATTTGATGCTGGAATATCCCCTTAAGACCTTCTGACAGTATGACTTCAATCCGATGGCGAATCCACTGCCTCTATACTCCTGCAGCTACAGTTATAGAACAAAGTTACACCCCGTAATGGCTTAATGGCTTGGACACATGAGCGCATCAAAACTGGAAACACAACAGGAACAGCTAGCATGGCTCTTAGAAATGGTAAGAGAGGCTTAAATGTTGCAATACTGCTAGAAATCATGAGGGCAGTGTTGAGCAGTAAAGCTAACCATTTGAGACAGAAACAAAGAGGAAGGACACCTTGGAAAGGGGACAGACATTTAGATTAAACCATAAAAATGTGGTTAATATGATGCCTCCCTGCTTGAGCACAGGTAACTACGACAACAACAGAGCAGTTTGGAGACAAATAGGTGGGAACTTGAAAGTCAGATTAATACCGGCAAAGCAGAAGTGCAGAAGTATGTGGGTAGTGACAGATTTTTTTGTTTTAAATGTCTGAATTTTTTTTAACATGTAAGGAAAGCATAATGAGCCTTGAAGCTGATTTAAAGCTCCCATGGGAAACTTTCAGATTGTGTAAATAATGGTTCCCCCTGTGGACAAAGCAGTCTTTGCTTATCGTGTCCTATACATAATCATGGTGTGTCTTCTTATACCACATCTCATCCTGCTGACCTCTGACAGTAAAATGTATTACTTATTGTGAATATTTTATGTTGAATATTAAATGGGCTGTTTCTTCAGCTGCTCTGCTGACAGCTACCTCCTTGGGCATTAAAAATCACATTATTAAATTCATCAATTATGTTGCTGATAGTCTTCCTTACTTTTAGATGATATAAAAAGACCTAAATATTAATTTCAGTCTGTTACATTAGAATAAAAAAGTACCTCATAAAGCTTTCAATATCAAATGTCATTCAAGATGAGGCTATTTGTGGGTCTCAAAATCCAAATTTTTTAGAGCAGTATATCTAAGCTAGTTTAAGCCGAACTACTGTATAATGTCAAATGCAAAGCTTTAAAAATAGTAAACAAAACTTGTAGTCTTTTTTGCTGAAACAAGCAGATTACCTGATAGTACTGATTCTCCATCCTCCTTCTGTCTATGTGCATCAACCTCCATCTCTCTCTTTCTGTATCTCCCTCTATCCCCTCTCTGAACCTAATACACTGGCGTTGAAAGGAAGTTTTTCCTCTTCACTGTAACTCTCTAAATGCTGCAAAGTGTCACACTCATGCAGTTGAAGACAGGATGGGAGTGGGTCTGATCTCACTAAATGTGGATCAATCTTATCCCACCTTTACATTGGGTCTATGTAGATTAAATATGGTCTTTCTGTCAAGTGTCTTGAGATAAAACTTGTAGTGAAATGATGCTATATAAATAAAGATTGACCCTAATCTCAGCATGTAATATTGGAAACATGATTTATGATAAAATCACAGCCTGTAACGACCCCAAAAATATTAAGAATGACAAGCAATGCTAAAAAAAAAACTGCTTACAACACATTTTTTTCTACAATGAGTAAACCAAGTAAATAAAACAATCAAAATTTCTGTCATAAAAAACATCATTTTGCTTGTGGTGGGACAAGGCACCTCCAATAGCATCTTTCTGTTGATTAATGGCTTCATCCAAGCCATGCTATACAGTCTGAAGTTGCTGCTATTTGTCTCCTTAGAGCCACTGGTTTTCAGTGGCTTCTGGCAGACTGAGGGTTCACAGACACACACACACACACACACACACACACACACACACACACACACACACACACACACACACATAAACCCTTCAAAGGGGCTCATTTAATCTCAAGCTGTTTATGAGTGCAGCGTATTGACTTAATGGTGTAATAAAAGATCAATGGGCCCTCACTTAAAAACAAAACAATCTCAGCTCCCACAGGAGGATGGAAACACATAAATCCATCCCCGATGAGATGGCACTGTGTGTGTGTGAGTGTGTGTGTGAGAGTGTGTGTTCAGAGTTGAGTTTATGAAATGGGACAGTATGTATGCTGAGATGTGATGATGGATCTTTATCATTGCGACAGATCATTGGCATCACGGCAGCTGCAAAAGTGCACAGGACGGGAAGATGCATGATGGGAGAATCATAGCTAAGACTTAAAAATATATGTTTGATAAAAATGTGTGTGCATGTATGTGTGAGTACATGTGCATGTGCAGACCACATTTCCAGAACCGCTGCACAATGGCACACAGCATCAAAAAGTGTCCCTGCTTCCTTAAAAACCAGACTAACCCTGACCAGAAACCCAAATCACAGGCTATCTGATGCCTTCATGGAAAGGCAAAATGAAAGAGTAAATATTTCCACATTTACTCAGCCTTCTGCAAAGAAAACAAAACACAAATAAGTGCACGTATTTGATAAAAATGAATCAACTCTCCAAAAAACTAAAAACCTGCTCTATAATTTTCTCTCTCCTTTTTTCTTCCACCCTTTCCCCCACTCCACTCTGTCACTGTCTTTTTCAAAATGACTTACTTTTCAATCTGCACCCAGATTGATTTTCAAATTACTGGAATCTGCTCAATTAGCCTAATGCACCTCATTAGTATACAGACTCCTGACCAAATCACAGCAGGCAGACTGGCTCTGCTCGAATTGGATTGGACAGGCTGGCTGGATGGTTCACCTGTTCCAGCTAATCATATTGTTTTCTTCAGACTGGACGATTGGTTAGATTCATCGTAAAGGACGTCCCCCTTCCTCAGTTGCCATAGGAGACGTAAACCTTCCACGGTTGCCCTAGAGACAGCCAGGTCCCCAGACTGAGTGATGTGGTGTTGCTGGTGGCACTTTGTTTTCTTTGGTGAGTGAACTGGCAGCTCTAAAAACAAAATGTTATCTGTGAAGAAACCGTGACTTGAAACCAGTCTCAAATCTGCTCTGACGGCAAAGATGTTTGCCACCCTATAGGCTCAGTCATAATTTGCACCAAATTCAGAAAGTTTACAACAGTGAATGATTAATTTATCCTTGAAGCTAGTGACAGCCTCTTAAGTATAAAGAAAATATAATCTCACAGCGCAGTATGCTATCATGCACTGTAATGTGTTAAGTTTAAGGGGATACAGCTAATGTTATATGCACCATCAATGCATGTGCAGACAAAAAAACAACTATTAGGTCTTTAAAATAAAGGTTAATTCCTATAAAGTACCCCCTTTTGCAGATTCCTTGCAAGTGTGAGCTCAACTCTTTAATTTTCCCTTTCAGCTGTAACCAACCTATTCCCTCCACATTTTGCAGTCAGATGTAAAGTGGGTGGAGCTGGGTCACAGTTTGGTGTGTCTGCTGCTGCATGGTTTAGTTTGACTCTGAGCAGATAGGCTTTGGTAACAACCTCAAACCGGTACCACATGCTGTGGACACCCATAAAAACAGCAGTGGTCTGTTTTAATGTCTTTGAAGGGTTAAAGTCTGTTGTATCAAATTAGAAGTAAAATCATTTTTTAGTACATATAGTGCCTATTTTTAAAATGCAGTTACTCCATATTATATCATAGTGACATAGTCCGATTTACTGTCAATTTGCTAAACCAACATAATCAGCTTTGCAAGGCTAAACTAAACCCAAGACTTTCTTTCATCTATTTGCTCATTTCATGATCTTTTCTGTGAATTGGGCTCTAATGAGGGTTACCAGAAGATGCCTCTTCTCTCATTCATATTTATCCTTTTTGGCAACCCAAGAAGTTTGCATCAAAAGATCATAAGTCCAGTGATTGGAGGTTAGCATGTGCAAGTCTCTGCAGCTGTGGTCATTAGAACAGCACTGATTAGGCACCCACAGGGGGTCTGCATGATTAGGTATTTATCTCCAGCCAACAGACGCAATTAAAATTCCCTTCTCAAAGTCGGCCTGGGCCGGAACCCCGAAATAGTGCAGACACCACCCCCTGCCTCCTCCCCTTCTCTTTCTCTGTCTTTTCGTTTCAAGACAGCTTCCAAATCTTTGTGGCTCTGGGCACAAGGTCTCCACTTCATCTCAATTTGCACCTTTTTTCTCACAAGTCTGCAACCTTCCCCTTTCTCTTAATGTGGCTCTCCTCTGAGCTCATTATGCAACTGATAGGCCTTCATAACGTGCCATTAAGGAAATGGACATGCTTTGTACAGTACATCAAAGCAACCTCCTGCACATTTTTATTGTTTTACTGCTGCTGTCCACATTACGCTAATGCCAGTCTTTTTCTAATTATAAGAAACAGACAAAGTTGAGCAGAGAGAGGCATCTATGGCTCAAGCTCTAACAGGGGATGTAATCACCTATTCACCCCTACATCTGTGCTCCCAACGTGGGGCCCAGGCTCCTCTGCCCTCCCCGTCCCCTTGGATCAGAGCCCCTCTGACAGGAGGAAACACTTCAAGAGTAAATAATGTGTTTTCTCAAGTCTTGCCAAATCACTGGGTGAAAGAGGAGGCGGTCGGAAAGACAGGAAGAGGAGCAAACAGAAGTCTACAGCCACACTAGCAGCTTTGTGAGGCCGTACTCAGGGATGGTATTTTGTGCACATTTGCATGCAAGTATAATTTCAACAGCACTGAGTAATTCTGAGAAAGGGAATGTCATTTAGTTAGGTCATAAACAAATTTATGTTGATAAAGGCATAGAAATAGAGGTAGCCACTATAACGCACACATTGCTGGAACTGTCATTTCCTAATCTCCTGAGACTCAAGCTTTTGTTCGGTGTGCATTTTCCATTTCTCCTAGCTATTTGGAGTTAGTACCAAATAGCTGGCTACTAAATAAGTATAATAACTTATTTAGTAGCAAATAGCTACCAAATAAGTAGAATAACTAAACTTGTCTTTGTACAGGAAGTGGTTTTTGCAAAAGTGGTGTCCTCATATGGGGACAGTCAGTTTGTCTTTGCATTTAAAGGTTTTCTTGGCAGTTTGGGGTCAAAAGGCCCTAATTACTCTAAAAACAAAACTGGGTGGAACTATGGGAAAATATATAGGAAATGAATATTAATAATACATCTTAGTCAAATTAATTACATAGATGGGTTTTTTATAGCTGCAAACTAACAATCAGTCCACTGAGAATCTATTCTCTCAGGAAAATGGTTATTGGACATGGTTTTTGACATCACAACAGGCCCTTCAATAGTTCCTGAGATGAATTTCTGGCTTTATGAATGGTTCACTGATGTTAAACAACCAAGAAAAACTTCTACCCCAAAACAAAGCATCCAAGTCATTGTGATCTATCCTCCAGAGACATTGGATATCAGTAACAACTTCTTTCTAATCTAGGGTGACCATATTCTGAATTCCAGGACACAACTACGTGGGGACTAGGCACAGAGTCGCACAAAGCTAATTTTAAGAGTGTTTCAGGTTGGATCGAGTGTTGTTAGTAAGTCCATGCGACACAAACTCAAAACTTCCATACAAAACCCCAGACATTTAAAGGGCCGGACAGCCCCCAAAAACAGGGCATGTCTGGGTAAAAGAGGACGTATGGTCACCCTATCTAATCAGCTACGTAGTGTTAGGCTATTTGCAAGGAGCTAAAAACTAAACACATCAGTGCCTTAGTAGCTGAAGAGGAAGAAATGGTCTACCTGTATAATTTATCCACTGAGGAACATGACTGACAGTTCTTGTTGTAGCACAGTGCCCTAAAATTATTGCAAAGATGGATTCCTCTATACCTTACTTCCAACAGGATGGTTGTATGAGGGGATCAATAATGTTTGATAACCAAGAAAAACCTTTGACCTGCTTTTCACACCTAAAAAAACAAAGCATCTGTGTCACCGTGATCCATCCAATGGAGACACTGAATATCAGAGTCTACCAGCAGAATATATCCTGTGGTGAACATGAGTATTAGCACATCAAATGACTGAGCAGTCCATATGGTTTTATAGTTTTAAAGCTATTTTAGATTGAACTCACTGACCAAAATTGCCAGGCCTAAAGTAAAACTGCTAACGTGGCGACAAAAGAAAAACCCTAACAGAAAACAGAAGGAGAAGCGGTTATGGAAAAGGGCAGGAGAAGAGAGAAAAAGAGCGAGGGAAGAGGAGGGGACAGCTGAAGGCTAAAGCAGAGAGAAATCATGCATGAGTGACAGGGTTCCCTTAGAATTTGGCTGTGGCTGCTGATGGAGACAGATGGTTGCCCAGCGGAGTCCCTTCATACCAGCAGACCAGTCCTGCTGCTGAGGCCTTCAGCTTTTAACCCTCCAAGGGCTGATAAGACGCTCAGTTGAGGGGAAAAGAGGCATAAACGGGATCACAGAGGGATAACCAAACTGTCAGAGATGGGCGCTTAGAATCAGTATAAATACAGTCTTTAAAGATCAGTCTGCACATACAGTGGTAGTGCTGTGTATTTTCCTCAAATACTGTCATAATAGCTGCTTAATGATCCTCTTTATCGTGTAGGAATCACTCCTTCGCTGAGCTAGGCACTTGCACACTTCAGCAGCTCTACCTCGGTGTAGTTCACACATAGACACAATTTTCACACAGATACACACACACCCTAAGACAATAAGCAAGGCGTCGCTCTGGAAATCCCCTTAGAAGGTGACACTTTGGAGAGACACGCGGAGGAATAATCCCTGTCATCTATCCCGGATCCTGGAGAGTCGTCTGGGGGAAAGCGCCGCTGCTTTCCCTTCTCTGCCGGATTCTCTCCCTAGCAACCAAGCATTGGCGTGGTGATTGGACCAGCGTACCAGTGGTTGCTATAGCTACAGGAAGCTCCCCTTTCTCAGTAACCCCCCACTTTTTTTTTTTCCTGTGCTGTCTCTTTTTCAGTTTCTCCTCATAACCTTTCTTTGTTTTTCCCTTCATTCCTGGCGCTATTTGTCTTTCCTCCTTTCACTGTTCGTGTCTGTATCTCCGCCTCGACCTCAACCTTAGAGAGCTGTATGGCTGCACACTACAGTGAGTTGATGTTATTAGCACAGAGGTTGAGTGATAGGGCTAATGGCATCCAAAGGGAGGCTGAACTGACTGAAACAAGCCTGCAGAGAAAAAAAGACAAAAAAGCAGGGATTTTCCGAGAGCCCTGGTGAGAACAGCGGCTGGAAATGAAACGTTAGCAGAGCAGTCAAGTATTTGTCTGACCTGTCTGTGTAAAGCTGTTATTCCCTTTAGCGCTGTTTTATGAGGAAAATCTGTTTTGTCCAGGAAAATAAATAACTACTGGGAGCAGCCTGGCAGTTTATGTGCGAATGTGTGAGTGTTTGCATCTGTCTCCGTCTGCGCTTGTATATTTGCACCGCGCTTCTGTGCCTTTATGTGTGTTGGCTACATGGGGAAACACTAACACATTTAGCCTCCTTTGCATGTGATTTATGTGTGTGTTATCCTTGTGCTCGTGCCACTGACAGGCCCCGCTGTTTCTGTTGGAATCTAAGAGTGCCAATTACGCTTCAGAGTGGGGTAAATGTGGTCACTATGTCATTAGGCCAGTATGCACGAGTCAGCCCGTCTGCTGGTAATACAACACCACATCATCCATACAGTATGGAGAAAAGTGATACAGGATCCACATCATCCACACATTCACCCACTCCCCTCTCTCTGTCTGGAGTTGATGCATCAATCTTTGAGCCGGCTTCTGTCTTCAGCATTTTCCACACACTTCTTTCTTTGGCTGATTACATGGCTGCTCCTTCATGCTATAATCAGCTGCTGTATAATAGGTTCAGATTAGAGGTTAAATGCACATGATTAGTGATCCAATCATCTTTCGGCTAATGCATGAGAGAGGAATTATGATAAGGCAGCTTCCAGAGAGTATTGTGGTTTATAAAATGTGGTAGGATAAAGTGAAGGACCGTATGGATGTATGTTTTCCCTCATGGGGCAGACTCAGCCCTATTGAGGAAAAAAAGGAGACCGAAATAACGAGGGAAAAGAAAAGCATCAAGGGAAAAAAATGATGAAATTACCAAGATTTTTTGTCATGGTTTTTGCGTTGGAAGTGATCATTCTAAGGCGCAGAAAATACCATTGGTCAGGGTCAATAACCTGGGTTCACGCACTAATTTTCCCAGCAAAGAGTTCAATCAAATGTTGAAATATGCCCAAGTCAGAGTTCATAAACATATTCGGCAGATAAGGCAATTGGCTGCTGGTGGCGGATTGTCACTCTGGCGTGTTGGAACAATACAGTTTAGCCATTAGCCTCCAAATCGCACGCCCGGCATGCCAATGCCATCCTGTCCCAGATGAGAAATTGATTTCATGCTTGGGTGACTGTCATCAGGAGAGAAAGGGGGAAAGAAAGAGACGGAGGGAAATGATCAAGAGGAGAAAGAGAAACAGAAATACAACTTAAATCCTGAAACCATTCAGCCTCTGAAAATATACAGGGGAGCTAATTTAAAGCAGAGAATGGAAACACAGACAACAGAGGATAGTATGTGAAGTTGAAAAAAACATGCAACATGTTTGAGTTTAAGCCAGGTTACACATGAACAATACAAGCTTTAGAAAACTGCTGGCTATGCAGAGGCCCTTACAGGACAGCATATTATAGGCAGGGATGTGGCAGAGTCTGGCAACACAATAGCGTGCCCCACTGCCTCATGGGACATGGAGAGCTCTCTGGAACATGAGAAGGGAGGATCAGTCTGATAGGTGTATTTAACATGATGCTCATCCATGACAGTTTTCCATTAACTGTACTGCCGCTCTGAGTGAAAGAGGAAATGAAAAGGAAGAGGAGTAAGTGAGGATCAGATTGGTATTACACTCGAGTGATGATGTAATGTTTAGGCGACACAAAAACAGCACCCCATCCCCCCTCTTCCTCTCTTTTTTTCTTCTTGCTTCCTGTGTTCACCCCCCTTTTTCTCTGGGGCACAGAATAAAGCCTCCTGATTGGTTAATAGCACCATAGAGATGCTGAGAATATCCACCAACCACGGCCTGGGTGCCCCTTCACACCGTTGCCACAGCAACCCATCACAACCACTGTGAGCGTGCACACATGTATGGTTGTGCACGGTTGTATGCCCAAGTGCATGTGTACATACATGCATACGTGCACTGTAAACATGTGTTGTCATGTGTGTGATGGCTACATGTTTAGAACATGCAACAGCAAGCCTTCAATGAATAGCCTTCAGTGAATTTGTCTACTGGAGAGACATTTGTGCAGCTCAAACAGCAACAAACACAACAAACTCAGCTTCTTTTCCCTGACAACAGCAACTGGAGACCAGACTTATATAAAATGCAGCTTTGAAGGGTTGCCAGGGAAAGTTTGGGCTGTAAAAACGTACATCAGACTGAGTCATTTTTTTTGGCAATGGGCAGGATATGAAAAGTTTTTCTGAAACAAGTTTAAAAAAAGCAACTGCAAGTGGCGCAGAAATATTTCACTTTCTTAATGCACAAAATATGTTAACTATGTAATTGAAATACAATGGAAAAAAAAACAGAAGTTAGGAAGATGTCCACAGTGAAAACAGGAATAAACAGGGTGAAATTTGTCTCATAATAAAGAGATTTGTTCAAATATAAAGTAAATCAAAATACATAAGAAATCATGCCCTCTGGAGTATACAGTATAAACAAAAGCTTTCTGCCTCTTGCAGTGGAAATTTAATCAAGACCAAACTCATGCCAATAATTTCTAAACGTAATATTAACAGAAACAAACAGACAAATATTTTCATGGAACAAAAGCATGTTTGAATATGTCATGTAAAGCCAGTGGGCTGAAACCCTTTCATGAGTCAGGTAAGACCACTAAGGAGGGTTATGTATGAGATACTGTGCAGTGAACAGGTGGTTATATGTAATAAAATCCTACCAGGGTGAGCAAGACCCTGCTGCATTCAGGGTGCATTTGCATTACCACCTGTTGACACCAAATAATTGAATCTAAGATTATATTAAGAATTTTTTAATTTGAAAACATCTTTAAAGATCAATTCCCCTGATTGTGTGGATCATGATTTTTTGATTCAGCTGCCAGTAAAACATTTGCCTACTTCTATTTTATAAATTATAGAAAACTAAACATTTTTATTAATCGTAATAAAGGACAAGGTGAGCAGGAGACTTCTGTCCTCAATCAGTTGTCCTTGCAGGTGACACAGATTTGATAAGAATGAGGCACATGTCCCCACTTCCAACACTGTTGATATTACTGCTAAAGCTTATGGTTTAGGTTAGTTTGCACCAATCACAAACTTTTTACCAGCTCTGCTGTCATTGCCAGGATTACAGGACAGGGTCCAGTATCAAAATATCCTCCATGTTTTTTAGCTTTTCTATTAAGAACACAAACAAAAATGAACATTATTTACCACAGTTTTAACAGACACAGGTGAGACATGCTGGGCTCCTCTATTAAGGATGACTTGATATGGCTCATTTCATTGTCAGTGATTTTGCCTTGACTATTGAGGATTAATTACCACTATATGAGGTTAAATGCTAAGTAATGATGCTTGTGTACACAGAGAGAGATAATTGATTTTAAAAAGTGTTTGATAATTTCTAAATTCAACAGGAATTAATGAGACTGTTGTGCACTGTCTATCTGCTGCATCTTCCACAGTAATCTGCAAATGAACAAAGGAAATCATGACGGTACGAAAGATGGCTTTATTAACAGATTACTGAGTAGGCTAGCTTTAGGCTGTACAGCAGCATGACAAAAAGCAATCCCTGCTTCTTTGATTTAATTTGCACATGCACTGATATTTGGATTTTATAAGCTCCCTTTGGTTCCCTTTCAGTCTGCAAAAGTGCCCTCAGTTTAACTTGTCACCATCGTGCTTAAAAAAGCTTTGGGTCTTTTTTTTTCTGGAGAGGATGATTTTGTAATCTGGTTAAGCTATAAACAAAAACATCCCATTACACAGATCATAAGCTTTTAGGTTTCATGTACGAAACCAGTTTCTAGTAGATATTAAAGCACAACATTTGCCATTTTACCCTTTTTTTTCTCTCAGTCTCTTAGACTATATAAATTCCTACATCTACAGCTAATTAGACTAAATTACCCACATTTTGTCAAATATTCTGAGTCATACATCTGTGGCTAGTCTGTGGTCCCTTTAAACAGACAGCTGAGCAGTATCAAAGATTAAATATAAAAAAAAAAAAAACACAACTAAGTGCTTTAAAAGCAAACAAAACAAAAATATCATAAACAGATCCACATGCCTCACTGTTTGTGTTCCAAGAGGATCAGAGGTTATGTCACTACTGTATCTTTTCAGGTCAGCAGTGCTTACTTGTAGCATGGCAAAGCTGGTTGAGTTAGTCTCATTAGACCGCAGCGTACAACCGAGGGAAAATCCTCTCCAAGTTGGCAGTGCAATAACAAGCTACCTTAGCAGGGGCCTAGTTCCCTGCAAGGCACCGTCTCTGATCCGCTCCAATCCCCTCCGTAGGCTAATAGTAGCACTCAGCATGTGCACTCTGAGGTAGATGAAGGAGGGGACACAGTGTGTATTAGTCGGTGTGTGTGTGAGTGTGTAGGTAAGAGTACTGAGTGCAGTGGCCAAGATGATTGACTCGTCTCACGTCTACTCCTGTAAGTCCTACCTTGTTTAACTTTAAAACTGTTGTGACATGGACCACTTACACCCTGAGACTTCGCAAAACAACTTTGGCTGTTTGTTTGTCCCTACACCTGCTGTATTGTGTAGTACGGATCCAGTTTTCAGGTCTTACCGGTGCAGGTGAAACACTTGACGTGAAAATGGGTTTCTTGGACTCTGACCACCTCTCCTTTGCATACTTCTCGACATCGCTGGCACCGGATTGGTCCAGAGCCTCGTTCACCACTTGACGAGCCTTGGTGATGAGCTGCAAGAAACAAACAAAACAAATTAGTATAGTATTTGTATGTTCAACTCGACCTTTTCAAGCTAAAGTCTATAATGCTAGAGTTCAAACAACCAGTTAAGGCTAAAATTAGGCACTAATCGGTATTATCTATTGAGTTAGATTGTTAATGTTGCAGGATAGAAAATTTAACATTTGGCACACTGCTACGAAAACAGCTTCAGCTAGGATAACCAGAGCACAAACCAAATTAATCAATACAGGCCATCAGGCCAATTTCATTGTGATGTCACAGTATTGACGGCAGGCGGACACACATGGAGGCGGACACATGTTCCCACCATAGGGCAGTGGCGAAAAAGGGGGCTCAAAATGTTATCTTCTTGTTTTGTTTGGTACCAGAAATGAATAAAATATGTGATATCTCAAATGTGATATTCTACCTCTACCAGCTGACACTGTTCATAAACAAGGATGAAGATGACTTTTATTGCAATAAGATAAACGGATGACAAAAATGCTTGCAAGTAAAGTGAAATCTAAGAAAGTACACATTTACAGTTGTGTGGATGACATTATGTTTGTTCAAAGTTATTATCACCATCGAATCAAAAATTAGGGAGGCATTGGGAGAAATATGGGATTTCTCTGTAGCATCTTTGGCACATGGACTGTAAGAGTTAGCTTCCTTACTACAGTCGTAGTAGTAGTAACCATAAGCATTGAGTCATCTCATAATTTCTGCACCCATAGCTTGTCTTTACACACTTGGTTTTTACTTACAGGTGTGTGTAAATGTTTGGCCATTACCCTTTGGCAGTGCTGTCCAATTATCCATTCAATGAGCTCACTGTTTGGCCAGTGTGCTTGTCTGTCAAGGTTAACATGTTAAAGTAGCACTCTCAGCTCCAGACACTAAATGACCTCGCCATTGTCAAAAACAGCATGCTAGGTAGAGCTGGTTGATGTTTCTACAGTACTGTTTAGCCTCCGGCTAAGACCTGCCCACCAAAAGATATCACACTGTTTTCTTACACTAGAGGTCTATTGGTTTATTCATGTAGCCTGAAACCTAAGATATGAAGCTATTCTAAAGTTAGCTGTTATTGAACCGATAGATTGGACCCCTACAAACAAAACCACTAGGATCTCTGAGCACAGCACACGTCTCTTCTGCTTTGCTGACATTAAGTAATTGTTTCATTTTAAAATCATAACAATTTTCAGCATGGTGCTTAACAAAACTGCTTTGTGCTATTGAATAGTTTCTCAAATGTTTGCAGCTATCAATCACCAGATCTGGGTCTCAGACTGCACCCTCAGCTGTACTGTGTGCAGTTCACACAATAAGATCAGTGTGTAGTACTGTCAGCACTTGTTCTGAAGCTGTGAGGTCTGACACCTATGTAAGCTGGGTGAGCTCCAGGCTTCCTCTCCCACTGTCTCAACTTTTCACACACTCACACGAGCTGACAAACGCGATTAATACGCACATACACACTTTGCCGCATCAGGTTAGAAAGTGGAAATATCCCCTTACCTCATTTTGTATACGCTGATATGTCAAACTCCTAAAGGCTGAGAGCTATTTCCCAGAGTCAGGAAAGCAAGTGCTCACATACAGCTTTAAAGTTAGTGGCACTCATGTATCACAACTTGTATAGGTCAAAGTTATTATGAATTAATTAGATCCGAAGAAGTTGGGAAAATTATTTCTTACAAGACATCTCAGGCTCCTCAGAGATCCAGATTCACAAGCAGAGAAAACCGCCCCCTCAGTCAAAAGCCTGAATCAGAACAGCTGGGTTCACTGTCTGTCATTTTGCTCCATCTTCCTTAAGGAGCATCTGAGTGGCCCTACACTCCAGAGGGTATAATAGGGGGCTAACCAGCTGGACTCCTTGCCTACCTGAATAGCTCACTGAAGTACTTTCCTGCTTCACTCAGAGCATATGGACTGGCGTGACAAACCCACTGATTCCATTTCACTGGATGAATCCCAAACGACTCGCAGCACTTAAAAAGTCCAACAGAGTTGCACGCTTCATAGCCTGAGCACTGTGTGCATGCTCAAAAGTTAACGACAGTGTATGCATAGTGTATGCTGCAGCAGCAAGTGTGAGGGCATAAATATATATATATATATATGGGTGCAAGAGATAATGTATGCATGACTGTAGTTTATTCCCCTGCTCAAGACAGGAGTGTAGGCAACGGAAATATGCGATCATGATTTATTCTCACTCCCAGTCTCCCACACTCAAGTCTCTGTAAGTTCATTGTTTTATTCACAATGCTGGCAGCACCACTGGGGCCTGCTAACCTGACTGATAAGTACCAAGCTACCGGTTCAAATAATGTCCCTCCCTTGAAAGTAGGTTATTGTACATTTGTGTGACTGCCATGGAAAAGAAAACACGCTTTTATCATTAAACCAAATTAGCAGCAGTGATCCCATCAGGTGAGTTAAAGGCAGTGCATGCAAGCTTGTGCCAGGGCCTACTGGAAAAACATACAGGGTATTTATTTACAGTACAGACTCTCTGGAAATGAGCCAAAACAAATCTCTAGCACACACAGAAGCCTGCCAAAGTGGCGTAAAAGAAAGCTTAATTATACAGGAGTTCATTGTTCAAGGCAGAGGAAAGGTAAAGAACAAAGATTCCTGCTTATTCACAACCGGTTTGTGTTTCTGAACTGGAGCCCAATTAATTGTGAAGATGTGAAGATAAAAAGCTACACCTCAGAAGACAGTCCAGGTGAACCACCATCCTCAGAAGCTGAAGCATGATTACATAACTCCATCAAATTGTGTCAGAGCGTTCATTCTCATCGAACGCAGCCAAGCTGTCCCCATCTAAACCCATTATGGAGCTCTCAAACCGCCCTCCATCCTCTTCCATGCTGAGGGGTTGAGTCATTCCTCTAATGATAGCAGCCAGACTACAGGTGTAATCTACTGACTCCTAACCAGTGGCTATTGCCCCAGGAGAATACAGCCCCCGGCAGACAGGTGATAAGAACAGGGACGGGGTCAGAGAGGCCGTCAGCATCCCTGGGGACTGAGAGGCTGCAAGGCTGCTGCTATTTCTGCCCCTGACCTAACAGCCTCAGGGAGCACCACGCTGGGAGCCCCGTCACAGGGAATGCTGGGAGATCAGTGGTGACAAGTGAGCGGGTTGAGGAGTGAGGCAAGGAATCAAAGAGAAACTTTCAAGAACAATGGCAACTTAAGGTGAATTATGAATGTAAAATGTGTTGTTTTATAACCAGTGTGCTCTTACTAGTTAGAATGAAATGTAGTTTTTGATGTCGTGATCCTACCTTTGTTATTTCAGTTCAAAAACTTCCAATGAGGTTGCAATGTGCACCAACTGTTGGCTTGAGTCTTTTTGAAGGTATTCTTCTGTCACACTTAGCCACTTATATGTTATTTTCTGCTGAAAGGGGCCATGGCATGAAAAACTGACTTTGTTAACGGGAGGGGGGTGCATATCAGGGATAGAAAACCGCTACAATCCCCCCAAGTTCGAAAAAATTCCATCCAGTCGTTTTTTAGTTATCTCCGTATTTAGGAACTGTGTGCTCAAAACCGTTCTGAAAACTCCACTGACATGACGTCATGTCAGTGCTGGCGGGTTGATGGTACTGCCCATGGAGCCGCCCACTGCCCTGCCCAAAAAATTATCAAAACACCGCCATTATTCCAGGCCGCCCTCTCGCATTACTCCGGTTGGAACCATGGCGGAAGTACGATCTGAAAAAGAGGCAGCGTTTGCTCTGTTGTTGGCTGCACAAACGAGCACAAAACTCTTTTGAAAACTCCCTCGTAGGAGGATTTGAGGACTCTATGGGTGGATTTTATTTATAATGGGAATGTACCCGCGGCACTTCCAAAATATCTGTACGTATGTGTGTACCATTTCACTTAGGACTGTTTTATCAACGAGGGACAGTTCAACGCTGGATTTGCTAGATGTCTGAGGATAAAGAATGAATCCGACTAACTATCCGTGATCCTACTACAAACGTGGCATCTGTAAGTGTGAACGTTTTATTTTGACTTACTGTTTAGCCTAAATTCCCCCCGGTGCCTCAGCACGGCCACCACGCTTTGATAAACACACCGGATCCGCGCCGGTTTACCGGATCCTCCCGTATTTTAGCCGCTCGCTTCTTCCCCGACAACTCCGGCGGCGGGGGACAAAATCCCCTTCCGGAGCAGCATGTAGCTTTAGCATTTACCCGTGCGGGGACGCGCCTCTTTTGGCTCAAATACGGGACGTCCCGGCTGGGTCGCTTCATGTCGCGTTTGGTCTGAACGCGGCTGAGAGTTTCTTCCGGAGCCTCTCCCTCTGGGTCAGACTCTTGCTCAAACTGGTAGGGTTGTACGAGCAATCCTCTTGCAGCCATGACCGAGCCAGTGTAAACATTAGCACATGGCTATCGGAGCACAGCCACAGCCCCTTCCAGAGAGATGGGTGTAAAGTGGACGTGGCTTAGGTACAGCTCATTTCATTAAAGAGACATGGCCCAAAACGGAGGATTTTGAGCGGAGCTGTTTTTAGCTGATAAAAAGAGCACTAAAATAATTGATCCAAATCGAATTTTGACCGAAGGACGTCACAGACATGCTTACACACCAGGGGACTATTTTAAGTGTGTGAAATCGGCATGCCATGGGACCTTTAAAGGCACTATAAGTAGTTTTAGCCAGGTGAGAAATGGGTTGGAACTGTTACTGATGCCTTTTCATAATCACCAGAAGCAAACAGGGCCATTAGCATTATGCTAAAAAAATATATATATCCAGTTGCAATTTTTGATGCCTGAAGCAGCTGTGAGGAGGTAGGTTTCAGACCAGTTGATTGACAGCAGGCTGAAGAAACAGCTTTGTTTGACCTTTTCTGTGGCAAATACCCACACTGAGTGACACATTCCATGGTTGAAAGACAACAGGGTGTGGTTTTGGCCTGAAAACACTACTTTCAAATAAGAGATATCAGTTTGTCCACAGGGGGCGCCAAAACCGTCACAGACCTCACAGCAGCTTTAAATGTCCATAACGTCATTTGAACAGTCAAGAGATGAGAAATACTGACACTAGAAAAGCATCAATTACCTGATGAGGGTATGTTACAGGGGTGGGCGATATGGGCTAAAAAAATTATCATGACAAGATTTGCCATTCTAGTGATAATGATAAAAGTCCCGATAAAAAAAATGATAATTACAATCTATATTTTTGACTTATTTTGTCTTGAGAACACCCATTGAAATAGTCAAATAAGATACCTAACCACAAGTTTAAAGTGGTAGGCTATGGAGAAAACTAATGACATCAAACAAGTCTCAAATGTGAAACATTTTCAACATGTGTTAAAAACTCTTATTGCGAAGAGTTAACAGCAGCAGATCCACTGTCCGATGTCAGGTATACCTGATTGCGCTCATCTAAGTGCCAACCATGAAGGAAAAACTCTTGTGGAGCCTCGTTCAGTAACCAGCTGCTCAGAAACTTCTTCATTACCTTCGGCCATGTTTGTTTGTTATTCTGCTCTGTGTGGGCTATGGCTGCGTGTCCGTCGAACTCGCTTACGTCATCAACTTGTATTTATCATGAGATGGCAAATATTTCTCATGGAGGATTTTTCTGACAATATTTGTAAACAATAATTTATCGCCCATCCCTAGTATGTTACAACAAAGAGGTGATGTTACACTTAGTTTTGTTGTAGCCCAGTGATGCTTTGTTATTTAAAGAAGAGTAGAAGTTGAAATTATTACCTGGCTGTATTTGTTACTTGACTGTAGTTGGTCAAAGTCCTATAATCATAGTTCTTAATTACTAAAAATAGAAGCAGAAAAAAGCTCCACATATTTCCTCTTTGCTTGTCACCAGTGAAGCCAAAATGTTAGTTCCTGCTGCCATCCTCACTTGGTAAACATTCACGCAAAAACAGGGTTTGTCACAGGCTGGTCATGACAGTCAGTGAAAGAATGACATGGGAGCAGCCTGAGAAACGACCGAGCCCTCACCATCCCTGATTAGGCAACATGGAGCACATGTCTTGCAACCTGAGCAAGGGCAGTAGATTTGAGAGAGCCACTAAGTAACTTCAATATAAGCAGTGGTGATAAGGGCCACACTGTTCAAAGTTGTGACAATTTTCTTCTTTCACATGTACAAATCCTCAAGATTACCAATCCTCCACATGACCAGCTGTGGAATCAAAGGGACAACTCTACACAATGTACAAATCACTGCTCGTTTACATCATCTTCAGCATATAGACAGTTGATAGCCATTCTCTGAGATATCTGGAACAACTCCTAATGATTTTTTCTAAACTTCTGTTTGAATTTTGTTGAAACTGCAATATATTAAAGAAAAAATGTTGGCGATTGGGTGCAGTCAATTCAGATGCACTCATCCCTTGTTTTTCCTAAATCCATGCTATGCTATAAAAGTTGAGGCCTTCCATATTTACTGTATATTTATGAGTAGTTTAGCCAACGAGCAACAAGAAATACAGAGTCTATAATGATATACAGTAATTGCTGATAAACATTGTTACAGCCAAGCAATCACCTTTTCTTCCAGTAAGCAATCGAATACAGCCAATGATCAGGTGTCCCTCCGCCCCACTCCCTCCCTTTATCACCCTTCGTCTCTGTCAGGACCTTGGCCTGGAGCATCCATCAGAGCAATGACAGTGTCCAGTGGTATCACAAACATACAGCCACTCTAAGCAGGACAGCGGTCAGACTGCTTCTGACACCCTGAATGATCACTCAATCCCACTGGGAGCCAAGGTCGCAGGGACAGAAACCTTGAGGAGGCAACATACAATATAACCAGCATGTGAAGACTTTAACTGAATATATCCTCTTTATTCTGTTTGTTCAGGTAACAGGACAACAAAACCTTGCTGTATTAAGATAAATGACAACTTAATGTTGTTTTATTCCAGGCTATAATATAAATCCAACAAAGGGTTTCATTGGTAATCTGAAAACCAAGTGTAACCAGAGAAGACTGAGCTGCAAATGAATAAGAAAAAAAAAAAACATGCGCCTAATGTTAAATACAGACCAGTTGTACCTGACTGTGTACCCAGCTGAATATTCATGTGTGCATCCTCGGCATCTGTGTTTGCATCTGTGCATCTCTGTCTCCCACCTTTGTTCTCTGTGTTATTGAACTAAAGCGTCTGGCAGCAGGAGTGATAAATTGTATTTGGCTCTGGTTTAGACTGCTCACCAGATGAGACAGAAGAGCAGGAATCATATATGATACAGCCCCCCGCCCCATGTACACACTGTCAGACCCTCCCCTCTATAGAGAAGGAAAAAAAATGTAATTGAAGCTGGTAGTGTATAGTGCAGTTTTACAGCTACAGCTAAGCAATTTCACCCCACATGAAGAAAAGTGTCTGTCAAGAAGGTCATTGTATCCAGTTATAGCCAGTATTCACAAAAATGCTTAATTCCACTTTTCATATATATTTATGGTCCCCAGAGGATGATTCATGTGATGATCATTATATTTACACCTTTAGCACAGAGTGGCCTTTTAAACAATCATGAAAGTTAAGCATCAGAAATTTCCAATCAGCTACAGATGCCAAGGCTCACAGGGATGCAGACTAAGTCTACTGTAAAGCAAATCACTTTACTTTTAAAAGGCTAACCCCCTGACAAAGACCAACAGGCTGAACCGCAGTGATCCAATAAAAATCCTAATGGCATTAAGTAAGTGTGCAAGATTAACCTCTTTTTGGATGTGAGTATAACTCCCCACTGTTTTGATAAGTATTTGTCAGCCCGACTTGTAAAGGTCCATCATGCAGACAGCAGAGCAGCAGTAAAAAGAAGCTGCAACTATACACAGAGTAAAACTTTGGCAAAGTTCTTCTAAATTATGAAACTGTTTTTGGTTCAAATGTTTATCTCTGAAATTCATAGTTAAATTGCTCATAATTGGCACTTGGTATTGTTTCCTTTTTATGTTATAAAGGAAAATCTCAGCAGGCCTACAAGTCTGAACTGTCATTTAATTGCTTTATATTGGACTATGTGTGAGAGTTCAGTAAGATCCTCATAAAAGAAAATACCTTTTATGTGTTGTGTGTGTTTCCCTTATTTTATAAGGCTTCAAGACTAACAACTTTCCCTTGAACTACTTTTTTGTGCAATCGATGTTAATTGAGGAACCTTTGATTTGTCTCAATTCTAGTGCTCCCTGTGGACAAAGCAGTTCTTCCTGGCTTTGTCCTAATCATTCTTAAGTAGTGTCTTTGCCAAAAAAAAAATCTCATCCTGCTGACTTCTGACAGTCAAACATATTATTTGTTCAAATTTTATGCTGCACTGTAAAAAAAATAGGTCTGTTTCTTGATGTGCTCTGTGACGGTCATCTTCAAGTTAAGTCATAAAAGGTCTGAAAGGTCTTTGTTAAGTCTCCTCTGGGTGAAATGAATACCTGTGTCAATTTCATGCCATTTTCAACCAGCTGTTGTTGCTATTTTGTAGCCAAGGCCAAACTAAATTTCTGCCTCATCTTTCATTGATCAAAAAGACAGGAAAGACTTTTGTTTGTGACAAACTGTATATTTTAGTAACTCGTGTTGTGCACTCATCCAGCATTCGACCCAGAAGTTCTACTCAAAATTTGCACTAGATCCAGGACGCCTTCTTAAATTTAAGCCACTCAAAGGATGCATTTTGTCTGATCCTTGAGAACTCTGCTACAGAGAGAGAGAAAGAGGGGAGATGGGGAGAGGTGTCAGTGCTGCCTGTGATGTATGGCTCTGCAGATCCCTCAGGTCCCTGAGCTCAATGATCAGTATATTGATCAACATGTGTTTTATCACTCCCTGGAAACACACAGACTCTGAACACTCCATCCCAGAGACTGCCTGATATTTCTGTTAGGAGCAAATTTGATCAACTCCTTTGCTGAGCTCAAAAACCTTCTTATTTCTTTGTACTTCGAAGAGAATGTGAGAGGAATCAAGGTCCTCTCCACCAGCATCTAACCTGCTACACCCACAGTCCTGACTCGTCCGCCAGCCAGGCAGAAAATAGGAGTCTGCCCGCACACACACAGTCACACAAAGTTATACACACACACACAAAACCCAGTGACCATGAGAGATATAAGGCCCAGAAGATGAAGACAGACAGTCAGAGCTGTGTGTAATTACTCCGTGTGTGTCGATGGCCTCTGGGCTATCACACCCAATGCAGCGGAAAACAGCGTGCACACAGCCCAGTCTAACAGGCCCATTCATGTCCGAAAACCTTGAGAGTGCCGAGAGAGGAGAGGAGCATATGTTTGACTGACTGGAGGGATGAGAGGAGAGAAGAGAAGAAAAGGAGGAGGAGAGGAAAGGAGATGTTCTTTCCTCAGCTCTGAAGCCTGCTGTGTTTTTGTGCCTAAAGCTAGACAACTGACACATGTCACACCACCATCTGTCTGCCGTGACACACAAATACACACACACAGGTTCTTCCAACACGGAAACCACAAGTTGACATGTTGTTGATGATGTGTGTGTGTCTGCACCGCTCACTCCAGTTTGGCCACATGCTTTATATTATTACAAAAGGGTTGTGACAGCTCTCTGCATGCTGGCCTCACACGTGCTCCTCCCCCTCCCTGTCAGCTGAGAAAGGGCATTTTAAAGCTTAACAAAAGAATTCTACTAATTTCTCTGTACAGTGAGGAGGAGCTGTGACACCACTCCTCCTGACACGCACAACACAACACAACACGTCATCACAGTATAAGAACTGGCATTCAAGGCACAGGCTCGGTAACACAGGGTTAAGAGCAGTGGATGAATAATGTAGTGCCACACAATGACAGGCAGGATTATGAATGATGCAGTAATACCCGGGTACTCCTCCTGTAGACACGGAGGACAGGGGAGGAAGCACATGACACCTTCAGTTCACCGAGGACTTGGTGCATGTCAACTTCAACAGGCCTCTCTGACAGCTAAAGGGGAAGAGGGGAGTTTTCTTTTAAAAGTCGTCTGCGTTGTGAACCAACCAGTCCTAACTTGTAAACAAAGCTGTGGCATGCACATGCTCACACGCACAGCTGACCCGCAATCCCCAAAGGAAAAAGCTCTGATTCAGCTGACAGAGGATCAGGGTCACAGTCAGCTGAGACAAGGTCAGCTTAGCATCATAGCAGCCTCTGGGCCCTGAGTCTACTGTACACATGGCACTAACCCTCAGGCTGTCAGACTTTCTCCTCATGATGCTGCAGACAGAGAGCATTGAACCAAACTCCATGAGACCAGCCTGGCGGTCAGGGTACACAACCTCTGAAACCTGTAGGGGTTTCCTGGCATAAGAAGACAGGTGGAGTTTTATGCAGGGGGGGCGGGCAACAGCTGCAAGCTTGGGTGGTCTACCAAGAGCAAAAGAAGTAGTCGTGGATGTGTTGGAGTTGTGAGGATAAAGAAGAAGAGAAGATGAAAGAAAAGGAGAAGAAGACAGGAGAGAAGAAGACTTGTGAAGTGGATGAGCAACAGCTGGTATGTGAATGAAGAATGAGGAAAATGCTCCTGAAAGGATGAACTCAGGGCAAATGCTTCCTTGACCTCTACATACAGTATAATTAGCTCACCCATCCTCTTTAAACATGCTTTAGCCTATTCTTAGAGCTGGGAGACAACTGTTTACAAACTATCTTTCTGATTATATTACGACTGCATTTACATGAAAGCTGTTTAATTAAGATATAAACTTATATTTTTTTATTTATTTCAGCCTTATTTAGTGGGCACTTCTCCTAGTCTTTTTCACCAGATAGGGGCTTATTAAGGTTGGATGGTAGTTCAGTTTTTCCCTCTGCTCCTCTCACCTATAGGTATTGTCCTCGTGTGTCAAGTGCAGAGATAAAGCGCTCAAGAAAGGACTTACCACTGGAACTCATGATGCCCAATGTGCTCTTATCTACAACAAAGCGTCCTCGTCGAAAATAATCCCATAAATCTTCACACGGAACACTTTACTCCATCCAAATGGTGTCATTAAAAATGAATATCCAGAGAGAAAATTAAAAAAAAAAGGATGCTCCTCACTCTCCGCAACGCTGCTCCCAGTCAAATATATAACAAGGTGGAGAGAGCCAGGACTAGAGATATACAAAACAGAAGAAAATTAAAGCGAGGGTAAATCCAGTGATAATAAATTCCAAATAAAGCTCAGGTTGTTGTTGTTAGGTGTGAATGTCGGTGGTGTTCTTTCACTCTCAGAGATAAACAGGCGTCAGTCACAACACAATGCTGCTCAGTCGGATGCCACCTTCACATTTTCGCTCCTAGCTGATTCCAGCTCCATCGCGCTCTCCCTGCTCGTGTGCTGCTGCTGTCAACGCGCGCCTCTCAAACGCAGTCAAGACAGCAACAGCACGCCTGTTCCGGTTTATTCCTTTCATAATAAAACAAATGTCAAGTCATTTTCTTTCAGAGGGACTTCAAGGCTTGCATTTGCACCTTTTAAATGTCACAAACAGATAATTGTCTATATCTAAAATTGATTCCAAGGGCTACTTGCATTTAGTTACAAAAATATTAACCCCCTCAAGAAAATCCGAGTGATTAGGAAAGGGTTGAAGAGGGTAGTGTGTGGTGAGCAAGAGTGTGCGAGGTAGGAAATGCCTCACATGGTCACTAATCAAAGGGTTTAACATTTTTCACATTTCATGACTCAAATAAGTCCAAACCAGCAGCCTTGTGGTGTTCAGACCTGATATGGTGGATGGCATGTTGAGACACTCTCAGCCCCTCAATGTCAACATGTTGCTGTATTTGTGTTACTAATTTGTGGTAATATGTTTATCCATGTTAGTGTATTAAAATTATCATAATCCACTGCTTTAACTGGTCTTTAAAGAGTCCTTCAGAGCCCAAAACAAAAGCCTTTCAACAGTTTGATTTGAAAGAGTATGTGACAGGCAAGTAATATAAAATAAAGAGTTTGCACTCTATTGTAGATATTGCCTCCATACTACATCTGCATTGATATAGATACTTAATACCAGATTAATCTTTTGAATTTTCAACTGTAGCTCACTGTAGCTGCCATAAATGTGTCCAAAAGTATGGAAGTAAGTATGTGCCATCTGAATTTGAATTTGAATTTCTAAAGCTGAATTTTTTTTGCATCAAAATCAGACTTTGAATTTCAGAACTATTGAATTTCAAGCACCCATTTTTATTTCTGACACTTATTTTTTCACAATGATGAAATAAATTCAGTGTAAAAAAAATCAGTCTCTCAAAAGATGTGTTTAGTAAAAAATCAAATAAAAAAACTGTAAATAAAAGAAAAATTCAATGTCAAAAAATTCACCTTAAAAACAAAATTGTGTAAAACAGACCAACTCAGCATACGGGTAATCAGTGAGAAGCAATCAATTCCTCATTCTTCCACTGGGGTTGGTGGCACATGACTAATCTAGCATTATTTGATGGCTGGACGATAGATGATTGAGCCAGGAATCGATTGCTTCTCCCTGGTTACCCGGATGTTGAGTCGGTCTGTTTTACACAACTTTTTTTTATGTTGAAATTTTTTTTGACAGTTTTTTTTTAAGTTAAATATTTACTAAACAAATCTTTTGAGATACTGATTTTTTTACACTGAATTTATTTCATCATTGCAAAAAAAAAAAAAAGTGTCAGAAATAAAAATACGTGCTTGAAATTCGATCGTTTTGAAACTCAAAGTCTGATTTTGATGCAAAAAAAATCAGCTTTAGAATTTCAAATTCAGAATCAGATGGCACTGATTTACTTCCATATAAAAGAGCCAGCGATTTTGAGGCAAACAAATAAAAATGAGCATGGGTCTTATTTTGAAAGTACGATCGTGTCGGTTCCGATATTACTTTGCTTGTATATTGTTAACTTGACTGCTCTCTCCTTTTATTCTGAGTTAATAGACGTCACTCTGAGCTGCTGCGAGCGCTCAGGGGACTCAGTAGCCTACATCACTCTGCGAGAAGAAGTCAGTGTGTTAAAGTCATTTGTCTTTGTCTGGATTCATTTTTCACGCGAGATTAGGGCTGAGATTTAAGTAAATAATGCCTGAGGAGTTTTATAAATATATACGTTTTTTTTTTTAATATCAATCACAAAATAGTCAGGAAAAATCTTTTTTAAGAGAACCCAAACATATCAGCTTGAAGTAAACAGATTTTAGAGTCTCCTGAGAGGATTTCTGACTTGTGTGACTTGTAGGTTGTAGAGTCAGGCTGGGCTTGTTGCTAAAACTGTCATGACACCGCCCTCTTCTGGAAAATCGACGTAAGCAAATTAGTTAATTGGATTATTTACGGTGGAGCTGGTGTTCAGGACGAGGGGTTAATTGTGAAACTGCTGACAGAGATACACCGCTGTGTGTTGTAGCAGGGACAATGTAATTGCCTTAACTGGAGTGTAAAGTAATGCAGTAAGACATAGCAGCTCATTCACTCTCCTGTACCCTGAGTCTTAGTAAGATTAAGAGCTGGTATTTACTCTCACGCAGCGGTCACTAAAGTGAGCCCTATCAGTGTGGAAAGATCTCCATCTAACGGTGAAACTCCCAAAGCTGTCTCATAGTTGGTCAGGAGAAATCACCTTTAAGAGCAAGTGAGGTTGGTAAACTTCAACAAAAGTTAATGACATAACAATTTTTAAAAGAATCAAAATTACAGCAAGGTACAAACTATTATAATATATAAAAGTTACGTTTCCCAAAGGCAATTCAAAGTTTTGTTATTTTATTAGAAATACAAAACCCAATTCCATTGAAGTTGGGAAATTGTGATAAACCTAAATAAAAAGAGAATACAATGATTTCCAAATCCTTTTCAACCTATATTCAATTGAATACACTACAAAGACAACATATCTAATGTTCAAACTCATAAACTTCATATGTATATATATATATATATATATATATATATATATATATAGCAAATAATAATTAACTGACTGCAGGCAGGCCAGTCGAGTACCCGCACTCTTTTACTACGAAACTACGCTGTTGTAACATGTGCAGAATGTGGCTTGGCATTGTCTTGCTGAAATAAGCAGAGGCGTCCATGAAAAAGACGTTGCTTGGATGGCAGCATATGTTGCTCCAAAACCTATTTTACCTTTGAATTGCATTTTCTTTTGTATGGACAGTGCCATATCAGTAAAGTTGAATTGAATTGAATTGAATTAATGTTGCCTTCACAGATGTGTAAGTTACCCACGCTTTGGGCACTAATGCACCCTCATACCAACACAGATGCTGGCTTTTGAACTTTGTGTGGATAACAGTCTGGATGGTTCTGTTCCTCTTTGGCCCAGAGGACACGACGTTCCACTATTTACAAAAACAATTTGAAATGTGGTCTCATCAGACCACAGAACACTTTTGCACTTTGCATCAGTCCATCTTCGATGAGCTCGGGCCTAGAGAAGCAGGCAGCGTTTCTGGATGTTGTTGATAAATGGTTTTCGCTTTGCATAGTAGAGTTTTAACTTGCACTTACAGATGTAGTGACGAACTGTATTTGCTGACAGTGGTTTTCTGAAGTGTTCCTGAGCCCATGTGGTGATATCCTATACACATTGATGTTGGTTTTTGATACAGTACTGCCTGAGGGATCGAAGGTCACGGCCATTCAGTGTTTGTTTCCACTTCTGTGCAGTGATTTCTCCAGATTCTCCGAACCTTTTCATGATATTATGGACCATATATGTTGAAATCCCTAAATTCCTCACAGTACCCACCTGTTCCCAATCAGCCTGCTCACCTGTGGGATGTTCCAAATAGGTGTTTGATGAGCATTCCTCAAATTTCTCAGTATTTTTTGCCACCTTTCCCAACTTCTTTGTCACGTGTTGCTGCCATTAAATTCTAAAGATAATGATTATTTGCAAAAAACAATAATTTTTATAAGTTTGAACATTAAATATGTTGTCTTTGTAGTGTATTCAATTGAATATAGGTTGAAAAGGATTTGCAAATCATTGTATTCCACTTTCATTTACAATTTAAACATCTTCCCAACTTCACTGGAATTGGGTTTTGTACATTTTGAGTCTTGGTCCAGAATAAGCTAATTAAGATATTTTGGTTATGCCCGACTAGTTGCACTACCTGAGTATGGTGGCACTGTTTTTATTAAGCAGTCAGAGTATGGGTCATATTTTCATTAAGGTAACAAGGTAATAACTCACCTTGTCCTGAGGAAGCCCTGGTTCTGAAGCTGGAGGAAGCTGGACAATAGTGGGATGTGAGAGGCGCCACATATTCTCTCTATTTCTCCCTCTCTGCTTCTCTGTACAGTCTGAACTCTTTGGCTTTAAAGATTATTGGTTGTACAAGATGTTCTGTCTTTGTCCTTTATTCTTTATTCCCTAATATAGTTAGGAACATACTTTGCTTTGAAAGGTTACAGAGAAATTGATTAAAATGACTAAAAGATTAAAAGAGAAAATTCCCTCATCATAGGGTGCCCTGATTATTAAAAGGACAAATGTTCAGTGTCCTGAATTTGAAAACAGACACTGTTCTTTTATAAATATTTGCTATTCAGACACTGTAAGTCACAACAAGGTACTTCTTATGTACATTTAAGATGTTGTTATGATGCAGTTTAAAGCTCCAGTAAGGAACTTTCACTTTGCATTGATTTTGGCGCCTCCTGTGGACAAAGTAGCACCTTTGATCTCTTCGCTGGTCGTATTCTGCACCCGGTTCCCTTTTCTGACAATATCACCCTGTGGTCTTCTTTAATGTTGTGAAAATATTGGGTTTAATGTCTAAATTCTGCTTCATAATTTCATAACAAACGTGATGTAATCCATGAGAGGAGGGGTTCCTGCATCATGTCATTTCAGTCTTCCCTTCACTTTCCAGACGAATGAACCTCTGCTGATCTGTTGTTGACATACACCACCAGGGAATCTCCATGCTGATTGCCTTTCGCGGAGTGAACGATTCACTCAGGTTATAATTTTCCAACTCTCATCAACCAGGAATAAAGCAAATGGAGCAGGTAGCATGTTTAAAGCACCACAAATTTCCATCATTTGCATGTATAAATAGTTCCATTTGCACAAAAAGTTTTGTCAGTCATGTTGCCACATTCAGGTCATTTCTGTCGCCAACAAGAACTTGCCTATTTGCGTCTTTACATTGACTTTGCATGCAATTCACACACAAATGATTTATTACCCATTGGTGTAGACACAACCAAAAAGTCAAATGTTGCCGAGTTGTTGTTTGGTTTTGTTTTTCCCAGTATGATGTAGATTATATTGTCTGACACTTACTCTCCTGGCCTGTGTCTTAGTCTTACTATCCGTGTCTTCATTTGCTGTCATGAGTCATTAAGAGGCAGCAGTATTGCTTTCATTCTGCTGTGTAACCACTAAAAAATCCTTACAGAGGCTGTAAACACAAACCCCACATACCTGGACTGTGATTATAGATGTTTATGACTGTTTGCTTACTGACCTGGCTTAGGTCAAAACTTCATTTGATCTTATCAGGGTGTGTATATATATTAATTATGTTTGTGTGTTAGCTTGGGTGTGACACATGTAGGTGGCCTGAATCATGCCGGCTGCTGATTGTGCAGCTGTGTCAGTCTTGTGTTGTGATTTTGTCCGCCCAGCTGATGGGGCTGAAAAACAGGAAGCTGGCCTTCCCGTACACTGACAGCAGCAGGGCAGGAGGCTGCCTGGGCCAACACGTTTTTGTCACTGCTAAGGCGCCAGTGCCCTGAGATCAACAATACAAGCAGACACCCCTTTTTATGTGTCATTACTGGAATAAACCTGTACACTGATGACTTCATGCTCTTCCTTCCCGTAGAAACAGTTTCCTGAAGCAGACAGAGCGTTACAAAACAACCACACACAGCAGATGTTTTGATTTTCATGAGCTGCTGAACACATGACAGAGACATGATGGAGTTTTTTTTTTTTTTTTTTTTGGTCCTGATCTGTTGCCTCATTGTTCGGCATAATCATCCACACTGTGTTCATCTATCGGAGGTGAAGCTTGCTTTGTTTGTCAATCACACGTAGGCCACGTGCCCACTATCTTTGGCAAAGATCAGCAGTGTGCTGCATTCTTCAATAAATCTCACAATCCTTGCCCTTTGTTCAGCCACACACACACACACAGACACACACACACACACACACACACACACACACACACACACACACACACACACACACACACACACACACACACACTCTACAACCCAACCTGTAATGCTATGCTGCTTACTCCACCCATTCCTGTCTATTTCTAATTTGTAGCTATTCAATACTGCCACACTCCCTCTCTTTCTCAGTCAAACACACACACTCAGACACACACACATACTTTTTCAAACAGAGCAGAATAAATGGTGTGTGTCCTGCAGCCTTGCACAGCCGATTGCATGATCACATGTGCAGCAGAGGGCTGATATTCTGCGTTCAGGGTGACTTTGTCATGGTACTGGCGGCTAGGGATACACAATCAGTAGAGGAGTTTATATTTAACTAAGCAGGGAAGAAGAAAAAAACACACAGGAAACCAAAGCAACACATGCCAGGGATAATTAGTTTACCTCAGATAAGAAAGGACATGACCCATAAAATAAAAATGTGATAGTAAGAAGGAGGTCACTGTAGTTTCTCCTGTTTTTGATATAGTATAAGTGGGGAAATTCTTCACATTTTCAGCTCACCTTATGGAATGCAGGCTGTGTGAGTTTATGGGCAGGGCTTTGAAGCTCTAAGCCTCAGGAATGAAGACAAGTGATTTTTAGGTATGGGCTAAACAATTGTTCAAACCAGCTGATCATTTAATCTTCTGTCATCTCCTGGCAGTGGGTGCAGTCAAACCAGACTGGTGTGACTGGTGTTTTAGAACAAGGAAACAGGTTTACGACGTGCAAAGGTGCCCTCAAATATTCAGTGTTAATAGCTTTCAAAAGAGAGATTACACTGTACTTATAACTTGACCTCTTTCAATGGTTCAACCCTTTTAAAGGTTCAAAGTTGTCACAGAAAATCTGAGCATGTGTAGGGTAAAAAAAAAAAGAGAGGGGAAGGGGTAGGCTGTGCTCTTGTCCAAAAGAAATGATGGGAGGAGTTAAGAGCAGCAAAAACTTCCTCAGTCAGTGACATGCTGTCTGGGAAAGCCTCTGTAGCACTCAGAGGAGCACACACTCACTCACTGACACACTTTCTTTTGCTGTTTTTCTTCCTCTGTGCTTTTGGGCTGACACGGGGAGAATGACGGCATTTTCAGCAGCTGTCATGAGATGCAGCACACTGGTTAAACGGTGAAAGCTCACACAGCATACACAGAGAGATACATATGTTGATACACATTCTTTCACGCACATGAGGAATGAATTGAAAAGAGAGAGCTGGAAGCAACACAGAGGTAAGACTTGTTTTTTTCTACTCTTAGAAATACAGCTTACTGCTCTAAAGTCATCTGTTTATAAGATTACACACTGCTGTACTTTGTTCTGAGGTGTACAACCATGTAGTTGTGGTCAGCCCACATAATATAAGATACATAGTGGAGCTTTACAGAGACAGCTACTGCAATGAAGTGATTTCAGTTCCTCCTTTTGCTCTCTCTTGGTGTGATAGTGTATCTATAAGTAAAACTAATCTATCCATGACAACCTCAAGTTTTCTCATGTCCCTTTTCATATTGAGTTAATGTTTGTTGGATCATGAGAATAAACTATCTGTCCACAAAGTCAGGCAACTTTATGCTTATACTTACTCAGTGTTTGTTTCAGTGCTGTAGAAATGCTGCAATGTACCACCACAGTGGGAATCTCCCTGCAGGGATCTCTATCCCAGACACACAGGCATGAGAGTTAGCTAACAGGGGGTTATGCTAAACTTAGAGTCCAAACCCCTGTCTCATATTACTCTCACACTGCTAACTCTTGTACCACATTTTCCAAATCTACAAACCAACACTGTATACACACAATCACAATCAAAAAACACCCTAAACAACCCCTGCTTGTCACACACTTGAGCATACCCAGACTCTGCTGACACCATATGTTTCTCATTAGGCTGAATGCTATTGTCATGGACCGCTGAGTGTCACAATTGCAGTTCAGGCTTTTGCTGTGGTTTAAGACTGTGTGGGGAGTAAATGGTCATTTATGGTATGTGGTCACCGGGCATATCTATCCCTGTCATTATAGGCCAAGCGAAATGTGTTAGCGGCTTAACTTGTCTTTAATCATATACATAATTATGAGACTTCAGTGACGCCGCCTGGCTGCAGTGTGTGGTCTTGGGACTTATCAGGAAATGAATCAACAAGTGTTCAATAAAGACGACATATATGCTCAGTTTTTTAGAGATGTTCCCTTTTCTAATGTGTTGGAGAGGATGCCCTTGGAGACAACTGCTTCTCTTCATGGAGCTTTTAGAGCAAACAAAGGTCCAGTATGTGACTGCACATATCAGCCTTGAGCAGCCTGTGTTTATTAGATTAAATAGAATCTGTTGCACTATGAGAAACAAGCAGAGGAGTCCAAAGAGTATCAGGATATGCCCTGACACGCCTTTGGTCTGTTTACAGCCTCATGCCTCATAAGATACCCATGCAGAGATCCAATAGTGACCATTCAGCTGACACATAAACAAGATGAAGAGATGGGTGTTATACAAGGATATCAGATGCTTTGCCTCCAAGCAGTGGAACGAAAGAGTAAGAAAGACTATGCATTTGTTTTCCTCAGTTTGTCACATCAAATTGGTTCGCTTGCTTTAATCCCATACTGGTCATAAAACAGCGGTCTATTTTAAACTGTGGGTTAAAAGTAGCTACTTTGAAAGAGTTTTGTGAGTTTTCCAAAAGTTAGTCTGAGCATAAACAGTAAAGTGAATCTCTTTGAAGGCATCTTGTTTAATAATAGAAACATTCGGAGAACTCGGGTTGTGGAGTTTAAAAGATTTAGAAATTTGCTGCGCATAGGCGTCTAATAAAAGCTGCTGTCGAGAAGCATCATGGGAAATGTGTCCAGCGTTTTGGAGATGCATCTCCCAGTAGATATGCTAGTCTCTTTATAATGTGTTTTGCTGGATGCTTTTCCAAACTTCTTTCCTTCAAAAAGAAAAAGCTGAACAGAGGTGCAATATAAAATCCCCACACTAACCCTCTGAATGGCTTTGCAGATCTTACATCATCCCCCAAAACAGGAAAACAAGGCCTCCCCAGGTGGTTGTGAGAGCTGTACAGTATTTCCTTGCTCTTTCAGTCCTATTCCTTCTCAAATCATCAAAACTCAGAATTCAGAATTCAGAGTGAAAAGGCAGTGGGACATTTTTACTTTTTTATAAAGCCTTGGTTGCAGGAAATACCATGTAATCATGGAAGGAAATTTGATTAATTAGTCTGTATGATCTTTATGAGGATCAAACACTGTTGCAAAAATAACATTTAGTTACAGTGAAGCTACTGTTTTAGAGGTATGTACTTTATTTCAACTTAAAACATTACAATGTTGGAAAATGTAAGAAGAAATGTGTTCTTTTAGATCTTTAAGTCTTGCACCTTTAGTTAGAGATTCTGCCAAATCTTTTATCCTACTACTATATACTTTCTCGTTATAATCTCAGATATTGCCAGGCTTGGTTGACATAGTTTCCACAAATTAATTTTTATTTATTGGAGATTTTTTTCTTCTTCAACTCAGATTGCACCCAATACTTTTTCACCAGCATTAGATTCTAAGTTATATTTATGTGGGCTACGTCAGTCAACTAAATTGGGGGGAACACACTAAAAACATTGTTAAGTTTAAGCACCAGCAGGGAACCTTGTAACATTATGAAGGAACAGGTGTTACAAAGATGATCAGTTTAGACCAGTTACTATCAAAATACTTACATGAATTTTGCTTTTGGTCATCTACAGAAATAACTTCCTTTAAAAAGTCATAACAGCATTAATATTGAACATTAGCTCTTATCTACAGGGGCGTGTTAAAGCTTTTTGTTGAGGGTGGCCCTGAGTAAAGCTGGTTGCAGTTGGGGGGCTCCAGAATGTCTGTGAACTCCTGGAAAAAAAAAAAAAAAATCATAAACTTTTTTTTCTGTAAATATAACTTAAACAAATTACATTACAATATCACATAGATGTGGTATTTATGTGTGTATCTTTTAACAGGGCAGTACTGCATAAATCTCAGATTTATTTATTCATTTGTTTATAAAAAAAAGTAGCTACCTGTCATAATTTATTTATGAATGGTATGGACGGGTTTCTTGTATACAAACAATACTACGTGCTCACGCAACCAGGGGGCAAAAGCCTGCTTCAGAGTGAACAGATATCAATGAAGATGATGTATTGTTTGCAAGTTCTCCCTGACACAATTGCAAAAAAATGTCATTTCATTGAAAAATCGCTTTGTCTTTCATTTAATCAAAATCAGAAAACACTTGCTGATATATCCATGAATTTACTCAATTCACCAGGTTGTGATGTTGTTTTAGATGTTTCTAATATTGGGAGCAGGGTCGTAATGTTTGCCAATTGTTTGTTTTGCCGATTCGTGCAGTTTACAGCACAACAGCTCCTTGTTGTTTTCCTTCTCCGTTGACTCCACTAGTAAAAAATCAAAAAATATCCTGCCCCAACACTGCGTGCGCGCATACCTGCAATGACGTTGCACAGAAACCCGTCTATATTTGCAAGTGACAAATACAATACATTGATATACTGGGAATGACCATAATGATAGTAGAGGCTAATTTGCAACATCTTTCCCTAGAGAATAAAACACTGAGACAGTACGTTAAAAAGAAAGAGGTCAAGGCAAGCAAAGGTTAGCGTAACACAATAGACAGTTTGGCAGTGACACAGCTACAGGAAATCAGACATGAGAGCAAGTTTGTCTCTAAAATAGCCACTACTTGGATGTGTCAGAGTTTTCTCCCTCTTTGTAAATAATATGTTTGAAGGAAGGATATTTTATAGGAGAAAAGTTTACGATCACCACTTAAAGTTTGAGTTTAGATTTCCTTGAGGGAACCTTCCCAAAGGAATAAATAAAGTTGTATTCAATCTAATCTAATCTAAAGCTGCTCTGGTGAATTGGCTGCAGCTGTGCACAAGTGTGAAAGGCTGAGGAAAAAGTCCATGTTAACAGTGTGCATTTGCCACATTCAAACGCAATGACTTGAAGCCTTTTGCAACAAAGCCCCCAAACCTGATTTTAATATAATCAAGTCTCTGAAATGAAAAATAGCAGATTATGGGTCCCCTCTGGCCACACCCCTGCCTATCTCCTCTTTAAAAGTTCTTTTTTATTATCTACACTATCCTGAAACTTTATCTGACTTCCTCACTCTACGCTATCTGATCCTTGATCTGCTCTCCAGGTGACCTCATTTTGTAGGAGGATGTTATCATCGTATGTTTCATGTCATATCATCTGTCCTTTACTCATCTGATGGCAGAGGGCAGAGTTGTTTTGAATTGTGTGTTGTGAATTATGTGATCGTCTCTATGCCACCGGGTAGCTCACCCCCTCCTATTACCCCCCACCCCACTCTTGCCCTGACCTTGCAGCCTGTCCCTGTGTGGCATTGCCTTACAGTGGCTCAGCAAGCCACCCTACACACAGCAACACACACTCACAAAACACACACACATTGTCTCTGTAGCACACATTCTGTGCATATTTTCACACACACATATTACAAGCATACCCTCGCAGAGGCCTGCACCCCCCACACACACCCATAGCAATTGCAGAGAGTGCTTTGTGCATTCACTGACTGACTGGGCAGCTACTGAAGAGAGAGAGGGTGAGTGAGAGAGAGTGAGAAATAAGAGAGGGACAAAGAGAGAGAGAGGATGGTGGGAGGAGGGAGATGGAGACAGCAAGAGACAGAGGGATTAAAAACAGGAGCTGTCCCAGACAGATAGAGAAGAAGAGGACGAGATAAAGCTCATAGAGAGACACGTGAGACACATCCAGTAAACAGTAACTGGTGGAAACAGGGGGAGAGAGGCAGGAAGGAGACTACAGAAATAGGAAGGGAAACAGGGATTGTCCAGCAGAGAGGAAGAGAGTGAGTTGTTGTTAAAGAGGCTGAGGGGGGGAACTGATGGGATGGCATTGATCTCTGGGAGTTGCCGGCTCCTGAGCCAGATGGCGTCTTGTTGCTGCAGACCGCTGCTCAACTCTTGCTGCTGTGGACCCTTCATCAAAGTCTGCCTCTCCTCCTTTACAGGTCTGTCCCAGCCTACTCTATGTGCTTCTACAACTACTACTGCACCGTCTCGAGATGAGTGCTTCATTCAGATAGACAGGAGCATAGGTCTAGGTACAACATGGGTAACACACTTAGCCATGAAGGTAAAAAGGGCATGGTGTGTTTCTGTTCTGTAGCAGCATGACTGTGCTTGTGATGACTCAAGCAGTCCTGTTGGTGCTAACCATGCTCTGTGTTGTAGGATGGAGAAGAAAAGGCTTTTGTCCTCTTCGGCCTAATGTCATATTGCTTTGTGTTTCTAAGTTGTTCCCCTTTTGTGTTGTTGTGAAACGCTTTGCAACAAGATAACACTGTTTTGTTGTGTTGTGGCACTGACAAAGCATGGACATAAAGATGTGTTTTAAACAGAATTGTTTCTTTTTTTTGTTAATGTTTGGTCCTCAGTATCTTTATTGTTCATTTAAAGTGGTGTCTGACTGTCTGTCTGAACACATGTGGCGTTTTGACAGGGAAGCAGAGGAGTCAGGGACAGGGCAGCTGTGTTCGCTCGGAGGCTTTTCTGATGTCAGTGCAGCTGTGTCCCTGCCTGTTGAACATCACTAAAGTCCCCCATACCCCCTCATAACAACCTTACTAACCAATGGCTTGTATTTGGTCATCCGAATGTGAACTGCTGCATCCAACTCCCTATGTGATATTAACCTCCTCCGACATGCAGGAACCGTTTTTAACATTTTGAAAAAATACACTAATTTTGGTTTCCAGTGGAGGTGAGAGGATTGATATCACTTCCAAGTTTGTCTGGTAAGGGCCTGTGTCCACTGGTTGCATTATATGTATACAACAAGTTATAGGCAATATTGCCACTTCTTGCTTTTGATTGGATAGTGATGGTGATGATGACAAATGGCAGTATGTCAAAAAAATTCACTACTTTCACCTAATGGCAGTGTGAGCACAGCGACAAAAAACTGCTGATGCCACGGGTTTTGAACACAGATTTTGTATATATAAAAAGGAAACTACCAGTGTAAAAAAAGTGCTAAAACTTGCATACAACTTTTATAATTAAACTAAATAAAATCTAAAGTAAAAATAATTTTGACCTGTTTGTATTATTATTATTATTATTATTATTATTATTATTATTATTATTATTATTATTATTATTATTATCAATTCATTTATTTTTATTTTTTTAATTATTACTATTATTTTTATCAGGGCTATATTCAAACTCAAAGCTAAAACTTTGTAGAGTCTCAGCTGCCTTAATTTCCATGGAATTACATGTCGATCTGTGAATTTCAGATGTGCTGTTACACTTTTTTTTTTTTTTTTTTTTTGGGGGGGGGGGGGGGGGTCTTATTCATGCTAGCCATTTCTTACATTGTTTGTCAAAAGCTTACCAGCTGCTACGTAGTTCCAACTTCTTTTTGGCACACTTCACAGTATCAATCGTCACATCTAGCTGTTGATAGGGCTCATGTCTTTGGATTGACCTAAATCAAAACTTTTGGAGGACGTTATGCTAAACTTTTTAAGGATTTAAAGGCATTAAGCAAAATAATTGTGTTTTAGGGGTTGGGTGAATTGATTTGTTTCCGTTTTCACAGACATCTCTCCTGCTGAGTTGGATGCTCTTTGGAGGGAACCACCCTACACACTCGGGGGTGAACACTTCTCAGGAAATGACATCATGACCCAAGGTAGACAACCTTAAGCATCTTAAAGCTGAAATCATGTTGTTTTAAAGAGTTGTGTAAGTTTGGAGCTCAGACAGCTTCATGGTGCTTGTTTGCGAACTGTGAGGCTGTAGGGTCACATACAGAGGAAGTGTTTGGGACATCCTCTTTGCACAATGGAACGGACTAGGGGAAGCCCGTCACAACTTTACTGCTTTTATGAATTCATCTCACTTTAGAGCTTTCAGAACTGTTTCCTGTGTGCTATCATAAACTCAATCAGTTTAATTTATTTGAAAATTATGGATTACAATTTGAGGAAATGCATAACTAGTTCTGTCAAATAAAGAAAATGTTATGGAGTGGTATTCAGAATAAACTGCAACAAGCTGTGGATAAATGTTTATGTAGCCTGAGCTTACAGACAGTTTGTTGAGCATATTTTTTTTAGCTGTGAGGGAGCTATAAGAAGTGGATGAGAAGTCAAAACATTTAGCTGAAGATCTGGCGTGTGTATATAAGCTAAACGTTAGTAACAGGGTTGTGTTTTATTTAATTGTTTGAAGTTATGGACTAATTGCCTCAACCTATTTCTAAAATTTGTTGTACTGTTTTGCATCATCACCAAATCCACCAAATTTTGCTTCTCAGTACCAAATATTTGTTAAAGTTATATGTGACCACATTAACCCTCTTGGCCTCTCAGATCTCAAAAACTGCTGATTGTGGTGTGAAAACTAACCATGAGGAAACAGCTTCTAATGATTGTGCACTATGGAGCTGAAACAAACTTCCAGAGGACATTTACTGCATTCACTTTAAATACCTTTGTATTTAGGTTATAAACTTTTATAGTCTACACTGACTATGACTCAACCTCAAATACCCTCCATCAACCCTCATCACTCTTTTCCTCATGTTTTCAACACCATAAACTTTGTCTCTTCCTGTTTTAATTGTATCTTTACACATTTCCCTTTTAATCATCAACTCACAAGGTTATCTGTTTCAAAATATAGATCAGACACATACAGATAAATTACACACGTAGTAATCTATTTAATTAAATCCATCCATTTCAGTGAGGTCAGTGGAGGAGAATTTGAGGCACTCACGCAAAAATGACTTTAACCTAATGTTTTAATTCAAATGTGAAACCTGTGCCACATGACTCCAAACTGTCCCCAGATGTGAATAATTGAATGGTAAAACAGTAATTGCTTTCATCATCTTTGTCATCTGTTAATACTCTCCCAGTTAAATCTCTGTGACCGTCTGGGACTGATTGTCATTGCAGCTCACTTTGAACCAACCTTTGACCATCTTGATTAAATTGTTTCCACATCTATACACCTGCTTTTATCCAAAGGAAACCATAATAAAATACACGCTTAGGAAACACTGGATTAAGTTGTGTAGCTTGAAAGAAAAGTCATGCACAGTTAGGGCTGGGCGATAAACCGAAATTTTACAGATTTACCAACAATAACCAATGTCATTTTACCCATGTCGATATATTCAGTGTCACCCTATCCAGTCCGTAACAAAGAGGGAAAGACAGGTGAGGAGATGGAGGATGGTTCAAAAGTTGTAGGTGGCTGAAGTAGACGAAGTTAATGTGGAAGGGGGTGAGCAGCTTGTGGAGTAGTAATCATCCATTTATCATTATCGAGGTGAACTGCTCAATAAATCGTGATATTGATTTGGGGCCATATGGCCCAGCCCTATGCACAATCTTCTTTTGGTGCGTAGTATCTTAATTCAGCAGCTTTATTTTTTACCTGACTATATGTCTTCTCTCAGGTGCAAGTGAGGAGGAGGATGGTCCTCTGGTGGAGTCAGGTGAGGGAGGGGCGGAGCCTGACAGCTACTGGAAGAAGAAAGAGGCCTTCCTTCGAGGAAGTACCATGACGCTGGGAGAGAAGTTCTCTCCAGGTACATTTGATGATGCTTCACTTTAGTCTAATGCCTGACATTAACAGCTACACTGAAAATCTTGCTCGTGCATTAGCCAGTCTAAACTAGTTTTCTTTTTACCACAGGAGCATTTCTCATGCATAGCATATCCATGCATACTGATGAAGCTTATTCCCTGTCTACTAACGTTTTTACTCACTCAGCAGTTTAGCTCCATCCATCTCGCTCTCCCAGGTTCTTCCTCTCAAATGGATTTAAAAGGCCACACTGAGAGTCCAGTAAGACGCTGTAATAGCTCCGGTGCTCTTCAGGGACTTTGGTTGTGCTCACAGAATGTCTCACTGAAATATGTGCTCTCGTGAAAATCTTTAATGAACTCCTGAAAGTTTTATCTCTTTTACTTGTAAAGAAGAGAGCATTTTATTCCAGTCTTAGTTTTAATTTAGCTGTGTTTTAATCACTGACAACAGACAGAAAAGCTCTGTCAGTTGTGCAAGTGCAAGTTGAATTAGGAAGAGGATTATAATAAATTATTTGTCCGTTTATTCACTTGTAAATTTTGGCACACAATGGATGCCAAGTCTTCACTCCAAGCTAATCTTCCTCTCTAAGCATATTTGCATGGATTAGATTTTAGTCCGTATTGTTACAGTGGAATAAAAACAAAGAAGTTATTCATCACAGCATTCTTCTTGTCTTTTGTGAAGAAATTGTCTTGTTGTTCACCGGACGGAGGCGCTCCAGTGGGGATCCTGACCGCACCTTACAGGAGGCACTGCGCACCCGACTGCGAGTGGTGGAGAGCAACAGCCAGGATGTCATCCAACTCTTTAAAGTGAGTGACAGCCAGACCTGACGGTGCAGACATTACAGGTGCATTAATGCACTACTTTAACCCATCTGAAGAAACTATGAGGTGCATTAAGATGTGAGGGACCGGATAATGCAATGTGACGGTTTATGCTGTGCACTTTATGGCAAAGGAGGGATGTTTTGTGAAACATGTGACTCGTTTGTGTAGGACCTGTCTGCACGTCTGGTGTCAGTTCACGCTGAGAAGGACAGATTTGTGCTCACATTTAAGACAGTGGAGGAGATCTGGAAGTTTTCAACCTACCTAGCCTTAGGTAAGAGACTTCAAACATTTAACAACTTCCTCTCTCAGGTCCCTCATGAACAGGATATTTTTTCTTACAGAGTATGTTTTAACCTTACTGGGTTAAAGTGAGTCAGAAAGAGGTATTGTACTATTGGCACCAATAGTGACAGATGAACTAGAATAAAGAGAAGTCATTGAACAGAATGCTGCTTTTTCTGCTATACAAATGGACTGATTTCCTACATACAAATGTAAGCTTTATAACCAGCCCATATAGTCCATACAGTCCATCTCTTGTAAGGAGACCTTGATTGCTTTAAAGGTGCATATAAATAAAATCTATTTTTTAGTTATTATTATTATTATTATTATTATTATTATTATTATTATTATTATTATTATCATTATTATTATTATTATTAATCATGTAATGTATTATTATCATTATTGTTATTATTATTATTATTATTATTATTATTATTATTATTATTATTATTTATTTTGTAATGTATTATTATTATTATTATTATTATTATTATTTATTTATTTTGTAATGTATTATTATTATTATTATTATTATTATTATTATTATTATTATTATTATTTTGTAATGTATTATTATTATTATTATTATAATTATTATCAATGTAGTCTTATTTTGCTACCCATGCAGTGTGTCTGATACAGCATTTCACGTGCACATGCTCTGTTGCAGGTTATGTCGCTCGCTGTTTGGAAAACTTCCTGTGTGATCAGTCTGTCTGGCTGGACCCGGAGCTGCTCAGTGACCTGGAGATCAACGTGACTGTGGATGAGGAACATCTGGCCACCCTTTACCTTGGCCTATTACTCCAGGAGGGTCAGTGATGTGCCCTGTTTCATTTTGTGGATGTTGAGGAAGGCATATGACCTCATCTTCCAAATCCTCAAATGTTTAAAGAGCTTTTTTTTAACTTCTTAACTCTTGTCACTTTAATGATTGAATGCCAGCCCAGTTGCCATTTGATCTCCTTATTTTTAATCCACTTTCAGCGACCCCAATTAACACCCTGGAAGCCTTAGGAATATGCTGCCAAAAGACTTTGAACAAATCAAAGCAGTGGACTCTTATTTTTATTAGAAGAGTTTTTAATTGTCCTCAGTTTAATGGACTTAAAATTAAAAGTCAGAGGAATGATTTCATGTCTATTCTTGTCTTCAGTTCATTCAATGTAGAAAGTGAAGTAACAAAGTCTTGGATGTTTGTATGCATCATAAGATAATCTGCTAATGTACTCCTTTCCCTAAAGGAATGCATATTGATTTCCTCTAGCTAAAGCCTACACTACTTTCCCAGAGGCAAAAAGCTTCATAGAATTATATAATAGGACTGCAGTGCAGGCAAGCAGTGATGAGAATTACATTAACTTAATAGAGGGAAATATAAAACATCCATCATTTGGCGAAGACTGAATGAGGGCGCACTAGTCATAGCAATTTTGCTGATTTTAGACTTAAGTGTGTTGATTTTTAGCAACACGAAATGCTGACTGAGCCACTCTACATGTCTCCTTATATACTTGTTTGTGGTCTTTACACAGGTGTGCATGTGTGTGAAGAGCTGTGGTGATTGAATATGTTAGATAACCCACATATTTGTTTACAGGATCCTTCTTTGCCAAAGCACTTTTCACAAGGAGTGATCAGGATGAAGATGATGAGGAGCAGCTGTCGTTCAAGAAGAATGACTTACTTATGGTGAGAGACACGGGTCAGGACAACATGTGGGAGGGTACCATGCTCTCTACAGGAAACCACGGCCTGGTGCCAGTCAACGCCATGCAACCGCTGCCTTACCCCTTCTACCAGTGAGTCACAGCGTGTTCCTCAAATGAGCCACTTCTCCTGCACATGCCTCTCATTACCCTGACAACAACAGCTTGATTTATTTGTTCTCTCTCGTGAGAGTGTTTGTCAAAATACAGAGAGAAGCAGTAGAAATGCTGTACATTTATGCATGAGTTCCCGTAGTTTTATTAATTTGACTTCCTGTTTGGTCAGATGGTTCCTGAGGAAGTATCCGGGCAATATGGGCTGCACACCAACAGAAAAGGAACCATTTGAACACCCCTTAGGTAAAGACTTTCTGCATGGGATGCTACGTAACATGAACAAGATTCTGCACAGTGTTGTACTGTTAGCTGCAGACTGAAAAACTAGGGCCCCACTGATATGATGGAAGAGCTTATCTTGGCAGGAGCACACGAGAGATATCATTTAGTGCAAATAGAACAAAAATCTAAAACAAAAACTGTTTCTAATCCTGATCTGCTGTTCTCAGTGACAGGTTCCTGTGTAGCTGTGGTCGACCACAGTCCAGTGGGCCCAGATGAGCTCCAGTTAAGTCAAGGTGATATTGTGGAGATTGAAGGTTTGCTGCTCCGTGGCCTGGGTGTGTATATAGGGACACACACTTCCACTGGTCACACTGGTTTCGTACACAAAGCCCATGTCAAACCTCTGGACACCAAACCCTTGTAAGTAATGATACATCTTTCATTGTTGGTTAATGCAAACTGTGGCTCTAATTTTGACCTCAAAGCTCTCTGTGGGCATCATATCCATGCGTCAGCTCCTGTTTATAGTGCTGTGTTAATCTCATCTGAAATCTGATTTAGTGTTTTCTACAGTCTGGACAGGGTGGATGTGGTGAGGAGGCTGAAGAGACAGCAGACGAGATAATGCTGTCTTTGTTTTGTCCACACAGAGACAGACAATTGGTCTTTTTGACTGAGGAGGAGAGGGCTGGACTGGCCCAGGTCAACCCCTGCAGCTCAGAGCCAAGCGACAGCAGCCTGCTGGAAAGACTCTTCTCGTCTGACATCAGCTCAGTATACAGGCTCGGTAAGTAATGGAACAACCAGGCTGGTATACAGATACTGTACTTTTAAAACTCAAATATAGGTCACGTTTGATTTCATGTGCTGTGCCTTTCCTACAAATTACTGTTGTGTCATTCTTGGAAATACAAACATGTTTCCATCTGTATCTTCAGTTGGAAAATTGAGGCTTTAATTGATTTACCTTGTGTGTTTCCAGACAGACTGGATAACACTGATTTCATGTACATCAGGAATCGGCCAAAACATGGTAATACTCTACAGTTTATTGAATCAGCTGTTTTTGTGCTTCATGTTTAACCTGTTGAGCGAGCTCTCTGCTCAGTCATGAAACACAACAACACAGCTACTGTTCATTTATTTAATCCTTTTCTCAGGGCATAAGGTCTCCACAAGCACCCGTCTGAGCGTCATGTCGGACGCAAGCGGAGGGACACCCCCGTACCAATCCTCCCCTCGCACCTCCGTCTCTCACTCCCATCACCGCCTGTCTATTTATCACTCCCACAATCCTCTGCCACAAGAGGGAGAGCGCCTGTCGTTCACTCTGGACGACACATTCAGGGAACTGGACGAGTTCCAGGAAGACCCACCTCTCTTCTTGGAGGACAGCAGCTGGGAGGGGGAGGACTCAGAACTCAGTGACCCCACGCTGACCCTGCTCAACCAGGAACACTTTCAGGTCAGCAGAGACCAATCTTTGCCTCTGTGTTATCATGTGTCTTTTACATCTAAAAATCTAAATAAAAAAACAAGCATTGGTATAAGATTTAAAAGTTAAAGTAACAACAGGTTATATTAAATCAACCTTTTTACAGACGCTTAAATCTTTTGTTTCATCTTTCCTCCAGGAGGACTTCCTGCCCCTGTACGACCTGCAATACTCCTTTCTGTGGGTGACCTTCAGCGGTAAAACAGAGGATGAGCTATCAGGGCACCTGGAGAGTGTCAGAGAGTGTGCAAAGAGGATGGGGATGCATTGGGCACATCGCCGAGCTTGTTTCCTCTTGGGGAGACTCTGTGCACGGAAGCTGAAGTTCTCTCAGGTTTGTTCCTTATTTCCAGCAGTAAGATAAATGTTTACGAGTTTGGTTAGAGAACAACCAGCTGGAGCTACAGACACAGTTATTTCAAACCTTTTGAAATATTGCAGTGTGATAATTCAACTGAAATAAAACCCATGTGTGTATAAATATTCTTAGCTGTCATTTTGTTGGAATAATAGGACAGAAACAAACTTTTAGGTGTGTGATAATAAAAGTGATGCACACTGTGTTTTCTCCTGTCTTCAGGCACGTGTGTACTATGAGGAAGCCCTCAGTGTTCATGTTGACAGCTTCTCTGATACTCCGCTCCTCATCGCCCTCTACACAAACCTCACTGCCGTCTATCTGAAGCAGCGGATGACGGACAAACTGCCTCAGACTCTGGAGAAAGCCAGCGCCCTGCTTCTCAGCCTCCCCTGCCACACCTTTACCTCTACAGACGAGGTTGAGCTGCTGAAGCTTCTCCTGAGGAGGTCTGTAGTGATGGGGGACAAACACCTGGAGGCTCGTGTCTGCTACCTCGTCTCCAGCCTCTTTCTTCTTCTCAGGAAGACAGACGACGCCCTACCTTTTGTTGAACGGCTTCAGTTTCTCTCCGTGTCTATCTCTGGAGTTGAGGGACCTCCTATTGTTCCCCTGGACCTTAACTGGCTCTTGAGCTGGTTGTATCACCGTAAATACATGCCTTACCTGGCGCTGGCTTCTCTAAGCTTGGACTCAAGACAAGACCACTCCCTTCATGATGCTTTCCAGAGGATTGAGTTGTTTATCAAGAACTCTGTGCGTCTGAATCCATGCTGGAAAGAAGGGACTTCCCTCCTTCCTGCTCAGATTGTGATTTACCTTCAGCAGGCTCTGGCTATAGCTGAGCGAGGGGAGGACTTGAAGACCCAGAGGGATCTGTGTCAGGGCTTGGCTTCAGTTTACCAGCAGTATGATGCTCTGGATAAAGCTGTATGCTGTGCTCAGCAAGCTGTGGAAACTGGAGGCCATATCAATGAAGAGGAAGGCTTTGAGGCCTCTGTGCTACTTGGATGGTTGCTGGTGTTGACAGGTCAAGCAGAGAAAGCTCAGAGTGTCCTACAACCACTGCTCACATCTCTCCAGGTACAGAAAACAAAGCTATTCACCTTAAAAAAAATCATCAACTTGTGAAAAATTCTGTGAAAATAACTGCTCTGTAGTTTGTATTTCACTTCATGTCTATGGTTTTCTCCAGGGCACAGACAGTCCCACACAGCGAGGTGTGATCCACAACCTCTTGGCTCTGTGTCTAAGACAACAGGGTCACATACAGGAGGCAGGTTGGCATCTCCACTGCGCTCTGGTAATCTCCAGGGAGAGTGGAAACCAAAGGAACCAGGCTCTGGCGTTAGCTAATCTGGGCTGCTTGGCTTTGGATGTGGGGGCATCCTTGGTGGCAGAGCGCTTCCTAGTCAGGTAAGATGTTGGTCTTATCCTTTAGATAATCAGGAGCTGCTCATCCATTTAATGGAGAAAGTGTTCATTGTGATGTTTTGGCAATTCACAGATCCCTGCGCCTTTTCCTGGATCTTGGAGACAGCTCTACAGATGAGGAGCATGTTCAAACCTACCTTTGGCTTGGGCGGAGCTACAAAGACAGGGGGAGGAGTCAGGACATCAGGGCGTGTTATGAAATGGGGCTACTGATTGCGCTTCATGCCAGAAACTTACTCAGTGAGTACAAGTTGACACATCTAGAATACTTTGATTTCACCTAGATGTCTTTCAATCAATAAAAGTTGGGTAAAAAATTGGTTTTCAGCCAGTTAGCTTAGTCACTTAGCTCAGTGTAGCCTAGGTGAAAGACTAGAAATTGTGAAAAAATCTAGTACAGTGAAAAAAACCCAACAGCATGCATTAACTGATTTTTAATCCACATAAAAAGTTAGCTAAAGTCAGTCATGGTGTAGAACAGAGTCAGAGCTGGGTATTTCCCATGTTCTCTTAATATAATATGTATCCAGATGGGATATGTATCACAATATGATTTGTGTCATGATACAATAGGTATCACAATATGTGTAAAGATATGTATTAAGATAGGTGTTTCAATACACATTGAAGTTGGATTATTACCAAGGCCCAAACAGGATTTGCAAGCTGTTCTTTATTGTGATGAATATAAGCAAAGGCTAGTGTCACTTAACATTTAAAACATGAAGAAATGTTAGACTGATAATTTAGAACGGGATGAGTATATCTGTTTTATTTTCACATTTGTCAGATAAAGCATAAGAGATAGGATTTGTGCAAAACTGGGAATATCACCTGTTAAGAATATCTCCTCACAGTGCCCCTGGTGGATACATGAAAGAACAATAATTAGAATGGAAACAATCTGAAAATTGTAATAAATGTGCTGCAAACGTATCTTCCTACACTATTTCCTGGCCTGAGTACAGCAAACATCAGCTCTTACTCGGGATACAGTAGCTCTAGTTCAATATCAGAGATGTATCACACAGTGTTTTGTTTCAGGGAGATGTAACGTATCGGGTGAATTTTCTTGCAGGTCAGATGGTGGTAGCCAAGGTGCTGAGTCGACTGTATGCTGACATAATGCTGTATGGCCAGAGTATTGTCTACTACGAGCACTGTGTGTCTGTGTCCAGAGAGCTCAAGGACAAGAGGCTGGAGGGAGAGTATCTGGAAATCCTCAGCAGCCTTTACCTGTCCCTCAACACGGAAAAGTCAGTTTCTTTCTCACCTTCCCGCTCAGTCTTCTTCTACATTATCATGTCAAAACTTCTGTTATTAAAAGACTCACTCTCTCTCAACTCTGTGTCATGGTTTGTAGATCATCTCGTAAATCTCTGGACTATACTAAACAGAGTCTGAGGATCTCTATAGATCTGGGAAAGAGAGAGGAGGAATCAGAAACCTGGCTGCAGGTTGGACGTATCTATTACCTCATACAGGAGGATGAGCTTGCTGACATGTACCTGCAGGTGAGTAGACGCAAAAACACAACTATGTTAAGGTTTGAGGGATAATATGAAGCACTGTAAAATCTCACCTCACTCTTAAAATATCTGTTTACATTAAAAAAAAAGTTAGATTTCACTTTTAAACATATGGATGTACTCTACTGTGATCTGATTGATAGGCAGCAGTGAAGACAGCTCTCAGGATGAATGATCCTCACTTTGCTATGAGCATCTACGAGGAGGCAGGAGACGTCTACTTTAAAGGCCACAGGAACAGAATGGCTTCAGTTCCTTTCTTCAGGGTAAGAACGAAACCATCCAAATACTTTCACCTTGGCTATACTTGGTTTCAAGTACTGATAGATGCAGAGTCAAACTTTGGCCATGGATGATCTTACTTTTACAGAAGATGTTTAACTCAAGATATATGACTAGCTGTGAAAGCAAAATTAGCCATTCAAGCTAACATTTTGTTTGTTTACCCAAGGCCAAGGGCTCATTTATACTCCCCTTATGTGCCAAAGTACATCTGTGAATTTTAGACTGTGTAATTGTCACAGGCCTTATACTTATATATATCTTTTAAGTTGGATTTGGTTAGGCAATACATCCACTAAAGGGCAATCAAAAGTCATAAAAAACAACATAAACAGTGGATGATAGTGGAGAACTTTATCTGCCAAAAAGAGGCATAACTGAAGGCAGTCCCTCTGTACACTGTTGGCCTGTAATCTACCTCGAGTATATCCAAAAGATTTTTTCTGGTTTTGGAGAAACCACAGCGCAGTGTACTTGCTGAGCTAGCAGGCTGCTTACAGGCCAACAGACTTCCTCATTAGTTTTCCATTTGATAGTCTAGTGAGGTAATGGGGTTAGAAAGATTCTTGTATGGGACTCTGGAGGTATCACCAGTTTATTCATGAATTACAGACATTGTGTACAAACGTAAGTGGAGATGAGGAATACCATTTTGTTTATATTTATTTGAAAATACACAGAAATATAAATAAAATGAAGGCAGAGTCCATATCAGTCACATTCACCGACTCTTTAATTTTATTACGAGCTGTTTCTGGATTAGGCTTTCTGAATTGGAAGTTTTGTGTATTACCTACACAGGATTTTTTCAGAACTCTTAAAGACTCCATCATCTTTGATGTTTGTGTCTTTAAACTATAAATTATCCCAAACTAATTTCTGGCGGTGTTAGGGAAACTTTTTATTATCTAATCTTATTCAACTAATTGTGTTTGTCTCCAGGATGGCAGTCTGCCATTTGCACGGAGCATCAAAGACATCCATTCAGAGTTTCGTTTGCTGAGTAAACTTACTGAGTTATTAATGAACCAGGATGAGCAGCAGGAGGCTCTGCAGTACGCCACACTGGCTGTTCAGATTGGCAGCAAAACAGGTATGGAGAATAACCAACGTATGTAGAAGAGTCTGCGCCTTTAAACCGTCAACTTGTTTTTATAATCAAAAGCCTTTAAGAAATACTCATGCAGACTCCATTGTTTTTCTACAGGTGTGCAAGCAAATGAGAGGACGGCCTATCACAGGCTGGCTACAGTCTACTACAGCCTGCAACAGTATGAGATGGCTGAAAACTACTACCTCAAGTCCCTGTCCCTTTGTCCACCTGTCCTGCAGCACCCTATGGAGGCTCGCTACTACACCAAAGTCTACTGCAGACTGGGCAATCTGACTCTACACAAGCTGAAGGTACAGCAGCCAACAGAGTAAATGCTGCATGTTAGTCAAATCAGCACTCTGCTAAACTTTTCACATCTCTAGTACACATAGCTGATGAAAATGAGACCTTCTAATGTGAAGATAATATGTTTAATTCAGATGATACCTGATCTCCCCTCTGCTTTGTGCTCTTTCCAGGATGCTTATGATGCAGTGGGTTACTTCCAGCTGGCCCTCGCAGCGGCTCTGGAGGACGGAGCTAACCCTGAGGCTCTTTACGTGGTGTACATGAAACTGGCTGAGATCCACGGCAACCACATGCCTGACGCTCACATGTGCCAAGTTTACAGAGACAGAGCCCAGAGTCTGAAGAGAGTTCTGGCTGGAGAAGGAGGCGCTGCTGCTGCTGCCACCGCCGCTGCTGCTGCTGTGGGAAAGGAAATCGTGGACGAAGCAAACACAGAGCCAGGCCAAAAAAAGGAAACCGAAAGTTTGGCTGAGAGAAAAAGCGAATGCACTTTTATGTCTGAAAACCCACAACATGAAGAAAACTCATTTCTAGGAGATGCTGATGAGATAGGAGATCAGAAAAGTAATCATAATGACACAGACGGCCACTTTGTGGATGCTTGTGAGACGGAAACCATCGCCAGTCATTCATACAGTGACAGTATTTTTACCGAGTCCTTTGACACTGCCAAGGAGCAGATCTCAGACTCCAGCAGCTCCACTGACACTTTGCAAACTCACCAGGATCATAAAGATGGGAAAAACTCATCCTTTGAAGCTGCGCGTAGTGTGCACAGTCACTTACCTGCTAAACACACAAGTGACATCGCCCAAGAAAACACAGAGTCTGATTTTCAGGATGAACAGATTGATGCTCATGCAGAAAAAGATGCCAGTCTTAAAGACAATCAGCTTGACACTGACCACACAGAGACTGTGAGTGTAGACACTGATAAAACCCTGGACAACACTTGTGATTACACAGAGACAGATAAATCTGGTGACACACAGAGTGAGCACGTGGATTTAGATGATGTCAACACATAATCAAACTCAAAAACCTATAATGTACTTCACTGACATTTCCATAGTCTGGTCACATGTTTGTCGACCAGCAAAGTGTCTCTAACGTTCCAGCCACATGGCACTTAATGTAGGAAAAGATGTTAATACTGAGATTTAGTACATTTAAAGCATGTGCCTTTTGTAAAATAAATACAGAGATTATCACAATGTTTACTGGTTATTGTATTATGCCTGTAATATATGTTTTTTTTTAAGTGTTTTGTATCTCTGGAAGATATAACTTTAAAATAAAGAACGTTGATTATTTTTCCATTGGATTATATTGATTCACTAATGAGGTAATTATGTTTGCATTGAGGAGCAGAACTCCTCATAGAAGCTTTCAAAGTTCAACAATTTTTTTGACATTTAAAGGGAGATGAAGAGTCACTTAAAGAGAAGTTATGCAATTATTGTGACTGGATTCTGACCTGACCACACCTAGCCAAATGGTTGTCCAGATTGTTACCGACCAAAGCTGATATGAATGCTGCTTTTAAAGTGGCATTTGCATAGACTTTATGGCAAAATTCAGTTGAAAGACAATGTTATGAAACAGTATTTGATTAGTTAAAGTATGGAGTGCATGTTATTTATTTGTACAATCATCAGCAAGCTAGGAAAAGATCCTCACCTTCAGACAAACTGAAAGAAAGCATTGTAAGTACCTCTGTGTATGATTGATTCAATCAGTTTATAGTTTATCATCAAAGTGTAACTCCATGACAGATAGTATACATTCATTTATGGTACATGGTTGATCGATATCCTGAGCTTTTACAATAAACAACAGACATTTGGCATAGCTCCACAGAAGAAAAAAAGAAGCAGGTTTGGTTTACTGTGAGTTTTAATTCCTAAGATATGAAGCTGATGATTTGATTTTCTAATTTAGTTCCTTCTCTTCCTCCTCAAACTGAAATTATGTTTCACAAAAGCCCTGTAGGCCATCAAAATGATAAACTGTTGACAGCAAGAGAAACAAGGGTTGACAATAAAGGGAACATCAAACAAGATTCGGTTAGGAATGTTCCCTTGTTGGTAGACATTAGTTCCTTATTATTTGTACAGTCATGTACCAGGAAGAGCTAAAACACAAAGGACGGGAAACCTTTCATAAACTTCTTCTAAAGTGTTCAAGTGGTTTTTGATGTGTCTGTCAAATGTACTGCAACTATGCACCACTAACAGAAAAGTGGCCGAAAATGTTTATATGCTAATGCAGGTCTTAAGGTCGCCACTAGAGGTCGCTATCATGTTGATTTTAAGTTTTGCCCTTGAAGCAAACATGCTGGTGTTGTTCCCCAGAGAAGCCAGAAGAGGGCGGTTAAACGTTGCTCTTTTCTGCAGCTGTGTTTCAGCAGCTGCAGCCGAAACTCTTTTGAAGGTAAGAGAAGAAAAGGAAATGTACAAGAGTCACGTCACTTAGCTGGAGAGTATTTGCCTCTCGGTCACATTTTGGGGCTGAATTTAAAATCTAATGCAGGAATTTTAATGCTAAAATTTTCAATTGAGTCAATGAGAATTAAAGATGCTGATTTTATTCCAAAATGCATACGCTAAAAAGAAACAAGACTTAACAGTACAGCTTAAATTTGATAATTTTTTTGTAAAACAGTATATCTAATATGATCTACCTCTCTTGGAGTTTTTACATTTTAACCTCTGAGCATTTTAAAGGTACTTTGTTGATGTAAAAATGAACAAGACAACAAGTAAGAGAGAGGAGGAGAGGACAGGAGTGGCCAAACAACAACTGCGGAGGATTAGTTTGTTGTGTTGCAACGAGTCAAAGGAAGGAATGTTTGCACATACACACAGTCCGCATGCTGAATGATGTTGTGAGGCGTCTTCCTTCCCCCCACAGGCATGAGTTTAAACACAAGTTCAAAACAGGTCCAAGTGTGCCAAAACAAGCACTGAATTGTTCTTCCTTATTAAGTATTCCCATGGACACTTTGAAATGATCTCACAGGACGTTTGCGCGATAAGTTTATGTTTATCACACCAATGAATTCACATGTGGATTTACAGAAGCTCGTTACAATCAGAAGGATTAAGTTTCACAAGATACAATGATCTTGTGTGACCTAAAAGCTTTCCAAACAAACAGTATGTTAAACCCTGAGTGCATAGGAGGTTAAATTATTTGCCTAAGGAGCGGCTGAAGTAAGATAAACAAGATATAAAAAAATAAAGAGGATTTTTAATCTCACATCTACAGGCGGGAAAGTTCCAAGAATTTGTAATATAAGTTTATGACTGAATTTATGAATAACTTTACGCGAAAAAAAGTCATGCACACTATTTATTTTCCAACAGCAACAGTATTATTGTTGTTCAGAGCATTTGTAGACTTAGATCATTTCCAAATATAGCAATACTTAAAAAATACTCATACTGAGAGCTAATTCTGAGGATCATTTGGGGATATTTAGGAGAGTTTCACCTGTTACATACAGCACGAGACTCAGCTCTGACTAACACTTATACGGTCAGTAAACATGAGCAAACTGTACGTGAGGTGAAGTTTTATGCACCAATAAAATAAAAAGGGAAAGTGTCAGCCTTTCATGTCTCTTTTGTGCAAACAAAATATGTCACGTTTGCAACAGCGAGAAGAAAAACAAACAGCAAAGGCTAAGAGACAACTGAGGTACTGTATACAGTTAGTTTTGCATATTCACTTTCAATATCATGAGGATGCTTGGCCCTGACTGAGGACACAAGAATGCAAATGTTGTTTCAAGGTAAAAGAAATGAAAATGAGCTGCCAGTGGATGAAAGTACGTAGTTAAAGACAATACAGTTTTATTTTTTATCCAGGTTTTAAAGGAAGACAGGCTACAGAAAGCATGTAAACAAATACATTTCTGGTTGGTGTTTTAATTCTCCTATAGCAAAAAGTTCCAAAAGTTTGAGGTTTGTTTCATTTTAGTGAACTTTTTCATTGTGGTATTAATGGTAAATGAGCATCTTATTTTATATCTCTTGATAGCACTTTTATGTTACATGTTACATTCACTTTTACACACACATTCAAGCTGCTACACCAAATTCCCATAAAGACACAGATAGTTTTGCCTTCAGGAGAAACTTGAGGTACAGTCTGTTGCCTGGGGACTGTTTGGTGAGTAGAAAGAGGAGCTGTGGATCAAACCACAAACCTCTCCACTGAGAGACAACCCACTCTGGCCCTGAGCTAAGCTGCCTGAGCCTACTCTTATATAGAAGCTTTGAAGACTTACAGGCCCCCCCAACCCCACACAGGCACAGCAGCATATTAGAAGTTATATTACTGAAAGTGACGCCTTTACAGAGAATGTGTGAGGCGAGCTGTAAGCACCCATTTTGCACCCCCTTTGGCCTCATCTGCGAACATTCAGTATCGTTACATTACCTGCCGTCATAACTTCACAGCGTGTGGTTCTCAACATTCATGTGAGGCTTTATACATGGAACAGCCCCAGATTTCTGGAACAGCTCCCTCTGGACCCAACTTTCAAAGGAGTCATAAGTGGAGTGGTGAACAGAAACTGCTCTGTTGTGTGTTGTGTCCAGAAATGTAGACACTTGCCACTGACTTCTGGCACCTCTGAGTCTGTGTCACATATAATTTAACAGTTAAAGAAAAGACCATCAAATATGTTTCTCGTGAGGCTGACAGCTCACTGTAGATTGGGTCTACTCTGCCACACAAATTTGCTAATTTTGAGAGATCCCAACCAAAGCGTTCATCTCACGTTAAGCGTATGCTCCGGGACGTTAACTTGTCATCAGAAGGCTCATTCATTTTTGCACTGCTGACTCAACACGCGCTCCTCTGCCTGCAGCGCACTAATCAGCCGTTTGGTCTGGGGGGCGTCAAAGAGACAGAACTATGGCCAAACCAAATAAGTGATTCAGACAGCACCAATGACACGCAGACACATGTGGACATCTTTATGAACCAAGAGGGAAAGGAAATTAAAGTGAAGGAAAGGGTAGAGAGACTTCTACACACCTCCCCCTAGCCATCTCAGTACACCCTCCACCTCTTCACCCTCCATCTCAACACAGACCTTGCCAAGCATCATTGTGAACCAGGTTAGAGGTCAGCTGGGGAAGCTACACCCCAGGAAAGCAGTCGGTCTGGACAAGGTGTGCCCCAGACAGCTAAAGACCTGTGCTGCTGAACTGTGTGAACCGCTTCAACAAATCTTCAACCTCAGCCTGCAGCTGAGGAGAGTGCCCACCCTCTGGAAGACATCCTGCATTATTCCAGTACCTGAGAAGAACCGACACCGATGGTACTCACTTCACATCTGATGAAGAAGATGGAGCAGCATACCAGACAGATATTGGTATAGAGTACGCCATCCTCTACCATCTCTAACAAGCCCACTTGAATCTGGATGAGGTAGGTGGCACCATGAGGATCCTCTTCCTGGATTTCTTGAATGCCTTCGATACTATCTAAACCCCTTTTGCTCGAGGACAAACTGAGAAGAATGCGAGTGGATCTCTGTCTGGTCACTGATTTTCAGTTACCTCACCAACGAACTGCAGTACGTCAGGCTGAAGGATATCAGGTCTATCAGCTAATTAACTTACACTGATCAGCTGCACCGGAGCACCTCAGAGGATGGTGTTGGCCCCTCCATTTTTGACCCTGTACACCGCAGACTTCTGCTACAACCCTGATCTGTAACACATCTACAGGTTCGCCAATGACACCATCATTGTGTGTATTAGAGACAACAAAGAGGAGGAGTACAGGGGCCTACTGAAGGATCTTGCTGCCTGGTGCCACAGGCACCATCTGCACCTCAACACCTCGAAGACCAAGGAGCTAGTCATTGACTTTGGGAGGTTCAGGCTAAGGTCTGCAACACTAGGGAGTTAAATAAGAAAACTGGACATGAAAAAGTGTCTTCGAAGTGTCTGTCTCTCTTTGTTTTTTTTAACAATATAATAACACAAGCCATGGTCCACTTGATATGTTTGCCTTATAAAAATTCACTGAGTTAGCTACTGACAGGAAGCACTGAGCTGAAATAACAAACTTGTGTCACCGCCAACATTTGAGTTTCAAAATATGGGGGGAGTGGTGTTCATCATACCTGCAGCTGTAAAAACTGTAATGGACGCTTCTTTCTAACAGGTGGTTGTAAAGGCGGTTAAATAATCTAAGGTGTATTCAAGTATAATCTGTTTTGTTCATGTGGATATGTGTATTTTCTATGACTAGGGCCACAAAATCGTTTCTTTAGAGAAACAACAAAATAGTAGGTAAAGCAGGAGATGGGCCTAAAATACAAGACAGTGTTGGAAAGTTTGAACTCTAAAGCCATCACTGTGTTCGCCTGGTTATTCTAGGAGTTATGCAAAACCAATATGCACAAATATGAAATTTCTAAGTATAGAAGTGGCTGGTACATTGCCAATCTCACTGCAGGTGAAGGAGCACATTTGCATTGTGTCTGTAAATAGTACAAGAACAAATGGGTCTTCTGATGGCAAAGTAAAAAAAAAAAAATCCCAGTGGAGCGTCTCTAAAATTAGCTAATTAATGTGCCAGAGTTGACCCTGTCTAAACTGATAGCCCAGCGAGCCTGCCCATTGTGGCTGATACATTCACTAGTGACACGTTACTCAAACAACCTCACTTTAAAAATACTGAAATATCCCTTTAAGTTCCCATTTAACAAGAGAATTCAAAAAGACACTCACACATTTGTGGAGGCGATGTCATAAAAGCACTTGTCACCACAGGCTCCGTCACAGTGGAGGTAGTGTGCGTCTGTCACAGTGAACCGGAGCAGGAGGAGCAGGCCAAGTAGACAGCTAGCTAATTAACTGATCACGAATCATGTTATGATCCTCTAGATAAATAAATATACTTATACTATAATGGCTTATCAAATATACTCAGGCCTCCATTGATATACATGTGTGATGTCAAGATAAAGCCTACGTGAGGCAAACACCGGATGTTAATCAGTTATATTGCTCACATTGCAGACACCATCCTGGTGGGAAGGAAACTTCCTGCAGACACTCGTGCTTAGATGAGGCCCTACACTGGGTGTGTTATAAAAAGGGATAGCACTGCAGGTAACTCTGATATGTGATAACCAACAATATGACATTGCACCCATGCATTTTTCTCTGAGCTTGCCCTATTTTTGCAGGGAGAAAACACAAACTGTCATGTGTATATTTGTAACATGGAACTGAGCACTCCTGCATGTCTGAATGAGACACAGTGCCAGTTTTTGATGACCTGGTTTAAGAAGGGCATGTTTGCAGTGCAGGATAGGACAACCGCACTCTGACTCATTTTTGTACCCTGCCCTGTCCTTCACATGGAAAATAACTCTCATCAGCGGATAATATCCCGCACTCTTGTAACAGATGAATGACTTTATCACATCACCAAGCCAACACACACTCGTCTGCAGGTTTTTGTTTTTTTTTTTTCATCTTGTTCTGTTGTAGGTAATCAGAAAGTGTGTGCTCTTAATAACATTAATGAGACGTCACTTTCAGGTTGACTGATCCCACAGAGAACAAAAACACATCCTCTCAGCCATCGTGCTCTTGTAACCTCACTAAGGTCAGGATGAAAGTTTGGCCAGCACTTGTAACTCTGGTTTCACTCAGTTTGGATTTTTACTGGAGAAGGCTCATGTTGACTACAACTGTCAGCTCACTGTGGTCATGACCTAAATATTTCGTTGTAAATGTCTTGGATCTTATATGGTTCAAATAACAGATTTTTCAAGTCCAGTTTGATTTGAACTGGTCTAGTTAAAACTGAAAATAAACACATTTTTAAGTAGCCTCGGGGTGTCACATTTTTCTAAGGTGGAAAATGTTTTCATCATTTTTGATTTGATCTGTGAAAAATGGACTTTCACAATGATACCATCTCTAACAGTGCTGCAGCTGGATAGCAGGTCCATCTGGATAAAAACATAAAAGGCCCACTGGTTGCTAAGCTTTGAATAAGGGCAGTCACAATATCAGATTTTTACTTCACGATCATCATGGCCATCAAATATCACAATAATGCTTCTATCTCAATATTATTGGGAAACTTGAAAATAAAACACCAACAGTCAAATTTAGGAACAAAGGTGGAGCAGCACATCACTTCATAAACTTGACTTTAAACAAGATGCTGCTTCATTAAAATATTGTTTGTCATGCTTTTATTTTATATTTTTTTCTGTCAAAGTTGCTTTAAATTCAGCAATTTGTTTTCATTTTGAAGTATTTGATTTACAGTATTGTAAGTCACACAATTAAAAGACGACAATTAAAATCAGGGTTAAAAAGTGAAAATGTTCATTTGATAGGTATCTTGCAGAGGCACAAGGTCTAATGTTGTTTTTGGATATACAGTAAATCTTGTTCATTGTTTTTTTTAAAGATGGTTATCGCCAATACTGACAGCCCTGCTTTGAATGTGACCTGTTTCTAACCCTGATCTTCTGTTCCGCTTGTTTTTACAGTCAAATTTTCTCTTCTTGCCACAAAGAATTGTTCTTTGAATTAAAAGTTTTAATCTGTTAACTGATGAGTTAGGCTATATTAGTATTGAACTGCAAAATTCAGAGTCCATGATCTGTTACTGTCACAAATAACTGCTCATTCATATTCAAAAAAAAAAAAAAATGAGCCAGTGGGGCAATAAAGCAAGTTGAGATAAAAGGGATTTGGTTTTGAGTCCATGAGCATGAAGTGGTGCAAAACTCTTGTTGGATCTGCTCGTCATTATTTTCATGTTGGGTTATCCACCCATGAGGCAGCTTCAATGTGTTCTTAAACTCACCAAATGTTACCCATGGCAAATGGTGTAGAAATGTATGTGTGATGATTGTGCATGGGTGCAACGAATATCTACAAAGCACCCTCTGTAAAATAAAAAAATGAACCAATGAATTATTTTTATTTGAATTTTATTTTAACATTAAGCCTGTTGCCCTCAAAAGTCCTGAACATAGTTTTATCCTTATTTAATAATAATTTGTTGATATCAAACCATGTTTGCAACAGTATCAGCTCAGTTTCTACTGATTTTAATGGCTCTATCATGTCCCCACTACAACAAAGTAACTCTGTATAATCTGCAGATGTTACAAGTTTCAACTTATTAGACACTCTCCTGTTATCTTGTAAACAGACTATGAATAACTTTGGGCCCCAGTACCAATCGTTGTGGAACACCACAAGTTACTCCATGCTCAGCACATGAACAAAGTTCTCTTAAGGGTTTCTTTTAATCAGCTCCAGAATTAGTCAGTGTGCAGAAGATACATAAAGGTTTAAAAGTTTCTAAAAGCACATTTGAAAAAAAAAGGTGTTGCAAAGTTTTATGATTTTTGCGGGGCAATTTGCCATACAAAAGAGACTCGAGGGCCTGTTCATCGCTGCTGGCATTTTATCTGATCTCAGATTTTACAAAAGCCAAATGCTCTGTGTTAAGTACGAGTAGTCTAAGTTGTGTATAAATGGTATATGCTGCACCTCTCTGTTGACTCTCTGATACTTATTTTCCTTTGTACATATACATAAACCCAAATGCTCTTCAAACACACAAACGCACACAGTTTCCTCTGCAATCCCTCATCATACCTAATCCATCTGTTACCTTTTTAGGCCTCAGTTTACTTAACTGTCAAGCATATTTGTCTCTCATTAGTAAACCCTGGGAGTTAGTCAGGGAATGCTGGGTCGTCTGGTGTCAAAGGGATTAAAAAAGCAGTGACATAGCCTGACAAGTTGAGCAGCGACAGGACAGAACAAGGAATTTCTGTTGTACAGCCACTATTAAAAACGTGTCTATGATTGTTTTTCTTGTATTTTTGTTTCTTGTAGATGATGTAAAACCTGTGAAATTTCTTTCACCTAAGCAAAACCATTATTTGATGGAAGCCACCTGTTGAGTTATATTTACGAGTCAGTGAAGGCCAAAATTTTTTTCAGATTGTTTCGAAAGATCACTCTTGGCTACAGAGGCATCCTGTAAGCTCTAATAACAAAGAAGCATGGTTAATGTCAAGTCTCCATTTTACACTCTTGACTTTCAAAAGGCTGTTATGTCTGCGAGGGTGCTGCTTGATGATCACATTTATCAAAGGTCAAACTTTGGAGCTGAGAAATAATAGATCAGGAAACACTTCATACATATTCTCATTTTGCTTCAGGACTTTTGAAACCAAACTGGACATTGTTGCAACTTTACATAAGCGCTAAGATTCATTTTGAAAGGCTGGTGGCACATTACAAGGCCATTAACAAAAAGCCTATATAAAGAAGAAAATATCTGAAGCTGGCTCAGGGTGAAATTGATTATTCAGAGAACAATCATGAGTGTTATTATAGATAATTGGCCCATTAGAGGGAAAGACAGCGCAGGCATTACAAAGGGTCCTATCACAAAGCTCTCTCTTTGGTCTGTGTCAGTGTCCTATTTTACTCCAACAGAAACCAAACGTTGTCCAGCATTAGCAGCATGATGAAGATTAATAAAACTACAATGGGAAGCTGACACTTGAAATTAAGTTTTACAATGCTCCCTGTTGACCGTGTGACCACCTATATGCTCACTGGGAAAGCTATTTTGACCTCCTGTGAACCAAAGCCAGGATTCATTTATCCACACATGTCTACAGTTTGTAGCCTCTCTGCTCAGAGGAAATGCTCTGTACGTGGTGTACACAACTTACAGGGCAGCATATGTGTTACATTTCCTGGTATATGGGAGAATAAAAATAAAATCATGTGCCACAGAAATGTCCCAGTATTTATGTTTTAAGAGTGCAAGGTCAGGGGAATCTCACAGTTGAATTAGGCAGATAGCTTATTGGCTGTCTTGAACGTGCTGACCTTTTGAGAAATGGAGAGGGTTGGTGAATCAACAGAGGGGAAACTGTTGTAAGAGGAGTTATAAAGTTACAGGATCTAACATCTATTTAAATGGCTAACTGTAGCCTCATTTGAGTCCGTGTATCAGTCATTCATTTGATTTTTGAAATAAAACCAAAAATTAAAAAAAACAAGAAAACAAATTTTTTTCCAAATATTTGTCTCTAGAACAAAATGAAAAATCAGATAATGGCTCATTTTCCGATTTCCGTTTTCTTCAGCTCAAATGAAAATGGGATAAATGGATGACGACAGTTTTATATGATTTAGACTTTTGCGTCTGTAGAAAGTTTCATGACCTGGAAGTGAGCCTTACTCAGACGTCAAGGGAACAAGAAGGCTTTGGCGTTATGGCTTGACTCGAGAATTATCCAGAGCTCATACGGCATGTATCAGACCCTGTCTGATACGTGCCCCCTTTTCTCCTCAGGTTGTTTTGGGCAGCGCGGTGGGAATCTCTGCATGAGTTTTGCCATCCTGAAAAATAGTGCTGTATGAGTCCAGCCATAACGCCAAAGCCCGTTTCTTGTTCTCTTCTTCTGAACCTCTGCTTGCTTTACATTTTTGTTTGCCCCCCACCTGTATGGAATCTGTAGGACAGATCAAGTTTAAAAGAAGTCCTCTTGAGATGACAATCAGTTTTACCATTTTACACAAGAGTCACCAGTGTGTAACATGGGAGTGAACTGGCATGGCAAACTATCAAAATTATCCCCTGAATGTCTTTTTTTTCTGTAGCAGAAGTCAGTCAGTTAGTATTTACAGTCGGTTATGGTTATTTCGTCAGAGAGTAAGTTGTGGTGTCAGTCAGTAGGTCAGGTATGCTGTCGGTCAATAAGTCAGGTTAGGAACCATGTGGTGATCCAGGTATCGTGTGGCTGTATTGGTTTTTATGCTTCTTACCAGCAAAAGAGTCCCAGTGTCTCCATACCAGTAGTTCATGTTTAGCTATGTTGTGTATAATCAGTAACCAATCATACTCAAGCAGGTGTACGATTGAATGTGATAACCTTGGGAATATTTACTAATGATATTAGTCAAGTTAGTGTGCAATATCAAGCCACAATCTCTAATGAGCATGAATAAACGAGTTTAATCATAAAATCTGAAGAGTTTTTTTTATTGTCATTATGAGGCCACATGAAGGCTAAAAGCTCATGTCCACACATGAGGACACAGGGTCTCAGGAGTTTAATATTGGAAAGTATTAAAAAGAACTATTCAATGAAAAACTGCACCAATTCCCTGAAACATGGGTATTTTTAGTGTGTTTGCACCACTAGCCCCCTCCTCTTGATGTCAGTTATAAGTTTTAAGGGGCAGAAAAATTATATCCCTGTCCTAACATTAGGAGACCCACTGCTTTCTACATCTGGTGTTGGCATTCGCCCACATTTTTGTTTGGTGCATATAAAGATAAAAAAAAGTCTGGTTGGCATTTGTCAAGAGAGCCATGGCCTTTTTTAATCTCTTGATTGGCCTTTCAAAGTTTATCTGTCCTCCAGCTTCATTTAGCAGAGTGGATCTCTTTAGAGCTGTTTAAACTGACTGCCTTGCTAGTGTGTTAAATGTTCACTTATGAGCTACAGCTCACCAGCAGCCCACTGAGTTTTTCCTTTTATCAACCCTGTAGTGCTGAACAGATGTTGTTGTATGTCTTGTGAGACTGGGATTTAGGAAAGACCAGAGGAAGAGTACAACACAAACAATACATGTGCCATTGCAGTTACAACCAAGTGTTTCTGTTTTGTTATGTAATTATTCCTTTTTCCCCTGTAACCCCTTATATCCTCTGTTGAGTTAAGATTGCAGTCACATGGCTGATAGTGTTTGGACTGTAGATTTTTGCCTCATGTTCAACTTGTACACGCTTCTCAATGGTCTATATTATTTCCAATGGCTGTAGTCTCGAGTAAATGAAGTAAAAAGGAGCTGTAATTACAATATTGACACATTCTGGGACTTACAGTAGTGATTTCAAATCTGCTTTCAAGAGGAAATGTTCTCTTCTGGGAGTTTGGTTGGCAACAATTTTGGAAACAAATACTCACAAATGAGATCATTAACACCATAAATTTCCTTAGTCTGAGATAGAGGCATGAGTAGTGCACACGTTATCAGAATACGTCATGTTTTTTAGATGATGTGAAATGTTTTGGAAGATGTGTTTATTACATAAAACAGAACAGAAAACATAAGAAAGCATATCTTTAAAGGTTATATTTGCTTTTTTAACCCCAGGTCAGGAAGAGTTCGTTTTTCAAACGTAGACAAGCTATGATTTGAGAGTGCCGAGGGACTTATTGATCTATCAGGGAAAACCTTTAAATACTCACACTCTTAATTCAGAATGTAACAGTCATGATTAATATACCTGGGAAAATAGCTATGAAACATGAAAAAAGAGCCTCTCCTCTCTCTGGTGCCTCTGAAAGAAAACGGTTACTCGGACAACATGGCAGATCTGGATATGGCAGATGTTCCATTTAATCTTCTGATGATAGATAGGGTACAATGTCTTTCAGTTCCTCTTTTAGGATAAGAAAATCTGCCATCAAGCTCTGGAGAGTATGTGGCAGATCTTTCAGACTTCTGCCTGCTCACATCCTGTGGGTTGCCCTCAGTGCATGTCTAAACCCTGAGAGACCTGAAGCATTTGACATGACTTAAACTGAAACAACAATCTTTTGCTGCAGGGGGAAAACTTGACGTTCAAGTTACTAGAGGAGGACTAGCTGTTCTAGAGAACAAACATGGACAGCTTTGCACTTCAAACTCCAACATTTGAAAGTTAAACTGAGGAATTCACCTGCAGGAGAAGGACTTCAAAGTCTGTGCTTTCAGACTGTTTAGATAATCACAAGTGTCTTATGGGAAAATTTGGCAGGTTCATGGGCTACAGCATGACCCCCTGTAACAGCCTGTAAGCTAGGCCTTTTAAAGGTTACTCTTACTCTCACTGTAAAGCAAACTGTCAACATTTATAACAGCATCACATAATTAAATCCATCAAATTTACATCTGTTGTTCCTTTTTTTTGCTGAATAATTGAATTTTAAACCACTTTATCAATGGAAGATAAGTGTGAAGAAATCAGACGCAGACTGAAAAGTTGAAGAAAAACAGACAGATACTACTGGTTCCACCCTGTCAAACAAAGGAGGGACTGCATAACATACAAAGTAGGTTATGGATCATCACATGGATTACGTGTTCTTAAACAACCTGAATTTTCACCCGACTCTTGTCACATATAGAAAAGAGAAAACAATACTGTGAGTGATTTAACCCAACTATCTCATTTCAAAATACTGTAAGGGCCCAGTGTCTTTGCTCATTATGAACTCCAGATGTACAGAATTATAAAACCTGTTACATGGGTTGCTCTGGTTATGGTTTTATGACACTCTGAGGCTCTTAATCCTCGTTCAACATATGACTCCACTTAATATAATGCAAAAGAAACATCCTCCTGACTCCAGATAAGTGCCAAATTTCAGGACATATTTATGGCTCGATAGATGTCTAACGGTCCACCTCCCTTGGATTTCTGGGATTGAATTAGCTACTCTTTATAATATATGTTGACAAGAAGCACTGGACAAATATATATCCCACCCCCCCTGTTCATATTCCATCCAGATCACATGATGGTGACTGTTTTTTCCCCTTACTGAAATAGACTTTACTGCTGTCAGTGCCGGTCTGGTGCACTCTCATCTCTCGATGACTTTTCAAGCTGATTGTATGTGACAGCCAAAATGACTTTTTAGTATGGTGCGATTCAAAGATCTTTAAGGAAACACCATTGAAGACATTACATGCAACAATTTATTTTAATACAAATCTTACAACACATTCACTTGCTTTTTTTATCATAAATATCACAAGACACCACATTTTGTAACAGGCATTACCTTAACAGTGACAAAAAGTTGTGCGGAAATCGCAAACATTAAGTAAACATTCAGCAGAGTTTCTTTTTTCTTACTCTGGTCATGGAGAAAGCTTTAGGTGTAGAGTTTCTTCTCATATGACTCTGAAAGCAATAGCTAACTTTGATAGAAAGTTCAAAATCACATGCACCAGTTGGACTGAACCTTGTACGACATCCGTGCTGAGATTCTGGTTTCTTGTGACTCTTGATTTTCTTGTCTGAAATATGTGCGCCATGAAGAAGAAAGACTCAAGCTCTGGATGATTTATAGTCTGTGACCTGAATTGTGGTTTAATAGTTCAAGAATGTTACAAATGTTTGATGAAAGTGCTTAATAGTACTACTTTTAAGTTCGTCCATCCTTGTGAGGAAATGTAACTGTTAAAATAGGAGCATTAATGAAGCGTAAGCATTAGCTTCCTGAGACTTAAACATACGGCCAATCCAGAAGACTTTTTTCTTTTTAAAAACTGTGGAAATATATAAATCTTGCGTCTCTTGATTCTGTCACCCAAAATTAAATTGTCATATTGGCAGAACTTGTATGTGTCAAAAGATTACATGTGTAACCTTAGGCTTTCTTTCTGCCAGGGAACTGAATGTTCATTTAACACATCAGCAGACATGATATATGGTCCCAAACCATCAGCTGAGCTTGGAATGTGGTTGTGTCAGCGAAAACATTCAAGACTCATCACACAGAATAGGGTTGCTCCCTATAGCCTGGTGAGGTGAAGACATGAATATCATACTTTAGGGGTGGATCATAAAATAGTGTGTAACTCTGCAAGAGCTGAGGTGCAAAGAGTAGCCACCGCCAGGAGGGAGCAGTGTGGGTACTGAGTTCACAATGTGCTCCGCTTGGACATAGAAAGATCACTTTGAAAGGAAAAGGCACTACAATCCACGAGCACAACACCAAAAATATACATCGGACATGCAAACATTCACCTGTGAAGTGCTCCTGAAAAGAGCAGATATTTCCGACACAACATTAAGTCATGTTTTAATGTCAATGCTTACATTTTTGGGTGATAAACTACTAAACTCATAAGAAAATCTTGGTCTTGAGTCATGTACAGTGAAATGCTGACTAAAAAAAGTCCCCTGGAGATAAAGCGTCATGACATTCCACCCCTGCGTTTACCCTGCTGTAAATCCATAAAAAAGAAAACAGAAAAAAAAAGCTCAACTGAGCGAAGAGCTTGTTTTTTCACATGGCAAACACTGACGTATGATGACACTGTGATTACGTCTACTTTTGACGGGCCTTTTGACAACAGAGCTGAACAAACCTACAGATACAGATACAGTACATAGAGGTTCTTCTGAGGGAGCAAAGTTCACAGTTTTGACCGAGTCAGCTGAGCTCACTCCAGAGGCAAAGCAACGTGCACAAAACACGGGTCACTAACACCGATTTAGACTGGCACCCCCACCCCCTTCTCTTGCCTTCAGAAGCCACATTAAGCTTGCTGTCACTTTGATCAGAACATATGAGAGAAGGCCAAACCGTCCGTGGTAAGGGGATGACGTCTGCAGGAACATCTTTATTGCACCAACTGAGCATAATGATCTTGCAAGCCATTTGGTGTGATAAAAGGGGTGATCTTTCCAATTCAAGCCCTGCATGCAAGGAGATAAGTGTCCCTTAATGCTCGTTCAAGTCAAAAAATTACCTTCCACAGAGAGTGCCGTTCAGCTTGGCCTGTTGGATCTCATCACAACCTGCAAATTTGGAACTTTATAATCAGCCAATCCATTTCAATGTTTTTCTTAGGAGGGAGTTATCTGATTCTGCAGCTGAACGGCAGGGATAATGAATTTATTCCTGTTTATTGGGTCTGGCTCAAATGGATACGTGAACTTCCTGGGGCTACACAGAGAAACATCAAAAATCTGAAAATGACTGAAAAAACTGAGATAAAGCTGAGGCCCGTGCAAAGAGGACTTCTTTCTAATCCGAATGTTAGAGTGATTTCATAGAGATACAAATGGTGGGCTCAAGAGAAGAGGCTCGGACTGATTTCATAGAGATACACACATCTGTTTACAGTGAGGAGACTCTGGGACGTGTCAGAGAGCAGCAACTAAGGTGCGGCACTCAGGATCAGTTCATCTCAGTATATTGGCCTGAGAAGTCGCCACTAACACGTCCAGAGACTGGAACTTTGTTATCACTTGATTATTACACCGCCCTTGTTTATTATTGTGGGTGGCTTGTACCCTCGTGCCATGACTAAGGAAACGGCTTCTCTGGTTTCAGTAAACACTGAACACAGCAACCACAAAACATGATAAATAAACAGGGCTTGTGTAACAACTGATACCGCTGCTACTGGCGGCAAGAGTACGCTTTAAACTAACCAAATATTTTCACAAAGTACCAAACAACAGTTTACATGTCGCTCAAATGACCCTGCAGACTATCTGATATGAAAGGTGGGCTGTGCAATCGGAAAAATGTGCATTTGAGAGTAATCATATCACAGCCATACGCCTTAAAAGGTCAATACTCAAGTTTAAGCCCATTATCAATGAAGCCATCTGCTTTGCACTTCAGGATATTAAATACCTCCAGGGCTGATAATGGAATCTGGCTGATACAACGTGCAAAAAAAAAGAAACACTTGCCAGCTATATCAAATGACATACGTAGGATGGCCTCAGGCGTTTCTCAGCTTGCACCAGTGATATGAAGATAATGTCATATCGCTGGTGCTGTCTGCTGGCACTAGCAACTCCCTGCAATGGGCTGTAAAACCTCTGAGCGGGGAGAGGGGCCTCACAGCATTTCTAAGCAGTGAGGAGACAGAAAGAGAAAGAGAGAGAGAGAGAGTGAGCGAGAGAGAGCAAGAGAGAGAGAAGGAAGAGGAGAGACAGGTTCTACAAAATATGTCATAAATCATCTTAAACACTGCGGCAATCTGTCAAGAAAAAGGGAAACGAAATGAAGCCAAATTATAGCTTTGGTTGATTTGGAATGTATGACTTTGAACAAAGCACCAAAACTGCGCTCAAATTGGACCTCCTTATTTTCTGATGGAAATACGGACTCAATATCCATGCTAACTTGGCATGCTTGAATGGAGTTTAGTGCACAGCTCCCAGCAACATTTGAATTTCAAAAGATTTCAAACTAGCTGCGAGATATTTTGCCAAAACCTCTGAGATATATCCAATTGGAGCCAAAAGATTAGCTGTAATACAATGCACAAACCACTGAGTGAATAAACAGCTGAGATACTACCCTGTGGCCTGTGAGTTAATGTGAACTTGTTAAGATAACAGCAGAAAAACAAACAAACAATAAACAAAAAAGAAATATGAGGTAGATGGGAACTAGATGAAAATTCAACAAATGGAAAAGTGATCCACCTACAGTATTAATTCTCTGTGTTGATGGAGTAAGAGAAATGCGTCCCTCAGCTGAGCATGGTCAGTTCGGTTTCTTCAAAGCAGTCTCTAGAGACTCCACGGTCAGTTGGACTGGCTTTGCAGTCATCAGTCAATTGGAAAAAGTTTTTGATGGCAGTGTAAACATGTCTGGGTCGCCCAAATCTCAGGACTCCAAGTTTTAAAGGACAGTTGTTACAGTCGATATGCCTTTGCTGCAATTCCCATTGGGGTCCACTGATCTGTCCATAACACTGCAGACCCCTGCCCCCTTCCCCAGACACCCTTCATTGGCATCGCTGTCCTCAGAGCTGCCCTTACTCCTCCCTTGCTGCTCGCTCTGCCAGCTGTGCCTGCTGTACACATAGCCATTCACAGGCCCGGAGTTACTGAGGCGGTTCCTCTTCAAGCAGAGGATTTCCTTGAAGGCGTATCTGAACTCAGGGCTCCGGCAGTAAATGAGCGGGTTGAAGGCCGAGTTTGCGTATCCTATCCAGTTGAGTATCCTGAAGGTGAGGTCATTGTGCAGCTCCTTCCATATGGCCACAAGCACGTTGAGCAGAAAGAAGGGCAGCCAGCACAAAGTGAAGATCCCCATGATGATGCCCAAAGTCTTTAAGGCTTTGTGTTCCCTCAGGCAAAACTTTGGCTTCTTGAGGCCTCGCCCATTGTTGGTCTCCAGAGATTTGAGGTTGCTGTTGTCACTGTTGTGGAAACGTCCAACACTTTGGTCAATCTTCTTGAGTTGGCGTTTTGCCTCCTGGAAAACACGACTATAGACAAAAACCATGATGACCAATGGGATGTAGAAAGAGATGATGGAGGAGGTGATTGCATAAGCCATGTTGGTGTAAAACTCACAACAGTTACTGTCTGCAATGCAGTCCTTGGCTTCCTTATCATCAGATATCCACCACTTCATGTGTATGGGCAGGAAAGATATCAAGGCAGCAATCACCCACACCAGGACGACCACGATGCGAGCCCTGCACTTGGTCAGCATTGACTGGTATCTGAATGGGGACGTAATGGCAAGGTATCGATCTATAGCTATAACACAAAGGGTCTCGATGCTCGCAGTCACACATAGCACGTCAGTCGCAGTCCAGAACTCGCACCAGAAATGACCAAAGTGCCAGGTCTTAAAGATAATGTAACAAGCGCCGAAAGGAATCACAATGAGACCCATGACCAGGTCAGCACAGGCCAGGGAGGTGATGAAACAGTTGGTGACATTTTGAAGACGCTGGAAACGAGCGATCGCTGTTATGACCAGAATGTTTCCGAAGACGATACACAAGACCAGTAAAGACATGATCATGCCCAGCAGGATCATCGTTGCCTCGCTGTAGCCTTCCTTACTCACAGCTGTGTCTGTGGTGTTGATCATCGCTGCGCTTACATTGAGGTATCCTGGAGGGGTTGTACTTCCCATCTGAGGAGATTGTATGCGGATAACAAGCACACACAAGCAGAGAGAGAGATAGGAGTCACAATTTTACCCTTAAAGTGGTCTAATGAGAAAAAGGAAAACTACTGAGATATAGAACTTGTGCATGCTCAAAAACTAAGCCTCTTGCTAAGTCTAAAGCTGTTTTTAAAAATAAAAAGAGGCAAAACATAAACATTACTAAGCAAACTCATCACAACCTGTTGAGCTTCAGCAAAAACAGCTCATTAAACATGTTCAACACTCCAAAGACAAATAAAAGAACAAACCTCCACAGGTTGTTGTTTGGGTCCTTGCCTTCCATACAAAGTAGAAATGTCACTTTTCACCCACTTCCCAAAAAGTACTCCCCGTCACATGTCCTTCTTTCTACTCTCTGCTTCTCTTGGTCTGCGCTTGTCTCTCTCACTAACTCGGTCCCTCAGTGGAGCAGTCTTTCTTCTAATGTGTCTCTCAGGCTATTTGTCAGAGCGCTTATAACGTGCAGTGGTGACATCATGGTCAGTCCTCAGCCAATCAGACAGCCTGCCTGCAGAGGGTGCTGAGAGCTCCTGAGAGTTTGAACACATTGTCCCTGCAGCCGGCTGCTGCAGGGCTGCATGTGACGGGAGACTTTTTTTCTCCATCTCTTAAGAGTTATGTTGAACTCTTTCACAAGTTTTGCTCATGCATGTTCATATTCAGTGTGCGAGGGCTGTATTCAGAGTTTAAATAAGTTCAAATGTTTAGCTGAGTTGTGCACTGAGGGGTTTTGCAGCTTTGTGTACAAGTCGGGATCATATTAAAAACAGGTGATTCATTATTCAGAGATTATAAAGTTGGATGTATGTGTAAATCATCTTTGATTTCAGTGTTAAGTCTTTGATTTATAAGGAAGTTTGACTGATTAAGTCTCACTTTGTCCTCAGGAAACCTCCCTGTGTTTGGATAATGCGCTTTTCTTCTCATGCAAACATCAAAATGAAAACTGGAGCATACAAAGAAAGAGGATTGAGTCCTTGCAAAAGGAATAAAAACAATTGTGTTCATGCACTGCTGCATTGATGAATACCTTACCCTTAACTACAAAATTCCCCTCCAATTTCTAATCTAATCTGCAATTCCTATCTGCACCCAAGACCTTGACTGTACACCCTGCAGGACATGAGGAAATCGTGTTTCATTCCATCTAAGTTTTTGAACCTTCCATTTATGTGGAGCTCTGCAAATGTTCTGTAAAATGGAACTAACCTGCGGAGGGTTTCTGTGATACTTTCAAAATTTGAGACAGCGTGAGCTCTGTGTCGACACCAAATGACTTCAGTCGCAGATGAAAAAAGCCGATGGATAAGGATGGATTAGTCGCTGTGTGACATTCATGTTGTCTCTGCTTCTGTTTGTGTCTCCACCCTGGACACACTGAGTCATCATAATGTGCTGACACTAATAAACCATTGGTATGAGTGCATCCTTTTTTTTTTTTTTTTGTATACACCCATAATCTCTGTGTGTACTCAAGGGATTAGCTATTTAAAGGATTAACAAGTCAAGAGCCACACCACCTTGTTTAAAGAGAGAACCCTGATAATATCACCACTATAATACTGCCTTTAGAGAGACGGCAGATCACAATCACATGGTTTATACTTAATACTATAGGCCAGATATAGGTACCTTAAACACACAAGGCAGCAGGATAAGTCCCACCTGAGCCCTGATGTGATTATCCTCTTCAAAGCTGGTGGTATTTTCCACAGATGGTGTAGGTTCATTCAATTTCCTCATGTTGAATTTAATGTGTCATTGATTTTGTCAGAGATTCCTTCCCTTATAATCAAGAGAATAGGCAATTTAGCTGAAGTTAAGTACAAAAGGAGGCCGGGCCGGGTTTGTGAATAATAAAACCTTTGTGATTGAGCTTGGATTATAAGTATGCTTTGAGAAAAGAGGGTGTGTTTTATTCTCTGAGGGTGCTGTTGAGTGTTTGTATGTGTCTCTGGGTCTGACATAATGATACTCCGGGAAGTGATGATAGTTTCCAGAGCTAAGGCCTCAAAACAGACACTGTGCTTTATCCATGTACTTCTCCTCACAGTGAGTTCACTTTTATGAGCCCATATGACCAATGACGCAAAGGGCAAAAAAGTGGAGGATCAACATCAATATTCAGCATTCATACAAATCTTACAAACCATTGTCTATGACTAAATGTTGTCCTAAAAAGAATCCACCTCCTGTTTTGCTTTTGGGGCTTGGAAGATTTTGAACTAATGTTGCCCTCTCTTGACTGCTGACTGGGAGAAAACAGATTGTCTTTATAGTTCATGATGAAATTTGGGTGAGTTATTAAAAATAAATAAATGCAGAAGTGTGACTTCCCCACTTGGCAATAATCTGCCTTAATTCAAAAAGTTGTGTTTTGACTTCTTCCTAAAAATAAATGCTCTTTTTTATTATTATTTCATCCTTGCCATTTAGACTATTTTTCTGAAAATGTGTGATGAAAATAATCTTCCTCTGCATTTTTGTCATTTCATCTCTTTTCTTTTCTTCATATGAATCATTCTCAATTTAATTTGAATATTTTCACGACCCCTGAACGTTTTTTGTAACCGCACCGTTAAGTCTAAATTTCTGATTATACAGATGAAGTATCAAAATCTCACAGGCAGGCTTCTCCGAAACTTACTGAGAAAATCTCCTCTCTAGTTTTAGACACTAAACCTTTAACACTTTTAATGTGAAAACTGCAACCAAAAGTTAGAGCACTCAAGACCATCATGGCTTGATCTCTCTCTCCAACAAGACAAATTTAACAAGATGCACTGCAATCTCCGATAAGCCTTATCTTTTGTTCTCAACACCTCTGTTACTTTATTATGGAGAATAATGCTAATGGCATGACTGTCTTTACTTCCCCTCCCACTTTTTTTTGCTTCACTTATGAAACCTAAATGAATGTCATTTCAGGTCTGAAATCTGTTGTGGAAACTGTACGCCTGTGTGTTCAATTAATCATGACTGGTTTCCTCAGTCTGTGACATTGCTCTTCCTGTATCCTGTCACTCTCAAGCAGAGCCAAGTCACATTTGGATAACCTTGTCACAGTCTAAAGTCTTGTCCACAGTTAGATATTGTGCACTGCTTTGTTTAGTCAAACTCTGTCAAAATAAATCTGTCTCCCACCAGCAGCATCTCCTCTGGGATTCCTACTTCTCATCTTCTTGGAAAGATGTGATGTTGACCCAGTGACCCCACCTGCATCCAGCCTCCCACCTCCTCTCACTCAATTTTTCCGGTAATCTGTGAGAAAACAATACCTGGAGGTATTGCTGGTCTATAGGGGACAGTTTCAGGAGCATGGAAGGAAATGAGAGAGCTTATAAACACAGTCTGCCTCTCTTGTTTTCTTAAATGTCAGATAGCTTTACTGGTTGCCTCTTACATACACAACATTGTTCATAAAAACAAACATGGCTAAAGAAACATTAGTCAGTTTATTGCAGAGATTTAGATGTAAAGTTTTTTTTGTCCTTGAGATTTAATAGTAGGATTATTTGAAAAAATCCAGACGCCGAAGGATTCCACTTTTTATAGCCTTCAGAGACTGCTTTGGGTGAACTGAAACGAGACCGTCTGATCTATAGAGGATTTCCTGTTTGGGTCACCACCAACTGTCCCCTCTTGCATCACAAAGCTGCTGGCCAATAGCTAACACAGCTGGTATTAACCACCATTACTTTCATGTTAAAGGTTTGATTGTTTGGTTAAAAAAGGAACCTTTGACGTGCAGGGAAATGGACTTTAAATGTGTCCTTCAAAGGATGCGGCCTGTAAATTGGGACTTGTGTGCTAAGTATGAAACTGGTAGCTTGTAAACTTAGTGTAGCCTAAAGACTGGAAGCAATTAACCTGGCTCTGCTTGGGTTAGCAAAAGCTTTTTTATCTACTGGCTGTTGCATGTTTAGGGTAAAGAATGAAAAAAAAAGCTGACTGACAGGATCAGAAGTTAGGGGAGCTAAATTAGCTAACGTTAGCAACAGTGTGAATTTAGTAGTCTGGTTATCATTTGCAGGACAAGTATAGGAGCTCAGTGTTAATCTAGATCATTGACTTTGTTGTCTGTTGATCCTCCACTTGGCAAAGCAAAGAAAGGTATTCTCCTATAGAAAGCAATAGGAACAACAGTCAGTGATGTTTGCAAACATGCTGAAATGGACGCATTCATTGAGCCATTCATTTTGCAACTCATGGACAGTTATGTGAGTATACTTCACCCTGGAGGCAGTTAAAGGCAGCTCACACTCGAGGGGAGTCTGAGAGGTCTCAAGATCTGCAACACAGCACTGTGTGTTACAGCAGCAGAAGTCGAACTTATGGCTCCCACCAGTGTTAATCGCTTCTAGCTCCTCTCAGGTGTAGTTAGCAGTGTGGAGAAAACCAGCTCTGTTGACCGTTTAAAGGGGTTTTGTAAACAATTCGGGTCAGATCCTGCTGGTACAAAATCTGCATTGTTTGTGCTAATGGAGAATCCATTCTGTGTGTTTCTCTGGCCAGTGTTGCTTTACCCATGTCCCTTTCATTTTCAAGGATGTGAAAAACATCTCTCCCACATCATCAATAATGAAGCAGAATTTATCATGTAATTTTGGGTAAAAAGTCGAAATGTTTAGCCAAGTACTACTCCAAGAAATCAGAGTTGTATGTTTATTACTAAGTTTGCAAAGCTGTCAACATATCATTTTGAATTAGTGAAACACACTGAAATGGTATTTTCTCATCTTTTAATCTGTCTATGATTAAGCAGTGGGATTTGATGATATTTATATATTATTAATATTTATATTTCTCCTATTGCAAATGTTCATTCTAATCGAAGTTCTTAATGTTTTTCTTATGTAATTCCATTAATTATCTCTGTTCTTAGTATTTTTCTTAATTCCCGTCACAGGTTTTTACTTCTTTTATCCCCTTTTAATATGGTAAAGCGCTTTTACTTAACTGTTCATTTAATATTATTGTCTTGTTTTAGTCCATCAGGTTTTACTCGTTCTTTTCACCATTATTATCTCTATCTTTATCTCCAGTGTTTACCAGAGGTGTTTCTTTCCTCGCGTAATGTCGCAGTGTCAGGCCATGTCTCTCTAAGAATATATCTCAAATTCTCACACTGTGTGCGGTTGTGTGTGTGTGTATGTGTGGGTGAGGGTGGGTGTGTGTCTTTGTGTGCGTGTGGGTTCATGGGTTTGTGTGTGGATGGGAGGGTTGGGTTTTATTGTCATTATTGTTTTTAGCCTCTTTGAGGCACATTGAGTTGCATTTTTTGTATGAAAAGTGCCATACAAATAAAGTTGAATTTGAATTTGAATTTTGATATTCCGTTTATTTTAGGAAATGTCACTGATTGAGGATTGGGGATTTAAATTTAGGGGGCTCTGAATAATGGTCAGGAGAGAAAAAGTAACATAAACCAG